GCGCAACGAGCGACGACGATGACGAAGACGACGACAACAACAACAGCAACAGCGAGGTTGGCCGATGGTCTTCGCAGCGTCGACACGTCGTGCGTGGTGGTGCAGGGTTGAGTCACTTACTCTATCAGAGCTTGCCGAGCATCCTGGCCCATCTTCTCGATTTCTTCGCTACTCCGGCGAGGGCTCATGGTCCGCGCATCGCCGTCATCGTACTCCTCCTCCTCCTCCTTCATCTCGACATTGGGGCTGTCGCGGGGTATTATGATGGTGCCGCTGGATTTCCTGCTCCCTAGACGGGGCCTGGTCTGTAGTGTGGGGTCGTTTTTCATCTCCGTGTCGCTGATGGAAGAGTTGGATGAGGAAGTCGACATGTCGTCGGGGTAGGACTGGCGGCGGTCGTCTTGCGTAGAAGTAGACGGATGGGGGGTGATGAGAATCTGCGGGTTCATTGCACGAGACAGTATAGTGCGGCTCTCAGAGTGTAGGTTTAGGGATGGAGCCAGGTGGGCGAGCGTCGGCAAGAGTATGCCGTAGGTGGGTTCAGGCCAAGATAAAGCCACACGGTTGATGTGGAAGGATGTTAGAGTGGGTGGGCCCCTGTCTGCGCTAAGCCAGATAATGCTTCAGGGTCTCCCGAGACGAGGATCCCTGCCCGTGTAGCGTGGAATGCGTAGAGGAAGGTCGGAACTCTGACGCCTAGCAGAGATGCTCGGGGTGGCGGCGGCAAAGTAGTTCGATAGCGCCCTCGAATGACTCTCGACAACCTTTTCTGTCTTGCTGCTGTCGACTTTTCCCACGCTTGCACTCAAGCTTTGTGGGAGCTTTGTGTTGGAGCTTTGTGTTGATCGGCAAGGGCAGAGCACCCACCAGAGGCGCGGATGATTAGAAGCGGTCAATTAGCGCTGCGATGGCCGAACAACTATTGCCAGGAATTCGCCCAAGGAAACTGGGGCGCGTTGGCGAATGTATTCCGTAAAGTGCAAGGGCAAGCTGGACCGTGTGTATGCCGTGAATCAGACAAGTGCGTGGGTTGTGAAGAGGAGCTGTTGCGATTGCAGCGCCCCGGCGAGGTAGAGGCGTGAGAAGGCTGAAAGCGGTGCATGACGTCGCCAGCAGCTGTGAGACATGGGAGAGCTGATCAATTGCCCCATTCTGCCACGTCCCACCGCACAACGAGCACGGCTCCTCGAGGCGGGCGGCTGACATCACTGAACACTGCCGTGGGTTCCGTCAACCACCAATGGCGTGCCCCCTTCGCCCCCGACGACGTGAGAAGGAAGTCGCTATGATGGTGCCTGCATCATCCAACGGCGTCGCCTTGCGCTCTCTCTCTCTTGCAGTCTCAATCTTCCCCCTCCTGCACCCACACCACTCCTAATATCACAACATACAACACTCTTAATATCCGCCCCCGACCCACCGCCCCTCGCCGTCCAGCACAGCAGGCAATAGCGTACAGGTCAACGCGTTACAGACCGACAGATTGCGGGTCATGCTGTCCATGCGCACATCACCAGCCGCTCATGTTGGGCTTGGTCGCTGATCCCTCTTTGTCTGCATTCCGTTTCGTCGAGCATGCGAGCCAGAAATATATAAGATCGGCTAAGAGGACCCTGCGGCGGCGGCGCTGGCCTGCCACTTTTGCTCCCATGGTATTCGTACATTGCCGTTGCGAACCAATCCACGCCCGTTGGCACCACCAGCATGCACAGCGCCAAACTTGCGGCACACTCAAGACATGTCGTGAGGGCGGCCTCGATGCGCCTCTTTTTCATTTTGCAGGGCTCCAGTCGCTCACTTTCCATCGTGTCAGCACCGGGGACCCTGAGATCTCGTGTGCGCTTGACTCCGCACCGTGCCATGACCAATGACGAAATTCTGGTTTGATCAGCACGTCACCCTGGACACTGCGCAACCGCTCACGGTGCTTCTATTCGACCTTTGCTCTCCGGGCCAAGAGCTTCTTTTCGTGCAAGATGACAGCGGTGGTTTGCTCGTGAATGGATGGAACAATTCCCGTCTCCGCCGCAACACTGTCGCACTTTGTCCAATCCCTAGTTCTCCTGCATTGGACAATGGCGATCTCCAGGATCATGACGTCCAGCGTTCCAACGTGAGAAAACACACTCGTCTGACTGGCGTACCGTTTCCCCATTATCAATAAGTCGTTTCAGCACTCATAGCTCCACCTCGCCGGTACGATCCGCATCTCGCTAGGTTGCAACTTGTGCTCAAGTAACCATTCTGAAGCGTCGAAATAGGTCACCGCTGTTCTGCTTCGTGACGATCGTTCGGGAACACGGCTGCTTAGGGAAAGACAGAGGAACGATTGTCATTTTTCCGCGGGTATTCGAGTAGGACCGGCACCAGCCGGCCTTGCAGCTATACTATCATTGCTTTATTCGGTCCGGCGTCGCGCAGTATGTCCCTACCATGTCTCTATCACGCGTCTACATACCTCGCCAGCGTACCATTGCCATTTCCAGTCGACAACGATCAGCACGGGGTTTCAAGGCGACGCACATGGTCTGCGACATGAGAGCCACCATCGCATGTTCCTACAAGACTATGACAATTAACATCTCAAATGATTCACAAGGGATGTGACTGCATCACGTCGATACTTCGGAACCTTTACTAAGTTGACTTTGACTTGAGTGACTTCTGCCCACGTCACCCGACATGTGCCAGCATACTTTCGACTCCAACGTCGCTTCTCCAACTCTCCAACACTCCAAGTCGACAAGACAGGCTCACCACAGCTCGCTTAACGCACTTGATGAATCAATTTGCATGCTGCTAGCACCCTTCCCGTTGTCTTTGCATCATCGCTGGTCCGGCATTCGTCTGTGAGGTTTCCACTTTTCGTTCTTCGGTGGTTCTCCAGCAGATGGTACCTGAGTCATGAGCTCGCTGGCAAGGGTCCACCTGGTACACGCAACCAATACACCTATATCGGCCCGACACCCCCTTCTCTGATTTCACAACAAGGCGACATCAATCACGACACTGCGATCTTGGGACATTGCCGAACCCAGTAATCAAACGCTGCCGAACCAAGTCAAAACGTGCCGCCGTTGCGCCGACGTGCAAGCAACTGTGGACCTGCGGCCTATATGTCCGGTAGGGCTGCATTCGGAGACAGTGCGGCGTTTTGTGTTGCAGAGTCCCGCTGCTGGGATGTGATGATGTAAGTCAGCAAAATCGCATGGCATCGTATCACGAGGCTTGAAGAGTTGGAAGTAAGGCACCGACAGAATCGCCGGCAACGGCAATACCGACAACCACGCGTCCCTATAACGTACGATATATAGCCAATGACATGGTCTGCGGCATATTGAGAGATGAAACAATAGTTTCCACTGAACAGAAATAACTCGTTGCTTCTGTGTAGCAAACAAGTATGGTCTGCATCGGAGACATTCGCAACCTGCCGGTCTACAGGACAGGAGACATCTACCGCCAAGACTGGCATATTGCGAACTAACATCGATCCTAAGATACATACACGTGTCCAGCGATACAATCTCCACGATATGTTACCGGATGCTCAAGCTCAGACATGTGTATCCCATCGGCAGCATTGTCGCTATCGATTGACATCCACCTAACCCCAACCCATCTCCGGATGTGGCACTTCCACCATAAATGATAGACAACACAACCTGGCTTAGTGAGACCATTCTGTTGGGGATTCCCCGGATCATCTTATGGCCATAACCATCTCTGGCATATATCTTTGTCCATCATCGTTAGCTGCTTCCGTGGCCGAACGTGTCAGACCTGTATCGGAACATCGGGGACTAACAAGGCAACTCAGGCGCTGACGCGCAGGCTCCTGATACAAAGTGTAGCAGAATTTTTCCTTATCGATCAGCACTGATCAACAATCTTCATTAGCACGCTATAAAGCAGAGACTGGCGGTCGGCATTCTTCATCGCGATGTCATCTTGATGTCGAATGCGCTTGTGCTTTCCATTATGGAGGCATCTATCTCACTTGATCGTGATCTGAAAGCTTATTGTCATCATCGTGGCATGTAGCGCGATTTAACGGTCATACAGCAGAGAGTAACACTCACCTCTGCCACATCCCATCTGCAGGTCCCCAACTCAACTGAAACGCTTTTTTTCTTCCAGTGAAGCATTCCCAGCCAGGAAAATTTGCTTGCGGGATGCCCATCGGCTCAACTTACTGTTTGACCATCGTCACTTATCGTTAATCGAACATGGTAGAAGCGTCAGTACGGTAAACGTAAACATGACTGCCATTATATGTCCGTCCCTCGTAGTTCTTCCCAACTCTTATGTGGTGAAACAAAAAGACCATGGAGCTGCTGCTGGTAAGGGGGCTTTTTGTGCCCGCACCGGTGCTCGCTTCTCCGCATGTAGGCGAGCATAGCAGTAGGACAGTCGGTTGCTGCACTGCAAGTACAACGGTCTCCGCGCATAGCTGGTTCTTCGCAGGATGGGCAGCTTTCCGCAGGCCGACCTTCAAGTACATCGTCAGCCCCTTGCTCTCGAAACCTCCGTAATAGCTGGCTGCGTAACGTTCACAAATAGAAACCTGTGGAGGCTGATATTTGTTGGCTTGTTGATGGGTTGGAATGGGTTCCTTGTAAATCCCGTCTACTTGGGTCCGTCGGAATTGATCAGTGTGCTTACACATCTACGTTTCGGTCTCTCTCTCTCTTGAGTATGTTTGGTTAGTTCTTGCAGTGAGGATACCCTTCCACATGTGAAGGATATGAATTGCCCAGTTTTGTTTTTGCTGACATTGAGGTTCGGAGATGGGTATCCAGTGTGCTTTGTAGTTCACATTTTCTTCTCTGTGCTTTGCCTATTCACCATGTATACGGTCATACATGGCCATGTGTCAAGATGACAGAATTGGAATCATGACATAGCAGAGACCAACACAACGCAGCAGAGAAAGAAACACAAAACAGCAAGCGTTCACATGGTAGCTTAGTCACGGCCCCCCGTAGTATCCGCATCACCTACCTCTTCAGAACATCCACCCACCCGCGCGGCATAACCCTCCCACCCTCCCACCCCTCCTGCACATACCTCTCCCCGTCAAACCCAAACTCAACCAACAAATCCTCACTCCCCCACTCCCCATTGCCACTCAGCCCCACCGGAATCTTCCCCTCGCCCTTGACACCCTCCACATACCCCACCGGAAACTGTATACACGGGATACCCGTAAAATTCGCCAACCAAACATACTCCATATTCCTAATCTGCATGTTGCCATTGGTAACGCCATGAGACAGCTCCGCGGGATCAATGGGCCAGCCTGCATTGGGTGTCGTGGGCGTGACGACAATGAGACCGGGGTGCTGTTTGAAGAGGGAAGCGAGGTGTTCCATGAGCACGTTGCGCAGGCGCTGGGCGAGCAAAAAGTCTGTGGCGGGACTCTGACGCGCAACGCTCATTAGGATGCGGTTGGGTGGTGTGAGGTCGTAGATGGAAGTCTTGTGGCCGGCGGCGCCTTCGGCCATGATGGTCATTGCGTGGGCGAGTTGGCCTTCTGTGAGGAGTGGGATGCTGATATCGATGGTTTGGTAGCCTAGTTCTGATTCAAAGTACCGTAAGGCTGAGTGGAAGGCTTCTTGTACAGAAGGGTCGGCGCGGTCGATCCACGCTTTGTATACACCTAGCACTTTGTTTCGGGGCCCTGTGTGCTTTCTGGGTGGGCTGAACAGCGACGAGGGGTATGTTGATGGGTCGGGCTGGGCGAGTACCCGGTATGCGATTTCCAGATCCGACATGTTGCTTGCGAGGGGCCCTCGAACGGTGACGGATTTCCCAGCATCTGGCATGGGGGCGACCGAGACGCGGGAGTGGGATGGCTTCAGGCCGTACAAACCACAGTAGTTGCTGGGGATTCTGACTGAACCACCGCCATCAGAGCCAATGGCAAAAGGTATGAGGCCGTGTCCTACGGCAGATGCAGCGCCGCCTGAGGAGCCGCCCGGGTAGTATGAGCTGTTGTATGGATTGATTGGTGTACCCCAGTTTGGGTTGTTGTTTGTGGTATCTTTCATAGTTAGCTTTGTACCAAGGGCCGTAGACACTTGTGCTCACCCATGCCCAGTTCGTGCATGGTCAGCGTTCCGACCAGGATAGCACCTTCTTTCTCTACCATCTTTGCGCACCAGCTCGTGTCCTTGTTCCCGCCGTTGCTGTAGTCGTGGGTGGTGCCAATGTAGTGCTTGTACCCCTTGACCTTGAGATCGTCCTTGACACCAAAGGGAACGCCGTCTAGTATGCCCAATGGCTTTCCTTGCTTGTATCGTTGCGTGGAGGCTTCGGCGGCTTGCCTGACCATGTCCACCTTGCTGTCCATGAAGGCTGTCGAGTAAGGCGAACGCTGTGCGACATCTCTGCGAATGAGAGGAAGAAGGTGCTCAATAACATCGGTGGGCGTAAGTGCGCCGCTCGAGTATGCGTCGTGGAAGTCTTTGATGGAGTGGAATCGGCTCGACGAGGCGTGGTTGAACGATTCGCGCAAGCTGGATTTATCTGTATAGCTGGTAGGAGCTTCGTTCGCCTCGGCCACCGGTATCACGGTGGGATCGTAGCGCGGGTCGATTCCGTCGAGCTGTCTGCATTCTCGCAAAGAGCTGAAGCCGGCATTGCTCCACAGGATGCCAGGGACCACCGGTACAGTCGCAACGCTGAGTCGATTAGCTTTGTGTTGAATCGAAGAGGCTCGAATGGCTCACAGGTTGGAAAGATAGTGCAGTAAAGCTCCCTTGACTACAGGATTCTTTCCTGGAGGCGGTGCCTTGTATGGCGCGTCGTGAGGTTTGGGGGTGGGATAGTTGAAGAAGCGCGGGGACGTCTGATTGCTTCCCGACATCTTGGCTATGGCTTCACAGGACCAATGGCAAGGAGAGCTGGAAGGATGTGCAATTGGCTTGCTGGTTAGATTGGGCAGCACTTGTATACTTCTTCGCTGTCTTTATTCTGGCATTTGGTATGCCTCGGGATAGATAGCTGAAGCATTGCGCTAGCTTTCACATGTGCTAGTCGCCGTGTTTCGTCATTGCGGGAGTCCCGGTCGCAAGCTCCAAGACATCCGTCGGCCCCGTCGCACACGACCAGAAAGGAAGCTTTCCGAACAAGGCCAGAAAAGAAGCTTGCCGACAAGACCAGAAAAGAAGCTTTCAGAACAAGACCTGAAACAGAAGACTACATGTATTCAAAATATGTTTGCTATTCATTGCTGCTACAGAGCCAAATGCGGAAGCTTCGTGACAGCTTCAACTCTCCTTCCTCCTAATCCCTCTTACACCCTAAGAACAAAGACGATATAATCGTGTGCACGGCTGGTGTCCACCGGCACAGGGCCCTTGAAGCTTCAAATTTGAAGGTATAATCGTAGTTAAAACCTCTCCTGGACTTTGGGAAGCCAGCGCCGGCTGCATCCGTGTCCATTCGAAGCTACCGTGTGCATCTACTGCTTGCCAGAGACCTGGTCGCCCATGCGGTTGTATTCCTTCTGCATGTTCTCGACCTGCTTCTTCAGGTTCGCCATGTCGCGGTCCTTGGCTTCAAGCTCCTTCTTGAGAGCTCCAACCTCGCCGGCACCGCCAACATCCTTCAGGGAAGAGCCCTTCTTGGTGGCGGGGTCGCCCTTCAGGGTCTTGACCTCCTCCTCGAGACGGAGAACATCGAGGATCATGACGTAGGTGCGGTTGAGGATGAGCGACAGGAAGAGGGTGAAGCCGCAAAGGTACATGTTGCGCTGCGAGTAGAACTTGCGAGCCTGGACCTCCATGCGCTCAATGCCTCCAGCAGCGACGTTTCTTAGGGAGTCAGCATTACATCCTGTACGTGGGGTATATCGACTTACCCTCCGCGGCCATTGTCGTCTGAGCCAGAAAGCTCAATCTGCACGCGGTATACGCGGTTGACGCTGTCAATGAACAGAATCAGGATGAAGATGAAGGTAATCTTCATGCCATATTGCAGCTTTGCTATTATGGGGCTCTCCGAGATGAAGGTGAAGAGCTTGCGGCGCCATGTGAAGGGAAGAGGGACGATGAGGGCGCAGAAGATGAGCATCTCCGTCACCAGGAGCATGAAGACCTGATTGAGTTAGCACTCGAGCAGTGGCTATGGGAGACGTTGAAGCTTACCAGGCTGTAGTAGAGCGTCATGTTGGCTACGTGGTATTATTGTGTTTGTGTGGGCGGGGTTCAGCTGGACCAACAATGGATCTGGGAGAGCTGGTGTGCGAATACGTGCAACAGCCAGCAGGGAGACGAGAGTGGTGCGGAGGATCTGAGGGGATTGCAGGAGTGTTGATGTGAAAGTGGGAACGGAAACGCGATGTGATGTAGGGGAGCCGCCAGCCGCCAGTGCCTAGCTGTGACGTATGATCGCAGCTTTCCCAACTTGCTCACTAGCGCATGGGCCGCCGGTCTAGCCTCTTCTAGCCGCATTCGCCCTCACAATTTGAGCGAGTGCTTTTCTCTTTTGAGCAGCAACGCCAACAACACACGCGTACTGCAAGCCTGGTCTTGAAGCTTGCATAAAATGACGACAGGTGAAGAGACCTGGAAGGTTGCGCCCGCCCATCCCGCCCCGGACGGTGCCGCCACTAACGGCGTGAATGCTGGCAACGGTACCGTGAATGTGGATTCCGAACCACCTGCGAGCCCAAAGAAGAGGAACAGGACCAATAGCCAAGACATTGACGATGCTGACACTTCTGTCAAGCGAGTCAAGGGTGTTGCGCCCATCAAGGCAGAGTACACTACACCACCAACCTGAACCACTCACGTGCTAAGAACACCAGGTTTCTGATACGCCTGGACAACAACAAGGCCGATACAAAGGACAAAGTCATCGACGACGATGCAGCCGAGGGCGCCGATGCAGAGCACAAATCTCAAGGCCTGCCCAAGACGGATGCCCGCGATGGCCCCAGAAACGGCAAGAACAGCAAGAAAGACAAAAAGCAAAAAGGCCAAAACACCAGTCGCACATTCGGCAGCTCACGCGACAAGTTACCACTCTGCGGTACTCGTGCAGTGTACAACGAATTCTCGCCAAAGGAGTGTCCATTTGGCGAAAAGTGCAAATTTGAACATGACATCCGCAAGTACCTAAAGGAAGGCCGACGGGAAGACCTCACCACTTTCGATGGTCAATGTCCGGTCTATGCCGTCAAAGGGTTCTGTCACTTCGGCTGGAAGTGTCGATTCGTCGGCAGCCATTCCGAGGAGCGCACTACAGAAGATGGCAGGCAGGAGTTGGTTCTAAAGGAAGATCCCGAGCGCAAAGCCAAGTTCTCTAGCTTCGACGAGGAAGCAGAGGCTGAGGTGGTCAACATTGTGCCAAAGGATGTCAAGATTGGCTTGTCAAGACGGAAAATTGGCACTCCGAGGGCTGACCAGTACATTGAATGGATCGAGAAGAACCACCGCAACGAGAGGGAGATGTTCGATGCAGCTCAGATGAATATGGAGATTCTCAAGGAAGAAAAAGAGGCACGTAGGGCAGAGTACGTCGAAGCACCCTTCAGACCGTCGGAGAAGCGCAGGCTCTACTATGGACCCGAGACGCCTATGCTCGCCCCTCTCACCACCCAGGGCAACATGCCGTACCGTCGACTCTGCGTGGACTTTGGCTGCCAAGTGACTTGGAGCGAGATGGCCATGGGTATGCCACTCATCCAAGGTGACAAGGGCGAATGGCCACTTCTCAAGGCCCATGAATCCGAGATAACTCCTCCGAAATTCCTGGGCAAGAACACTGTGGTCCAGGGCTACGACAACTCCACTGATATGAAGTTTGGTGCACAGATTGCTGCGAACAAGCCATGGCTAGCTACCAAGACGGTCGAGGTATTGACCGAATACTGCCCCAAGTTGCGCGCCATCGATCTCAACTGCGGATGTCCCATCAACCTCGTTTGTGAGAAGGGAAGCGGTTCCGCTCTCCTTGACAGCGAAGCAAAGCTAGAGCACATCCTCCGCGGCATGACCTATGTCTCTAAGGAAGTCCCCATCACAGTCAAGATCCGCATGGGCACTAAGGACAACCACCCCACCGCCCAAAAGCTCATCAAGCGCCTCGTCCTCGGCGGCCACGAGGCCGTAGAATCCGGAAAGGGTACCTCAGGCATCGCAGCCATTACGCTGCACGGCCGAAGCAAGCAACAGCGTTACTCGCGCAGCGCGGATTGGTCCTACATTGCCGAATGCTCCGCCCTCATCAACCGCCTGCGCAAAGAACAGGCCGACCGGACAGACACCGTCGCTGAAGCTGATCCCCGTGACCTCGCCAATGGCGGCCACGTCTACTTTGTCGGCAACGGCGACTGCTACTCCCACGAGGACTACTACAACCATCTCGACAACGCCGGCGTCGACACCGTCATGGTGGGCCGCGGCGCGCTCATCAAACCCTGGCTCTTTGAGGAAATTGAAAAGGGCCAGTACCTTGACAAGTCTGCCTCGGAACGCCTGTCTTATATTGAAAAGTTTACCAAGTACGGTCTGCAGACTTGGGGTTCCGACGAGATGGGTATTGGTACGACGCGCCGTTTCTTGCTCGAGTGGCTTAGCTTCGCGCATCGCTATGTGCCTGTGGGCTTGCTGGAACATTTACCTCCTAATATCCAGGATCGCCCGCCGAGGTTTAGGGGAAGAAACGATTTAGAGACTTTGATGGCTAGTGAGCATTACAAGGATTGGATTAAGCTCAGGTATGTTTGGCTTTTCTTTTGTTGTTGTTACTTTGTGTTGAAATGGTTTGGCTAACGTGGGATGTAGTGAGATGTTCTTGGGTCCTGCGCATCCCAACTTCAAATTTGAGCCTAAGCACAAGTCGAATGCGTATGAGATTGAAGCCGAGGGCTAGAGAAGGGGAAGGAATTAAGATGGTGCGTTCTGTTGGAGATGCCTGAATACGTGGGCGTGGGCATTGCATGATGAGATGAAAAGCATGGTGGGGTTGATACATTTATATACTACTTCAATGGTGTCTTCGAGCATCTGCATATAGGCGAGTACTGTTATTCCCAAAGGGGGAGGGTAAAAAAAAGTCATATATCAATACCAGCATACATCTTTCATACATGTTCGCTTGCACCACCTATCAATACAGAAATCCGTTGCGTATAAGCCCCATGTATACGTTATTTACAAGAACCCCACCAGCGTCTCCAACATGTCCCTCTCAGCCGGTTCAACAGCCAAAACGCCATCAAGCTGCGCCTGCAACGTCCTCTTGACATCCCCCAGCCCTTCATCCCGCTCCCCCAACGCCTTCTCAATCGCCACTTTTGCGCCGCCATCCTCCGCCACCAACCAAGCCAGCACGGCATCGATCCTCTCCAGACAATACAAGCCCTCGCTCAGCCGCTCAGGAATATTCTCCAGCTCGAAGCTCTCCAGGTCCTCTTTGCTACGTGGCCTGAGTGCTTTTCGCTTCTCGGCTAACCGTTGGTCAAAGGCGGAGAGACGGGTGACGTAGTCTCTGCGTAGGGAGACTAGTTTTGTAATCTTTTCGTAGTCCTTTTCGAGGAATTTGGCGAGTAGGCGGAAACGGGTGTCTGAGTTACCGGGTAGAGAGCGCAGGAGGGAGGCGAAGATACCGAGGATGTGTTCGGTTTGTTGGGGATCGTTGTGAGATTTTTTCGTCTTGTTTGTTTTGGAGAATGTGCTGAAGAGGGGTTTGAGACCGCGCGAATCGATGAGTTTGGTGCAGACGGCTGTTGCGCTGTTGAGTGTGGTTTTTCGTTGTACTGGTTCCTTGCCTTTTGAAGTGCCGTTTGTTTGTGGTGCAGTGCTTTCTTCTGCGTAGCCGCAGGCGTGGTCTAATACCTTCAGGGCACGGCTCTTGCTCGTCTTGCCGTCTCGGACAAAGAGGAGACAGAGTTCCACACCTTCTGCTTCTAGAAATTTTGCTTTTCCTAGGGGCTCCTCTGTCACGGAGGACAGGCAGTTGAACAGGTTTTCCATGTATTCCTCCTCATTGCTATCCTTTTCTGGGTCGTCTCTTCGGTACGGCGCGAGGTTTGTGAGGAACATTTCGACGCCGTTTGCGTCGGCGACGTGGTTTCGGTTCGGTCGCGAGGATTGGGTGAGAATGGAGAGGATCTCGGAGGCGTATTGTTTGTTCTGGGTGGTTGGTTTCTCGGGCTTTTGTATCCTGACTAGTAGCCATTTTAATAGAGCAGTTTCCCGCCCTATTATATCGGTGTATGTGGGCTGTGACAGTAGGTTCTCAATGACGCTGAGGGAGTTGTAGACGCCTGATGCGTCGGCTTCGTCGCTTTCGTCGAAGCGGGAGAAGTTGGATATGAGGAGACTGAGCAAATCGGCGTCCATGAACGCGGTGACGAGCGCATCCCATTGTTCTTGCTCTCCTCCAACATCTTCGTCTGTGAGCTCGGATATCATCTCAATCGCTGCGATTGCAATGTCAGTGTTCTCATGCGCCAATAGTTCCACCAACTTGGACGCCGCGGTGCTTTTCGCAAACTCCTCGTATAGCTCCGGATGCTCTGATAGTATGCTGAGCGCCTTTATGCCTTCGTCCAGGTCGCCTTCCGACTCCATGAACTTTGTTGGGTCGTCTTCGTACTTTGCGCGCAGCGATGCGTTCTTGTTGACCTTCTTCTCAAAGTTGAGCGCCAACTTGCGCACCCACGGCACGTCGTACTTTTCCTCTCGTATAGCATCGTCGCCGTCTTGCGCATCAATGTATTCCATAGCATCCCGCGCATTCTCATCCAGGCCATCACCAAAGAACCGTCCTTCGTCATCGTCGCCAGGCCCTTCTTCAAAATCGGGTGGTAATGAGGGCCCAGCCTCGTCTTCATCATCTTCATCGGCTACCGAGGCCTGCACTGCACCTTTGGCGTCGCCATTTACGTCGAGTTTTGCGGATTTGTAGGATTGCGTCGGGTCGGCTTCGTTTGGGTTCTCGAACTTGCGCTTTGCGGAGCCGTTTGCGCTTTTGAAGAGGTCATCAATGCTCGTCATGATGCGCAATGCAAAGCGAAGAGGACTAAAAGAAAATCGGATACAGCGAAGCGGAGTTGGTGGAGTCGTCGCGTCTTCTCACGAAACCGATGGACAGTGAGGAACCCGTTGACGAAATGGTCCTAGCTCTGTGCTAGCGCGCCTTCTCCGCTGTGATGCCTCATGTTGTGTTGGCCCCACTTCTCCTCTAAGCTCAGCCGCCCACAGTTATTAAGCGGTCAAAACAATGGCTTCCCCGCTGCTGAATTCGTATCGATCTTTGCTCCATCATCATGGAGTCTGATGCTGCTCTGGCCGCGGCGTCCAAGCCATCACTGATCGTTAAGCTTCGCCACCAGCCTCTATGTGCACAATGCACTGACATGCTCCCGCGATGGTGCAAACCACTTGAACAGCATTACCGGCGTGGGAATCCTCCAGCCCGCTGGAACTGGACTATTGATGAACTTACTCAAAGCTCTCTGAGATGTCATTGCTGCCGGTTCCTAGCCCAGGTTCTAGAAGCAAGCCCATGGATCCAACGCGAGGATTGTAAAATGGTTGTTGTCGAAACCTGCACCGTTGGATCTCAGCACATGGCAAAGACTCCCGACCACTCGGTATACAAGACTTATTACAGACCAATGCTTCGTTTGAATCGCAGGCCACAAAGTGACTACTGCTTCATACTTCCAGTTTCGGAAGTTCACGATGCTACTTCAGAAGAACTCGATTCATCCATGTTCTGTAGCAGGCCTGTCAACGCCATGGTCGACATGTCGCTAGTCGCAAGCTGGCACAAGATCTGTATGTCGAGACATGAAGACTCAGCAGACGGCCACGGTTGCTGTCCAAAAACACACGAATTTCTTCCAGACTTCCGAGTTATTGACGTCCAACAACGTTGCGTTGTAAGGACAAGTGGCAAGGTCGACTACGCGGCACTCAGTTATGTCTGGGGAAACGCGAAGCGTCTTGTGCTATCCAAAGACAACGAAGCTTGGCTTACTACACCCGGCGCATTGGCACAAACCAAAGAGAACGTTCCTAAAACCTTTAGGGATGCACTAGAAGTTGCTGCAGCTCTAGGGATTGGGAACCTGTGGGTGGACGCATTATGCATCGACCAAAGCGACTCTGGACAAGTCGAAAACCACATGGACGCAATGGACAAAATCTATGGATCTGCTGTTCTCACCATAGTGGCTACTGGTGAACATGCTGACTTGGGTCTTCCGGGCATCAGCCTTCCTCGTGGGCCTCCTCAGGCGGTCTTCGAATATAATGGAACTCGCTATTTGAGTTCTAAACCGACCTTTGGTTTTGCCTTAAGAGATTGCCCGTGGGAGAAGCGCGCTTGGTGTCTACAAGAGAAGCTGTTCTCTGCCCGACTTCTGATTTTCACCGACTCACAGGCTTTCTATCACTGTGGTGCTGCAACATGGTTCGAGGATACGATTATGGAAACACCGGAAAGTAACCCTGGCACTGTACATAATAGAGAGAGAACAACTCTCGAGAAGAAACGCCGAATGGTCGATTTCCTAGGGCGCACAGCGTACGACGCGTACAACACTCGCAACACTGCCTTCAAAGACAGGAACCTCTGGTCGCTGGTTCAAAGTTACAGTCGGCGGGAGATGACCTTCGAGGCCGATGTAATACGCGCTTTTGGGGGAATCCTGCGATCTGTAGAAGCACAGCATGGTCGTGCTATATGGGGTATTCCTCAATACCACTTTTTGAGAGGTCTATCATGGTATCACAGCGTGCATCGGATGAATTCACGCCGAGAGGGATTTCCTAGCTGGAGCTGGGTGGGATGGCACACCAGCGATAATCATCTGTTGTTTGCGAACTGTAAAAGGAAGGATAGCGATATCGGAGTCATGGATGGTCGATACCGTATTGCTCAAGACAACCACGATGGACGTTCTGTATGGGACCTCGCCTGGTACTATTACACGACTGAAGAAGATGATGTCCAGTTGCACTTAAGGACTGTGCAGCTCGAACCTCAGGATCGTAGCGCGGACCCACAGAGTGTTCATCCTATATTTGCGGCGGCATCACCCGCAAAGACTGAAATCTCAGTTGAAGCCAACATAGATTACGACCATTTGAATGAATGGAGTTTACCTGGTCATCCGAGGAGCGTGGAATATACTCACAAACCAGTGCCACCTCTTGCGTCCAAGCTGGACATGCCTCCAATTTCACACATCCTACGATTCTACACTAGCGTTGCCACAGTTCTAGTTCATCCCAGCCCGATCCCTAATCCTTGGAACGAGAGGATATCTCGTCTCCTTATACCCGGCACCGACATTGAGCTTGCCACAGTCAATATAGACTCACTCTGGTCTGGCATCGGTAACGAACATAGTCTTGTCTATATATCGAGGTACTGCCCCACGTATTACGCATATCTAAACCAGGATGACAAAACTTTTGAGAGACTTCACCTGCTCTTGGTTGAGAGCGTGCCGGAATGGGGTGAAGTGAAGAGGAGGGTGCAGCTGGTACAAAACGTCAGTATCTTGGACTGGAGGAAGGCCAATCCAAGATGGGAGTTGGTCAGTTTAGCATGATATAATCGGGTTCCAAAAGCGACTGATGGCATATCATTGTCTTCTTACTTCCATATCGATTGTCACCACCCCTTATGCGCAGTGGGCGGTGACGGCTCTTCGCGAACGACTTTCGGACCGAAAAGCAGATCAATTATGCGTTTATCGGGGTTTGGAAGCACCCTACACTAAGTCAAACATAGTTTTGAGTGCTTTATCATCCCAAGCTTCGCCACCCATGATTCCCTTCACCTCGGCCATCCCAATGACTTGGTAGCCTTCACCCACTCCGCGGAGTACCATGGGCACCCGTAGACCAGATATCAATACTATTAGATCACCAGCCTGTACAGGACCTGGAGTGATCCCCTCATATCCCTTCTCGTTTGTTAGGAAGCTGGATTTCCATTTGGACTCTACCACCCAGGTTTCAGTTACCATATCCACAAGTAGTCCTGCGGTTCGCAGTATCCCGACCAAATATGTGAAATTAGGCGCTGAATTTCCGGCAGCCTTGAAATGCTGCACGTCCCATCTGCGATATTCTCTGCTCAAATCAGGCACCCATGTAGGTGTTCCTGGATACGATGGCAACGAAGCCTCGATTAGTATATCCAGATTGTTCTGCCACTCAATGATGCGTCGTGCAAAACGAAAATAGACGTCAGCAACGGTGCTGTGTTCATACTCTGGCTCATCTAAGGCGATACCGAGAGCTTGGAATGCGCCATACAATGCAAAAACCTTGTCTCGCAAGTCGGTCGCGCCACGAAGGCGGACAAGGTTGATGTTGTTGATCAGAGCCTTTCGAAGCAGCTGTTGCCTACCTTCGGCAAATTCTTCGGGCGGGTTGAGGAATGCCATTATAAATCCGAGGGAGAGTATGAGAATGACAAGTATCCATGCATCCCAATCACTATTTTCCAGCCTCCAGTGGTCCCTGTCGAATCGGTATACCGCCATACCAACAACGAGTACTAGCAATGTACGCACGCAAATCTCCTTGAGCACGCGAAATCTTCGAAGCGTTTCTTTCTTCGAGCCCGACGAAAATAAGGCCAGTGCCATGTCGTAGAACCGAGCGTCGCTGTCGTCCCAGCTCTTTTGTAAAAGACACAGCCAGAGGACTTCGATACACTGCGCTGCGTTCCGTGCAGAACGGACTGTGTCGATGTTTTCGTGTTCGAAGGCAACGTCGAAGCCGCCCATCAAGTTTCCCCACAGTATTGTCTTTTCGCCGCACATTACGAGAGGAGCGGAGGCCAGGGCAACTTCTTGGATCGTCCAGGTCCTGGTAAACCAGCCTCTATTCAACAAGTCCTGCATCGATCTTGACTTATAAGGATGCCACCGTGGGCAAAAGCGAAGAGCATCTGACGGACGTCAGAATGTACTTCTCAAAGATTCTGATTTGCGTATCAACTTACAGGCTGTGCCGCGTTCTCTGAACCAGGTAGCGACCCGACGCCGCTCTTTTGCTCTCGATAGGTTTGGTCTGTAGTTGAACTTTGCTACGGGCCAGCTGAAAGACATGCGGGACACATGCTGGCACCAAGTGAGCGCGTAGTCGGACTCTGGCGTACTCTCTCCGAGCCACACAATGACTCTGTCGGCTTTCGAATAGATATCGGCCATCATGGCGACCTGGTGGCTCTTGTCCTTTTCATCTTCCTGATCAATGCAAATGGCGTCGATCCACAATATCCGTTTTCGAGCGCGGTGTCTCAATTTAAGAAGGGCTTCATAGCAGTTTTTGGTCACTTGAATGCTCCCATTTCCAACGCCTATGGAGAATTTGGGTTCTGGCGCTCCCCACCCATATGATAGCGCATCGTAGGCCGCAGGATTATGTAGTGATGTCTCGTGAAGCGAGCCTGATATGTTGCTGGAGAGTTCGCTCAGGGGATCAAGATGAAATACTCTAATGCTCTTTCCGTGTAGTTTTATGTATGGAGACGTCATGGTATATAATTTTGGTAAATTCGTATAAGCACTGCCATTTCACCCTGAGTCGACTTTGTTCTTTCATAACCCATGAGAAGTCTTGGCCGAAAGCTCAAGGCAGAATATCCTCTGTTCTATGGAAGTTTCATTCCAAGCTACCCCTCCTGACGCCATCACCCGGCCAATCATATGCGTTTGCTCCGTTCTGTCAGCCTATTTGCGGCGCGATCTCGACCAGGCCATGGAGGAGCTGAAGGCAGAATTGACGCAGAGGCAGCGTTTCAGCCTGAGGCTGAGATAATGCAAGAATCTTGAGTGGTGTGATGATGGAGCAATGGGGTATAGTAATCATGTGGCTTGATGGCATATTATCGTCTTCCCACTGCCATATCGATTGCCACTACCCCTTTTGGCAGTAGGTGGTCTGTCATACTGGCTGATTACAGAGTACATCCATCGCTCGCAGGACACCACCACGAAGCAGTCGCTTCCCAGGCTACTAAGATGCCCTAGATTCCCTAGAGGGGATATCATCCTCGTACCTGAACTCTTCTATGCAACTCCTCTGACTCCGGATCGGAAATCTCTACATGTTCAGCCCCATAAACGAAATCGTCGCAGTTCGACTAAAAAACAAAGGCTATGTGCCCAACAATTCCTACCATATCGTGCGCAAACGCCGAGCTCACAGTACCACAGACATCCTCAGCATGATTGTATCTTACTATTGCTACGCAGCATCCAACAGAGTAGTAAGAGTGCGCTAATCAATATTCCCACCTGCAAAAAGCAAGACTCTAATTTACCTATGCTTGGGATACTTCGTAAATCTCATGTGATTTTATGTTGACGTCTGCTGTATTGCAGCGCAACGCGTTTACGAAGGGGATAGACCCTGTAAACACCGTATGAGGCCCCAGATCTGTACTAGCGCGCCCCCTCAGCTGCGACGCCCACAAGCTCAGCCCCCAAACCTTAACCAGCTTTCAACATAGCTATTGCGAAAACGAAAGATGCTACAGCTTGCACGACGTGGAGACGAAATGCCTCGCCGCCCTCTAGCTTCGCAGACTCGCTGTTGGCCCTCGTTCGGCCCACCACGTTCTCGTGATATTGAGCACATCGCAACCGACATTTGTACCACACCGTAGCTAGACACCGCTTCAGCTTACGTTCGGGAGATATGGTGATCTAGTAGGCGTTCTAGAAGAGGGTGCCTAGGCCTCACACAGCCGACATGGTAGGCTTTGGCATGCCAGAGATTCAGCCTTGCACTGCCATTATAAACGCCTCATGTTTTCAGCTCTGTTACCCCGCCATGCTCCTCCCTTTTGATGTTGAACTCATCTCGCAACTCACGAAAACATACAAGTAACGCTTGCCTTCATTATATGAGAACTCTGTATACGTACTATTCCTACAGTCCTCGTTGAACTGTGCAGTACTATACTATCAAAGCCAGAAAGGCTAGACTCAGGTCTCTCAGCCGTGATTCATCTAGCTAACGAAGAAGCAGTTCCGCATATGGCACAAATGGACGGTTTTGTCTACGAACCGATTGACCTCGACCGCCCGGCGCTTCGGCTCCTACATTTATTAAGAGGCAAAGGGTCGATCATCAAGTGTATGCTGTATCAGGCCTTCCTCGACGGTGCCGACCTCATTCCATATGAAGCTTTATCATATACCTGGGACGGCGCGAATAAGAACTTTACTGTGACAGTCAACGGGAAATCCCTCAATGTTACTGAAAACCTATACTTAGCCCTCCAGCATCTTCGCTCAGAACATATAGATAGGGTAATCTGGGTTGACGCTATTTGCATCGATCAAAACAATATAAGAGAGCGAGGACACCAAGTTCAACAGATGTGTAAGATCTATTCGCAAGCGGAAGAGGTAGTAGTCTGGCTAGGTCCAGCGACGCAAGAGACTGACGTCTTCATGGGGTCTCTACAACAACTGGAAAACCACAGTTCAATACATGGATATAAGCGCAGTCACTGGGATCTGTCACAGTGGACCACATTCTGGCTATTGGATTCCAAGGGCCCAGATGTTGAGTTACGCAAAGGTTTAGATCTGCTCCTAAGTAGACCGTGGTTCAGACGGGTCTGGATCTTGCAGGAGATCGCCAACGCGAAGAGAGCAAATATCTGGTGCGGCACCAAGTCTGTTAAGTCACATACCTTTGCTATAGCTCCGTCGCTCATAGGCATCAAGCCAGAACGTCACTGTCAAGCGGTGTTGGACATCATGCCTGGCCAACTGCGGGAGGAAACATGGTGGAGCGAGAGTAGAGACTTGTACAACCTTCTGCTGAAGTTCAAGGAAAGCGAAGCAAGTGACCAACGAGATAAAGTCTACGCCTTACTGGGAATATCCTCGGACGCTCGGGATACGGATAGCTTGCGTCCAGACTATACGAAAGACCTCAAGAAGGTGATTCACGACACCTCTTCATTCTTGTTCGGACCATCAGATGTCTCATACGACACAATGTCACAATTTGTAAGGGACCTTACTTCTCGAAGTATTGCATACTTTCTAGAACTTGCAAAGACGTCAGACAGGAGCGAAGTAGAACGTTTCCTGAAGCGGCGGGGTCTCGAGGTACCATTACCAGAAGACGTGGTCAAAGCCGCCGCTGCAAATGAGGAAAATGGGCAAGAGATTATGGGCTGTCTTTTCCAGCAACGTGGACACGAAATTTTGCTTACGGAGGAAGTGATCAAAGCCGCCATAGGGAATAAGAAGAACGGCCTGAAGATCATGAAATCTCTTTTACAGGAACGTAGAGATAAAATGACAAGCTCCTATGGAATGATCATAGCTGCCGCTGCAGATGAGGTCAATGGGCTAGAGGTTGTGAAATTAATTTATCAGGAGCGCATAGGCCTATGGGGGAGTACAGACAGAGTGCTTGAAGCCGCCGCAAGGAATGAGAAGAACGGGCTGGAGATCATAAAAATTCTCCATCAGGCAGCTTGGAATCAATGGGAGATTACAGAGGGCGTGATGAAAGCTGCCGCAAGGAATGAGAATAATGGGCTGGGGATCATGAAATTTCTTCGACAGAAACATCCAATTGGATGCCCGGCTACAAAGGGAGTATTTGAAGCCGCCAGAGAAAACACGACAAGTGGAGTGGACGTAACGGACTTTCTTCTTCAAGATTGCAGCAGACGTATACTGAACTCAATAGTCGTTGAAGAGTTAGAGGAAGGCTTAGAACACGACGAAGGGGTACGAGGGTCTTATCCCGAGAACACCGACTTTTGGGCCAGGCGGAATAGACTGTACAAAATCGTACGGCAGGCGACTCCAGAGAGAATTCATATGGCGATAAAGATGCTATACTCACGCGTCAACGTCGACGTGGAGGGGGAAATGCACGGCACCGCACCCAAGCCGGATCCAGCTAAACGTCACGAGGCGGTATTGAGGCTGCTACTAGAGCCGAGCGCCCCCTTCGTCGCCCATTACTCATCGGATCCAGTCACACTTTCGGATCAATTATAACAAACGACCACTGTGTCATGCAGCGCAACCTGGATCTCAGAAAAGTACGGACGAAACAGGCTTAGCTTCAGGCAACAGAACCCATGTGGCTGGCCTTACTATTCCATCTCACAACGATATATGAACGCGCAACCATCGCCATGATTCTTCGAGACATCTTGATTCTCTCTGAACCTTCCTTACTCGATACCCAGTGACATATAACACAGACCAGCATGCAGGCAGAAGGCGGATGCGGAAACTGCACCGATTGTACTCGGGCAGAAGAGCAAGCACGACTGAGAGCCGCCCAAGAAGCCGCACGCGAAACTGAAAGACTCAAGGCCGAGGAAGCTTCCCATCTCTGCACGACCAAATCTATCCATCCAACATGTCCGCTCAAAAAATCAAATCACGAGCCGCTTGCTTGGTCCATCGAGTCCACAGATGTCCTAGACCAGAGCAACAGCCCATTATTCACCCTTCTCCCCCGCGAAATCAGAGACATGATTTACCACTACACCCTCACAGACACGACATCATACCCCGTGGACCGCGCTCGTCCCGAAAACCCCAATCCCTTTGCGCGATTCGACCGCGTCTCTGGATACTCTCAAAGCCGTGCTGGCATCGATTTGTACGCTTCGGATATCGCCATCCCCCTGCTTTACACATGCAAGGCAATCTACCTGGAGACCTACGCCACCCCTCTACGCATCAACCCTTACATCACAGGAGAGCTATCCGTCCAGAGGCAAAAGCGCAACCTGTCAACCTGGCAGTTGGCGCAAATACGCAGCTTGGACATTACGCTCCCGCAGCACGGATTGGAGAACGGGGCTTTGAGGAATTACCTGAATGAGTATTGGAACGCGACTTCACGATCCCAGGGGCGTTGTATCGTACCGTCAAGAGCTATACGCCCATCGGACAGAAAGCGATGCGAAGATCTGCAGTATGCCAACAGTAATAACAGTATCTTGGTACCTGTAGCGGGCGGCGGTTCGGGAAAGAAGAAGAAGAGAGAATTTAACCGCCTTGTCGACGTTCTAGATAGCACTTCCATCATCATCCCCCAGGATTCCATCTGCCCATGCGCTCGTACTCTCAAGGTAGCACTCGCTCAACCTATACGACACATCACACTGCGGCTAACGCACAGCAACTGGTGGACATGGGGCAACGCGCCTACGGATGACAATTCGACCACTGGACACCTCCATCTCGACCCAACATTTGGTTCCTACCCAGACGGCCGCCCTTCAAACACAAGCATGCGCCTCTGTGCCTCTGAGCGTCTGCGCAATCGGCACCCCCGTCTCGACCCACAGTCCTGGGGCTCGCATCTCGAGCGAGCACTCCCGGGTCTCGAGACGTTGGAGCTTGTGCTGGAGACGTGGAAAGTCAAGGAGGAGCAGCTCGAGTGTGTGGTGCAATGTGCGCAGACGTGGAGGTTTTGTGAAGAAGAAGAGGGAGATGGGAAGGAGAAGTGGGCGTTGGTTTGGGATGGTGAGGTGGTGGAGAAACGATGGAGTAGGGGATTGCGAGGATTGAGATTGCCAAAGGATGCGAGATGGGTTGATCGATGTAATGATTTTGAGGTGAGGGTTGTGCGGTATGTGAAGAAGGTAGTGGAGGGGGTAGTTTAGCATTATCTTCCTCATTCCCCATCTCTCACAACTTGCATTGCCAGACCAAAGAGTCATCTATAAATGGGCATTATTTTTTGAGCTGCCTACTGGTATCTAGCACAAACGCATCCATGCGCGTCCATTTCCTAACCGAATAATTACCACCCCTCATCCATCTCGTCATCACATTGTTTCGTCCCCAACAAGCGTCTCATCATCCTCGCACCCAAAACTCCAATCCTCTTCACTATCATAGGCATCCTCTATCCCATCAAGGCCGAAACCAACATCTTCCTCCGCCATACGCATTCGCTCACCCTCTTCATAACGCGCAATCGCTTCTATTTCATTCTGCGTCAAAACAATTGGTTCAGGTACCGACAAAGGCGTTGGAGGGAGTAAGAAAATTCGGGGAAAAACACGCTATGATCCGCCGTTGAGAAGATGTTCAATGGCACCTTGGACGTTGCCGCCACTTCGTCGCAGCGCAGCGACATTCCGGTCAAATTCGTAGAAGCCCATTTCGTTGAGCTGCCTAAGTTGGGTCTCGTAGATTTCTTCAGGTGGTCGGTTGTCTACTGGTGCTGCGGGCGCACCGAAGCCTCCTCCAAATCCACCACCGGGACCAAAGAGTGCGGCGAAGGGGTTGGCGCCGCCCGGTTGTGCTGCGTCACCTGGAGCTCCTGCGCCTTGACCGAAAGCAGCGAATGGGTTTGCTCCTGCACCTCCTGCACCTCCGCCCATCATCTGCATCATGTTACGCATAGCTTCCGGGTCTTGCATCATCCTTTGAGCTGCCTCGGCGAATGGGTTCGCTTGTCCGCCCTGTGCACCAGCTCCGCCGAATAAGTTGGGAAACGTGCCTGAAGCATCTTGTGTGTTTGGTGCCGCACCAGTGTTGGCGCCTTGTTGCTGAGGAGCGAAAGGATTCTGACCTCCCGCAAACAGACTGGCGAATGGATTTGCTCCAGCTCCTCCAGCTCCGGCTCCACCAAATGCAGTGAAGGGGTCTGTAGATCCAGTTGTGTTGGGCTGGTTTGGCGTCGCGGTCGTGCCTTCACCTGTTGCGGTTGAACCTGGTTGTGTTGTGTTGTCTGTAGCCCCTGGGGCTGGGAAACTGGGGCCGCTATTGCCCATATTCCGCTGCATCTGCAGTTGCATACGCATCATCTCTGGGCTGAACATCATGCGGCGCATCTCTGGGTTTCGGAGGACTTGCTGGAGCATCGGGTTGTCGCGAATCTACTCAAGTTAGACCAAAGCAAGATAGAGTAAGGAGGGTAGAGTAAGGGTCTGCACTCACCATAGGACTCTGCAGCATCATATCCACCACCGCTGGGTTATTCATAGCTTCGTTGAGTTGCGATAAGAACATGGGGTTCTCCATCTGTTCTAGCATAGCCTCGGGGTTTGTAGGGGGTCCGCCCATCTACGAACATGTTAGCATGACCCTGTTGAATAGCGAGCTGGACTGTACTTACGCCACCATCTGGCCCGAAAGTGTCCATTCCTGGTAGGCCGTGGAAGCCAGCATAGCGCGCACCTGTCAGGCCAGCAAGCGGGTTGTTGCCTGTTCCGGCAGCAATGTTGGTCGGCACCTGTGGCGTCTGGGTGTTGCCCCCACTGGCTGTACTTGATGTGCCTTGGTTGGCGGGGTTCTGTCTTGCGTTGCTGGCGGCACCCTTGACAAGGTGGACTGTGTGGCCGTCCTTAATCTTGACGCTAGCGAGCGTGTCGGGGTCTTTGAGTACGCGACCGGAGTATATCAGGCGCTGGCGTTCGGCGGGAACATCTGCGTATTCGGGCGTTGAGAGCTTGGTCTTGAGGTCGGCAACTGTGGTGGTGTTGGGCAGTGTGAGTACGTGCTTCTGGTCGTTTGCAGCCTTGACATTGAAGGTGATTTGCGTGTCCTCGGTGGTTGTGGCGGCGTCGTCGGCCATGATGGCTGTTTACGAACGTGGGGTAGCAATGGTAGCGATGGGGAAAGTTTGTTGTACAGGCACCTGGGGAAGTAGAGCTGCCGGTTCTATGACTACGGGCAGCGAAGAGATACGTGTCGTAGAGGCAGAGGCGTGTTGACTGGGAGAGAGAGAGGCGTCGAGGCTGTCATTAGCTTTGGATACGATTGGAAGGCAGTAGAACGTCACAGGTGGACCCGCGCCTTGTACCCTGCCATCGCTAGCGCGTGCCCGTGCATATGGCACTAGCTTCGCTTACTAAGGTGCGTGAGCCAAGCTCCCGGGTGGGGAAGAGCGACTGGGGAAGCATGCCGAGGTATCTTCGGGGAGAGTAGCTGTCCGCCGTCATGCAAGCTACAACGGCCATGTTGCATACCCGAATTAACTTTGGAGCTCCTGACTGAGCGGTTGCTGTTCGACCCTACTACCTTAACATCACAACTTACATCCAAGCCCACCATGAAAGGCATACAGATCAAAGAATACGTCAAGGTACATGTCCCATCTACCCGCCTACAAACCGCCCATTAACCCAGCCCAGGGACCAGAAGACCTCAAAGTCCTCGACCTCCCCACACCTACGCCCAAATCCGACGAGTACCTAATCGCCATTCACGCTTCGGCGACCAATTTCTTCGACCTCCTCCAGATCCGCGGCAAATACCAACACCAACCCGCCTTCCCCTGGGTAGCTGGTTCAGAGTTCTCTGGCGTCGTCCTCAAAGCGCCAACCGCACTCGCAGGAGGCAAGACACCAAAGTTCAACGAGGGCGACAGGGTCTTTGGCGCTTCACAAGGCGGCTACGCAACACACATTGTCTGCACAGAGGAGCGGCTCAAGGGCGTCCCTGAAGGATGGAGTTATGAGGATGCAGCGGGTGTCTTCGTTACAGCGCCGACGAGCTATGCTGGCTTGGTGGTCAGAGCAGGTATCAAGAAGGGTACGTCACTTCACTCCACTCCCCAGCGCTTCTATCCCGTTCTTCGCAGACAGGAAACTAACATTCTCCCTTTCTCTGACAGGGGACTGGGTACTCGTCCACGCAGCAGCCGGCGGCGTCGGTCTAGCCGCCGTGCAAATCGCCAAAGCCTTCGGCGCGACCGTCGTCGCCACAGCCGGCACCTCGCACAAACTCGACGTTGCGCGTTCCTTTGGCGCAGACTACGCCGTCTCCTACCGCGACAAGGACTGGCCCGAGCAAGTCAAGAAGCTCACCCCAAAGGGCCGTGGCGTGGATATCGTATACGACCCTGTCGGTCTGATTGCTCAGTCCATGAAGTGCACAGCCTGGAACGGTAGACTGCTGGTCATTGGTTTTGCAGCGGGTGACATTGAGAAGATGGCTACCAACCGCATTTTGCTCAAGAACGTTAGCGTTGTCGGCCTGCATTGGGGTGCCTATGCGATAAATGAGCCGGAAATGCAGGACAAGGTATGGGACGGCATCTTCCAGCTTGTCAAGGAAGGAAAGTACAGAGGTACTGCTTTTACCGATACCGAATATGTAGGACTAGAGAGTGTGCCTGCCGCGCTCAAGGCGCTGGGTGGACGTGATAGTTGGGGCAAGGTCGTTGTCAAGGTACCGCAAGAGGGAGGGAGTAAGCTGTAGGCTCTAAGACACTCCGCCAAGCGACGATACGAATGAAATACTTGGACTGAAACATGTTGAGCTAGTCACCCATACTGTCGTTTGGTCACATTTCACATGCAGTCTTGTGACAAGTAATCGTACTGCTATTCAAAGCTCTCATTCCAAGCTACGTAGGTATACAAAACGGACCAGTGACCCCTTTGTCTTCAGTGATATGCATTTTTCAAAAGCCGAATCAGGCCAATTATAATCGTAGATAAAGTAGCGGAAAAAGGTTTCAACGCCTGGCCAACCTCCGCGGTAGCCTTTATTTCCTCTCTTCATTCATTCTGTCCCCACCAAGAAAAAAGACAAACGATGAAAAGGGACAAAACGCCATAACCATGCAAAGCAAACTGTGAGCATCTAGGCTGACTGACTATCACCAAGGGGTTTCTTCCCTGAGGCTGTATTTCGAGTACCACCGACAAAGGCGGGAACTGTTCTATCTGCGCGAGACGACTAGTCACGCACGCTCAATCCGGAGCGATCGGTAAACATGCGGGTAGCAATGTTCATAGCGAGGAGTTCCTGGAAGAGGAGTTTGGCAGCGTAGGGGATGTGGATCTGGGAGATGCGCGTCTTGTTGTGGCAAGGGCGGCATTCGTAGAGACCCTTCTTGAGTTGTCTGGATTGCTCAGTTAGCAAGCTATCATGAGAAAATAAAGGAGTAGAGAGAACTTACGCAATAGGACTCATCAAACCGCAGATATCACACACGTGCACCGTGTACGCATCCGAAACGGTAAAGAGACGTTCCTTCAAAAAGGCGGCGGCACCGTGAGCAATCATACAATCACGTTCCATCTCTCCGAAACGCAGACCACCGTCCCTAGCACGACCCTCGACAGGCTGGCGAGTAAGAATTTGCAGCGGACCACGAGCACGAGCGTGAATCTTGTCGTCGACCATATGCCTTAGACGTTGGTAGTATGTAGGTCCCAAGAAGATTTGTGTTCGCATCTTCTTTCCCGTGTGGCCATTGTACATGATCTCGAAACCACGCTTTTGGTAGCCGGCATCCTCAAGCAGACCGGACACTTGGTCGACGGTGATATCGGTGAAGGGTGTGGCGTCACCCTCTTGTCCCGTAATGGCACCGACCTTGGAGAGCAGACACTCGATCAAATGGGCAATTGTCATACGAGACGGAATGGCGTGGGGGTTGATGATCAGATCCGGTGTGAGTCCCTCCCTGGAGAATGGCATATCTTCCTGGCGGTAGGTGATACCAATGGTTCCCTTTTGACCGTGACGAGAAGCAAACTTGTCACCAATCTGCGGGACCTTGGTCGTTCGCGTACGAACCTTGACGAATCGGAGGCCTTCGGTGTTGGTGGTGAAGAGTACCTGATCGACGATACCGTTCTCGGTACTTCGGAGTGGCGTTGAAACATCGCGCTTGGTGTGGAGAGTAGTTTTCTGACCAAGCTCCTGTGCATCGGTTGCGATGGGCGCTGTCTTTCCAATGATGATATCATCACCAGAGACACGCACACCAGGCGCAACAACACCGTCATCATCAAGCTTGTCGTATGTTCCACCCTTAAGACGGAGGGTATCGGCACGGGTAGGCTTCTCGAATTGCTCGAGAACGTTGACACCAATACGCTTCTCCTGTTCAGTGTATGCACGGTAGAACAAACTCCTGAACAGTCCACGATCGATACTGCTCTGGTTCATAATGACGGAATCTTCCTGGTTATAACCACCGTATGTAGCAATGGCGACAATAGCGTTCTGACCAGCGGGTAGCTCACGGAACTTGAGGTACTCCATCGATCGAGTAGTTGCCAATGGCTTCTGGGGGTAGTACAGGACGTTCATCATGGTTTCCATGCGTAGCGCAAAGTTGGTGAGCGCAACACCCATAGCTTGCTTACCCATAGCAGATTGGTAAGTGTTACGGGGCGATTGGTTGTGATCGGGGAAGGGAATGATACTGGCACAGATACCGAGAATCATAGCCGGATGAATCTCGCAATGAGTATAGGCATGGATGCGGGGGTCTGGTAGTGGCTTGAGGCGTCGGAGACGGTGCTCACCCTCGGTGGATCGCTCCGCCGCCGGCAAACCCAATTTCATCTCTCGCCACTCCTCCAGATCCTCAGGGGAGAACGTTATCATGGCGGTCTCCTCCTCTTCAGCGTCTAGGTACTCCACAACACCGTCTTGAATAAGACCTCTCCAGCCGTAGGTAGCTGATTCGACCTCATCCTGGCTCCAACCCTGTCGTGTGCTTGTCTCTTGTTGTTCCTGCTTGAGCTTGTTACTGATCTCCTTGGTGAAGATGAGGTGGTTGCGGTTTGGCTTCCGAATGTCGTTCTCAACAACGAACAGTGGTCTCATGACACGGCCAGCATCTGTGAAGATCTTGAACTCTCGGTCACGAATGTCACGAATCAGACTCATCTCATAGGATAGAGTTCCGTTTCGTCGCAGCTCCTGCACAACTGTGACAAGTTGTTGAGCGTTGGAATGGACACCAACCCAGACACCGTTGACAAAGACCTTGGTGGCATCGGGGTTCTGGTTCTGATCATACTCTTCTAGGAGTTGCATGTTTCGTTGTGTCATGAAGTCGATGATGGGAGAAGCGTCACTACCGACACTAACATAGCACATCAAAGACAGGTTCTTAACCAGACCACAAGCCTGTCCTTCAGGAGTCTCGGCAGGGCAGACAAGACCCCAATGAGAGTTGTGGAGTTGTCGCGGCTTGGCCAGCTTTCCATCACGACCAACAGGGGTATTCGTTCGACGCAAATGTGACAGTGTGGAGGCGTAAGTGTATCGGTTCAACACCTGGGAGACACCGGCTTTCGCGGAAGCGGCCTTCTTCTGGTCACCCCAGTTTCCTGTTGCCAGGGAGTATTTCAGGCCGTTTGTGATGATGCTGGCCTTGACAGCCATCTGAACGTTGAAATCCTGGTTGTTCTCAACACATCGCTGGAGGTACTTGTACACATCCTTGGTGAGCTTCAGGAAGAGGATACGGAACAAGTTGGCGACCAAGGGTCCTGCAAGATCCAGACGCTTCTTACCGAAGTGATCACGATCGTCCTCGTCGCGACGACCCAACACACACTGCAAAAGGCGGTGAATCATGTAACCGAAGAAGTAGGCCTTGCGTGTGTCCTGGCCCTCCTTCTGAGAGATATGCGGCAAGAACTCTCGCTGCATAATGTCCCTTGCGAACTTGAGACGCCTGTCCTTGGTACCAGAGTTGGCACCACGCTTGGCGATGAAGTCCAGAGCAGTCTCCCGATCTTGAACAACTGAACCCTCCTCGATACTGGGCTTCAGCAGCTCCAGCATTTGTGTGTCGGTGCGGTCGTAAACGATGTGGCTCAGAATCTCCTCGTCTGAAACGATACCAAGCGCGCGGAAGACGATGGCCATGGGCACATCCGCCTTGATGTATGGGAGGGTAGCGTATGCGAAGGGACCGGGGATACGCTTGCCGGGACCAGCGAGCGAGTTCTCTGCCCACTTGATGTTGAAGGACGAGATCAACCGGGTGCCCTTTTCGACAGCACTTCGAATTTCGGCTATCCATGGAATGGGACCCTGCTTCTTTCTGAAGACTTGTACAATGTTCGCGGCACTGCGCTCCTGGGCGATGAGCACCTTTTCACTACCGTTGATGACGAAGTATCCACCCTGATCGTAAGGACACTCGTTTAGAGAGAACAAGTCTGCATCTGACTGAGCACGCAAGTGGCAGAGCTCTGACCGCAACATGACGGGCAGCTTTCCGATGAACACCCTCGCCGCCGCGCCATCATCCATGGGCATGTCCTCACGCTCCCACCGAATCTGCGATGGCCCGCCTGTGTAACCTCCCTCCATCTCCTCGTCGTCGCCCTCCTCTGGCTCGCGCCCTTCACGGGCGACCATGATTCGGTTTTCAATGTCCGCCAACATGGCACCGGAGTAGGTAAGGTTTCGTAGACGCGCCTCGTGAGGATACAGTTGCACCGTGGTACCGTCGCCTTCCGTGTGTGTTGGTCGCGCAAGGTAAACGCGCCCGAATTTGATTTCATAGCGGCGCTTGATAATCGGATTCTCCTCCTCATCGGGGTTGTAAGGAGTGTTCTGCTCGAGGATGACGCTGCCGTTTTCTTTTACAATATCCTGGATTGTATTGCGCGTAAATTCATCGTAAGAGTCGAGCTGCTGCGAGACCAGACCCTTTGTGTCGAAGAAAGAGCTGATGACCGCCCAGCAGTCTTCGGGCAAGACGCGGTTCTCCTCATCCTCGTACTCGTCGTCCATGGGGTCATCGTACTCGTACTGGTCCGCCATGGTCGCGACTGAATGTATTAGGCGCGGGGGAGTGAAGGGTGGTGGGTGAAGGCGGACGTGTAGAGTCCTTGCTGAACTTCATGCGACGGCGGCGACTGCCTCCCGAAGGTCGTTCCGAGCTAACGTTGCCGGTCTTAGCGCCGCCACATATCACGTGATGTGGCTAGTGAAGCTCCACTCTGGATGATCAATTACAAAGCATCCTCACCGTCTTCTTATGGTCGCACTCGTCTTACGATGAATCAACGGCAGTCACGTTAAGTTGAACCTTGGGTGAGTAGTTTATGTGCTGGCGCTGATTTGACGGCGGCGTCTGCAGTGGTAGTGTCTATATTCAACCATGGTAGCAGCGAAGCATCCTCATCTATTGGGTATAATGAAATATCCTCATCCATTTCATACTATTAAAATGACTCTGGTTCCACAGCATCTGCATTGCAGTATTCCATAAAGTCCTTTGCAGCCACATTCCGTGCGTGGATCCCCTATATGCAAAAAGTACACCGCCTCTTCCAGCGCTACAAGCCGCCAGTCGCTTCTCTGGGTTCCACTAAGACTCAAATTGTCCTTAGATACAGAGAAGGTATCTAAAGAGTCCTCAGATGAGAGCTGCGTCATCAGAACATCCATCTTTAATGCCATGAGCATCCGTTACTATCGTCCCAACACAGCCTTACTAGCCACTTTCGAACTCGCAATTAAACCCCCGTTCTACCTCCAATACTTCAATCTCCAGGACCGTCTCTGCCCCAAGGAAAGCTCGTTCCACCACATTCGGCAGCGCATACTTCTGCATCGGCCAGCCACCAGCCTTCACTACGGATTCGCAAGCTGCAATATGAGCGCAAAGAATCTCGCTCAGTCGAACCTTCCGTAAGCTTTGCATCTGAAGCAGGGCGAGTATCCAGGCTGATCTCCGCATCATCTCGTGCTCAGGCAATTCTGGGACCCAGGAGAGATATATCTGACCCGTTGCAAATATACCCGAGGGGTATTTGAACCACATCTCCAATTCCCGCAAGTTCGGGGGTAGCAGATGTGTTATATCGCCCCTGTCTTCCCACTTCGCACGTTCATAGTGTCCTTTCAAACTACAGCACGATACTGCCTCGAATAGTGCTAGGGCAGGTATACGCAGGATCTTCAAAGCAGGGAAGGTACTAAAATCTACGCTCATCCAACTTGTGTTATTAGGTCCACCATATGTTGCATCGGGCAAAATAGTAAGTTCCCTTAGCGTGTGTCGGGTTGGAGAAAGACCTCGAATGCACTTATCAAAAGGGTTACCACCGAGCTCGTCGGTCTTGGGCCACACGAACCGTAGTTTCTCCAGTTTGTGAGCACCGCCGAATACCCGGGCGGACCAAAACGATATTTTCTGCGCGTAGTCGATGGCTGTCAAATTCCTAAGATCTACGCTGCGTATCTGTCTGCCTGGCTCCCTGGAAAATCTTGGAACTTGCTGATGTGGGATATTTTCTCGTACGTGTAGCGTCGTGGCTGATGTGCGAGCGAATAGCATCCTAGCCTCGAATAAGTGGCGTGTAGGACAGTCGATTTTGATTTGTATGACGTTTGCTTGGTTTTGCAACCTGGAGACAGGGTCAGTCTTTGGTCTGAAGCATGTCATGGATCAGCAAAATTACATAGGAACAATTCCTTTTTCTATCAGCGAGTACGTTTGATACTTGTCCGGCTGATCCACGATAAAAATAGTCAAGCGCTGTATGCTCTGTACTTTGGCAAGAATAGCGTGGATCGAGTCTCGCTCGAATACGAGGTCTTCTCTGAGACGACAATTAATTTGTAAAGTCTCCACCAAATCCACAAGGTGCGAGGCGGCTGTGAGCGCCCCTAGTAGCATTGAACAACGCCCCGTAGACTGTGCGCTGTGTTGCGCAGGTATCTGGATGTCGCGAAATAGGAGTCGCTGGCCCGAGGCTTTGAAGCTACAATGTGTCTTGCATAAAGCAAACCAGTCGCCCTTGTCGATAAGGTAGGAGAAGATTTTGTCAAGTATCTCGTTGGCGAAGGCCGTGATCTTTGGTTGAGACATTTGGACGTGATATTGAATGTTCCGGTAGAGTTTGGATCTTGAACAGGCGATTCGAGCGAGTGTGTAAATAAGTATGCACGGAGAGCAACTTGGCAAGGCAGAAATGGGTGACTGAAGTGCATAGTAGAAGGTAAATTAGAATGTGGCGACCACCACGTCGCAGTCCCGTAAGTCATAGCTTGGAGAATGTCGTGCACTGCCTTTTCATTCAGGTAATCCACATGTCCTTGCGATCTCCCTTCCTCTTGTCCCAAAGTTCCCCCTTCATAATGCCATGGACATAAGCGTCGCCAATGAATTCCCAGGTAATATCCGCACCTTCACCCTTCTTACGCAGTATCAGTGGTGTCGTAACACCCCCAACCAGCACCACATGATCGTCAAGCCGACATATACTCGGCACCAGCGCATTATATCTCGTCTCGGATTCTTCAACGTTAACCATCAAGGCACCCTTCCGATTCATCATATGTCCTACCATCATCCTGAATTCCATTTCAGGATTTACCCAGCCAAAGCGACGAAGTATACGCTCAACTAAGACTACCATAATATAGCAGACCAAAAAGCCGTGAACACGACACGTACGAAAGAGACGCAGGATTCTCTCGCGTTTTTCGAATGCTCTCCAAGCGCTGAGTTTGCTTTCTGGAGTATATACCGTTGTGCCAGCCATAAACGTCTCGTACATGGCCTGGGTTGCACTCTCGCCCGTTGCAGAGTATGTTTTTGTGGCGCTTTTTGGACGGAGCAGAGCCTCCCATTCGTGAATCTGGTCCATGGTGAATTGCAGGTCTTTTGCTTGGTCAAGCAGAGTTTGGCGACGTGAAACTTCCCCAATTACCCAAGGGCGTGGTGTAAGCTGTGTAACTTTCGCAACTGTGACACCATACAGTCTGAGCATCTTGGGCAGCAACGACTGCTCCAAATCTTTTATCCGAACTGACAGCGAATCGTACGCCTCGACATCGAAGCCGGGTTCGAAAATAGACACCTTCGAGGCATGGTAGTTTACCATTCCGCTGGTCACACTGGCAGGCAGCTCGAACAAAAGCAGCGACAATGGCGTTACTTCCGTCCAGCGCCAGTCTGGCACCCAGGATGGAAGTGAACACTGTTCGAATTTTGAATGGCTTTCTTCATGGGAGGTGGTGATAAGACGAGGCACGTGAAGAACCGCTACTTGTGACTTGTGAAGCGCGCGCGCAGCCAAACGAGTGTACACCACTTCCGTAGTCATGTCTTCTCTGTAGTCTGGCTCAATATCCAGCTCTTTCAGTGACTTGTTACATCTCATCCCGTAAAAAGCATACACTTTATCCCTGGGGTCGCTAGACAAACAGAATCGATGTCTCAGCAGGATGACAGGCCAATCGAGGTCGGTGCCGGCCACCCATTCCATCTCACTAAACTTCATGAACGTGATGGTATGTGTCTTGTTCCTCGCATAAAATTCCCACAGCCATGGCTTAGTCATGAGAAACAGGTATGCAACTATCAACGATTGGAAGGTTATCATAGCGCTTCCACACATAAACGCCGGTTTTCTGGAAACAATAACCTCCTGCATGATCCAAGCCCGCTCGAAGTAAGGCCGGTCTAAAAGGTTTAGCAACGTTTCAAGTGCTGGATCGCCCACCTTGACCTGGACACGTGGATCTTCCTCTTTCTCTTCCTCTGCTGTGAGAACGTATTGTTTTTGTGCCGCCATCTCAATTTTGTAGGTTACGTGCAGTCGTGAAGCATAATCAAATGCCGTTGCTATTCCCTCGACTTCTAATCCCAGCCAGCACACAGTAACAGCGGCCTTCATATATACCTCTCGCATTTTCGGTACGTTTGCAGTCTTCTCGTCATTGTCCATCTGATTCAAGCAAATGCTATCGATCCACAAAGTGCGTGGTCTTACATAACGCCACCCACGTACCTGATAGAGAAACGGTATTAACGTGGCAGGTATCTCGAGAGTGTTGTCGTTCTCCAGGTCTCGAGGAGGGGCCGCGTTCGTAATGTGTATGGCACCTTTGTGTGTTGGTGGTCCCCAGCAGTATGAGACCGCCCAGAACGCCGGAGCTTTCGATAATAATGTCGAGTATAGTCGACCGGTAATAGGACCACTCGGTGGACCGTTGTGAACTTCCAGCAAGCGTATATACACATCTTCTGAGTCGCGGAGCATCGGTAGCGGTTGGTATTCATACGGCATACTTCCAAAGTTGCGCGCCGAACGCGGTTGATGACTCTGGCAGTATCGCCCGATATTTGGTGGAAAGCGCGCAAACACCTACTTAGATACCTTTATTGCTTGTTCAACCTCATATATACCTAGGTAACTGTATGCGCATCGATGGCTAAAACGTGTCACACTCGGCATGCTCATGGGTGCACGCAATACGAAATAAGACCAGTCCAGGCATCTCTTAAAAGCGCCACATCTTCAGCTCGCTTGTTTGTGCCGGAGTAGAGAGACACGAGGCTGAATGGAGGTGCGCCTCTGCGGCCGAGAATTTAAGCACTGCGCTATGAATGCGACAATATGAGCGAAGGCTCATACTTGATGCTGAAGCTGGTGCCAGAGTACATGATATGGTACAGGGTCTACTTTCATAGAAACCGCCGTGCCTGCCAAGGCTCATCACGTGATGATCACATGCGGGCATTGGCTCCCCAGGCTATCCAGCCTAACAGTATATCCTTAAGCCTGTCTGTTCACTCGTAAGACACGTCACGATTCGGTTCGAGTATACTCAATAACATATTCCATGAGCCCTGGCTAGCCATCTGGCTCTGGAGGCACGCGCAATCCGGACGCGTGTCTGGTAAGACGGGGACTTACCTATGTACACTATGCAAACCCCCAAGACCCCGACATGCACACTAAGAGGTCCGTACCAAGGTATTCAACGTGAGACTGACCTCCGATTTACGAGGTTTGCTACCCCACTATGATGCACGCCGATATAGACCCTAGCTTCCCTACCGTCTCCACCGATCCCTCACCCCTTCACATGCACCGCCTCCTAGCGCCATCATCGCCATCATCACACCAAGAGCTCCTGATCTGCCGCGGGTCAAGTTCAGCAGTTCGTGCAACATGTTACAGCGCGGGCGCCTTGCCCGCTCCAAACTTTGTCGGCCCTTCCAGCTATCGACCCCGCGTCACAAGAGCAAGTCGATGAAAGTTGGTTGGCTAGCTTTGACAACTCTACGCTTGGCTCGGAAACTGACCATTCTGAGAGGTTCGCAGCATCTAGGGTGGCCAGACCAAGCCCACATTGGCTGTATCGAGCTGCAGACGCCAGCCTTGGGCTTCATCTGATGAACAAGTAGCTACTTTTAAGGGTGACTCCTCTTCCTTTGTCGTCAGATCCGCCTTCCTCCGGGCTGCGCGCTCAGGCGTGAACACAACACCTTGATCAAACCACTCCATAATCCCCGAGCCATACATTCCGTTGCCTCTGGGTCACCACATGCGCGCAGTTGGTGATCGCGCCACCCGTGATATGCACGCAGCTCCATCGGTTCACATCGGAGAGCCAACCTGCTGTACATACGCAACATCTCGAATCACTCTTAACCCTTAGTCCCATCTTCCTCTCTTAGGGGCCACATTATCCAGTTCTTATTATTATGTCGAGCAACAATACCGAGGAAGAGACGCCCACGGGAGCCAAAAGCGGTACTATTGTTGTCGCTATCGTCGTACCCTCAGTCTTGATCATCCTACTTCTTGGACTGATCATCATGTCAGTAGCCACACTAGTAGGATATAGAGCTTTAAGCATGTCTAAGCTGACGATAGGAACCGCCGCAGGGGCTCCATTTTCCGACCATGTAGCCGCGCCGAATCTGGTAGCAAAGAGAAGCGCTGGAAAACGCGACAAGACGAGCTAGAAAGCCACATCAAATCTCAGAACTTCTATGATTGGCTCGCAAGTCAGAAAGAGAAGTCCGCTGTTACATCACAACCACACGATCCACTATGGTGAGTATATCGAATGAGCTTTGTCAATTGAGCAGATGGACTAACTTTGGGCAGCGCCATCTGTCTGGACGACTTTTCCGACGATGCGCAGGTTCGGGGCCTTCACTGCTCTCACGCCTTTCACTCACGTTGTCTGGACGAATGGTTCATAAGGTACAACGAATACTGTCCATTGTGTCATCGACCGATAATACCGGGCTCTCGATCGTCGAGGAGAAAAGCTCGTGAGAGACTGGATCCGACCATTCCAGTAGTCTTGATGGTATAGATGCTGAGGTGGACAAGCTAAGATGTGATTACGACTCTGTTTGGTTGTTGAGTTTTCGGACAAACACACACAAGCCTGCATGGACCTGCTTGGCAGCATGCGTCTATCAAGAACAGTCATGCCTGCAGAAGAAGCTCGTTTCGAACTTCGAATTGCTCAATATCCAGCCATGCACAGCTAGAGCTTCGGGGTGGAACCAGGAAGCGTAAGAAGATTCTGGACCCTTCGCCTACACGGGAGCATCCGAGCAGAAGCCACCAACGGCAAACTGCCGGTTCCCCAGGATTGCCTAATTGCTTTTGGGAACTACTACAAGGGTCGATCAAACGGTTCGGGCAAGAACTATAAGGTTGTGGGTCGGCATGGGTCGACTCAAGACATGGAGTGTCTTGGGAGCGTTGAAGAGGATATGATCGAGCGCAAGGATACTGCCACACTGAAGAAAGGGAATCGATCTGCAACAATATGAGGAAGTGGCAAGATGTCAAAGTTCCAGGATAGTGATAGGGTGCATTGCAGTGACATCTAGACGCGGCTCGACACGGCCTGGTTCTGCTGATAGCACTGCATCCAAATATCGAGAAGAAGAAAAATGCTACACAGAAGCCCTGAAGTTTTTCAAAAGCCTCACATATCATCTTTATAGGCCTTGCCAGCAGAGAAGAGAATTGCAGAGTTGTTGTGGTAGTCTTCAAGCATGCTAGGTGCCGCCCAGGTGCTATTCGTGGGGCAACCGAGACCGCTAGCGGGAGCGCCATTGGCTTCCGCTTCGACATCGCATGGTGTCCAGCACTTTCAATCCACCCATGCCACCTGCTATGCTATGATTCTCAGGCACATGGGACAACAGCTCTCCGAAAATGCTGCGAGAAAACCGCTGCTGTGGCTAAAGATCGCGATGAGGCGCAAGGCGCACCGTCGCTAGCATGAATCCGGACACGAAGCGGGGCCCAGGGAAATGTCACGCCACCCTCAGGTGGTCTGATCAGTAACTAATCTAGAACTGCGCGGAGCCTGGCACAGGACAACTTCCGCACAATCGCTGTACCGAAGTCCCGTAACGAGCGACGAACCTTTTCTAGGCTTCTGGCTATCCTTTGCACCTGCCACTCTCGATTTTGCATCTTCGTGAACCCCTGGCCAGTCGGGAGATCATACCTCAGACGAGCGCTACCACGAAACATTGTGGACTTCGCCTGGAGTTACCTGCAACTACTGCCAAGCAGTTACCTTGTGTCTTACTCACCATCCTTATACGACCGCCAATCCCGAGTAAAACCCAGGGAAATTCTCTTCAAGCGCCTGGCTACATCTTCGCTCGTCGACCCATTCTGAGTGCTGACGACTGTCTCTTGATCTTGACAAAAACGGAGGAAGTGCTTGCGCTTATATCCTCGACCCCAGCCGGCTCTGATCCTGCACCTTGCCTGCTAGTCTCACGTGTGGCTTGGCCAGCGCACCTTAGCGATTGTATCTCCTGATCAACGCGTGAGCTCTTCCGTGCAACAACCCACCTGCGGACTACCATCATGGCTCTCAATTGGGACGCATTCCTCAATACTGAGGGTTTCAACCTACCGAACGACCAATGGTCCGATCTTTTACCACCTACGTCTGCCCCTCCCAACTCCCAAATGCCTAAATCCACCACCACCGACACGTCAGGCTCTTCACCTGAAGACGTCACCAATTTTGACTCTCTTCTCGGAGGAACATCAGGCGATCCTTACTTTGACGACTCCCTGTTCTTATCCAACGATTACTTTCTCGGCGACCTTGACGTCCTCAAGCCCTTGGGCAACAACGTCGGTGGCGGCAGATCAACCACCGAGTCGTCACCCGAGCCTACAGCAGGCACTGGTAACAACTCGCAATCTCAGACACCGGCATCGCTGGTGGACCAACTGAGCCAACAATTACCCCACATGTCGCCCGCTCAGAGGCAAGCACTTCAACGTGCTAACACCTTTCCTAACCCGGGCTACGAATCTTTGTTTCCCAACAATCTGGAATCCGGTTTCGTTGAAGACCTCACCTTCCCAGACGGCCCGAAAGGATCTTCAACCGCCACCAAGCCGGGGCTTGAGAGAACTCAAACAACAGTAACAGCAAACACTACCACAAAGCGGACCAAGAATAAGCCGGACATACTCTCGGCTTGCTGGACATCGCCACTATGCCCTAATCATGACCAGATCGATGGCACACCACCTAATCCGTCGACGTGCGGCGGTGGGTGTGCTCCTTTCTTGTTCGCCGACCAAGATGCTCTTCCAAGCATTAGCAACCTGCTCTCAGACCCGCAGGAAGTCACCATTGAGGACGGTGTAGTAGAAATTCAGCGACGGCCCAAGAAACGATCTGAAAGCGACGCGTCAGCAAACGGCTTCTCAACACGTCACTCTAGAAACGATGAATCTACCACATCGCCGACAGACGATCGGCAACGGATGAAGAGCGAGACCACAGAAGACAATTCTACAAAAGCGTCGCCTCAAGATGCCGACGATGAAAAGCCGAAATCACGCCGACGACTGCCGCACAACCAGGTCGAGCGAAAATACCGGGAATCACTAAACACGCAACTAGATTCTCTCAAGCGTGTCGTGCCCTCCCTTCAACAAAACAACCGGGCATGCGACGGCGCCGACATTGAGGACCTTCCCACACCCTCGAAGCCTAGCAAAGCAGTCATTCTTGCATCTGCGACTGCCTACATCAAGCAAATGGAGAAGGACAAGAAGAGAGTGGAAGAAGAGAATCAGCTGCTCCGAACCAGGGTCAAGGCCCTCCAAGCACTTGTCAAGTGCGACGACTGTAGCCTGATGCAGTACGTCATGGATCTCAAGATCAAGCAGGCGAGTTGAACAACATCGTGGTCTCTTTGCTTCTCTATCCTTGGTAGATAAGATGCTGGCATCTACACAGCATCCACTCGGCGTTTGGTTGGGTCACGGATGAAAACGCAAAACGCTCCATGTCAACGGTTACAGCTTCTTCAATCGATAAGATGGTTGCTTGTTCATTTCACGGCCGACTTGTACTGGATACATACAGCATATCGCTGTTATATAATGATGGTGTTTGGGACTAGGACGGTATGCGCTTAGGCAAGTGCGCTCCATGGCGTTTGTGTGATGTGCTCGCTCTTTTGCGATATTGTAGAGTCTCTACCGTAATTGAATGAACGGTCTTTACACTGCTGTTACAACGTCACGCAATACGCAATGTGCAACTGGAGAATAGCGAACGGCCAGATCTGCTTTATGAACTCATCGCATTATTACTATTTCCTAACCAGATACCGTTCTCGATCTTCCAAACGAGCCATACAAGAAGGAGGCGAGATTCCTATTATATACCCTTTACCCCAAACGCCAGAAAATCGCAAAAGGCCACCGGTCTTCATCATCGTTGTTGTCCTGCTCTCAATCTGCGCTCACCTCCTCGACCTTCACTTCAACACCTTTCGCTTTTGCATCCTCGAAATTGGGTGCTACATATCCGTCTTCTTCTACAAATAAAACGGCTAGTCAGCCTTTCGTTCGTCTTCTTCATAAGAGGTAACAGAGGGTTGAAGTGGAAGACTTACGCATCCGACATTGTATGTAGCCGATTGGGTAGATTGGTCCGTCCCATCGATCCCAGCCTTCTTCGTAAGATGTTATAGCGGCTTTCTCAAGCTCGAAGGCGAGTTCTGCTGCGGTGGGTGTAGGTAGCGTTGTAGCGGACATTTTGGTTGAAAGTATATTCGTGGTTGTAAACGTTGATATTTGCAAGTATCCGATGTAAGTAGGTATCGTTGTTGCTGGTTTATCTTGTGTTTGGAGATATGATCTTGTCCTCTCCAGAACGCGGATTAAGTAGTCCTTCTTAGAAGTCGCGACTCATGATGTTGGGAACGAACATCCAGCACGTGGTGGTGAGACTTCTCACTTAGGCAATGTCAACACGGGGTTCAGCAGCACACGCGACGTCGTATTCGCCTCGGTGAGCATTCTAGACATTCAGTATCACACTATCCCGCGAAATCAACCCGCGCGTTTTCTCCGCATGGAGGATTTGGTCAAGGGAGTTTCCAGATGCAGGGTTCGGGACGTTGCGGGGGGTGCGTCTCGTATGGTGGCGAGACCGGCTGCTTCCGCCCGGGCGCGCGCCGTCACGCCACTTGTCTCCCCACCCGCAGGCTAACGCTGAGGGTGTCCTACTACGAGAGCAGATATCTGCCGATCAGAAGTGCTTGTGCATGGGCTTTCCGGTACTGGATTGCCTGTGTATCACACGATATTGCTAAGCTGCATCAGGTCATATGCGTCTCTTAGTAGGAGGATGGCGTACGTTAAATGGTAGTGATGGTTCGCGAGGCTGTAGATACACATCACAAGCATTCTACTGCATCTACACTGCACTATTAGCTACCAGCGAGCAACATCTTCGGTCACTTCATTGATACCCGAACTACCAAGATTTACCTCACCACTACGATCACAATCGGAAGCAGAGGACAAAGATCGACCTACATCCCACAACACATGTCACTCTACCCAAACATTCTCGACATCTCGGCCTTCAATACCATGCTTGCGCAACACCAACACCAGCAGACCCAAACGTCTCATTTACCTCCTTCCCCCAACAAACCCACGCACACGCCACAACCAGGTCACCAAATAACACCGTACCACGTCTCCGAAGCAGTCCTAGACTTCTTCTCGCACATGTTCGCACCCGCGTCATACCAGTCGTGTACATGCTCGACGCCGTGTTGGACCCCAGCATCTCCTAGCACCGACGCCTACGTTGTAGCCTCGGGGCACGACAAGAAGCTTAAGATTGTGGTTGACGACGACATCGTGGTGCTGGAGGACGAAGATGATGGAGGACCGTTATGTAGGGAGGCTACCATTGCGAGCTGGAAGGCCGGAGGAAAGAAGGAAAGGAGAAACAGTAGTAGGAGAAGGAGCCTGCAATGGTTGGCGAGTGTGATTGGGAGGGAAGCATAGAAGGAAGTGTGAGAACGCTCAGGAACGAAGATAAGGAATAGAGACAGGAGTGAGAAAGTAGTCAAGTCGAGGAAATGTAGATATAATGGCAGGACTTGATCCATACTATGGATACACAATCGACATCCTCTCGACCACTACAAGTGTGATTGTGTACACTATCTTGAGAAGAACCTCCGGGTGCTCCTTAAAGTAGCAACCAGTCTAAATGGTGTTTCCGTGTTGAAGACCGAAATTACTGTCCAATCAATGCTACCTAGCTGTCCACAGGCCGTGCACGATGGAAAATCTCGGCACTCTCCAACAGTTGCCCATGTACAAACTAGTTTCTCCTGCATAGCGCATTGCGCACACACGAAAAGATGATTACAACAGAAGACAGTCTTGAAATACAAAGGCAGAAATTGATCCACACTATAAACGACTAGCACTAGTCTCCTAGTAAGACACCATGGTTCGAAGGAACTCCTGAGACATGTTCGATCGCTTTGATGTCCTTCGTCTCCTACTCCCTCATGGATAAAGAGTGGCTAGTCAAGTTACCCGGTCAATCTTTTGCAGCCCATAGCCTCAACCCACACGGTCCAGTATGCAAAACATCAGACCACGACCCATTGCACACTTGGTATGTATGCGAAGTGGACCAGTCGCCCGACCGCCTTTCTTGTTTCATTTCTCTGTGTGCCGATATCCAGAGACGCTGGGACGCACCAGCAAGGAGCTCAGAGGTATTCGAAGAACGTGGGAGGTACAAGTGAGAATTTAAGACTGTGCCTGGAGATATTCGATGAGAATGTGGGGAAAAGATTAATGATGAAGCCTGGAAGTATGTGATAAGAAGCTTCATTTGTAAGCAACCAACATGTATGAGCCATCGGGTTGTTGCCATTTTTGCAGAAGATCGCTCTTTGCCTTTGCATGTCGAGTCCCGAAAATATACCAGCGAGCATGGTACGCCATTCCCTTGAGGCGACGGATATGCATTCACTGAAGTGAGAGGCAAATGTAGCAGGTACGCTACGTAGTCATATTGGCAAACCCGGATCGCTACGCCCTTGTTCAGTTGCGCAGATACGTTGCACAGTAAGACCATGTGATAAGTATGGCAGCGCTGACGCATTATCCAAATGCGGCTTCGAAAGCCGTCCAAGGAATGTTGCATGTCGAGCAAGAAGAAAAGAAAGAAAGATCGCCAACCCCAACGCTCGTCACCGTCTTTACCGCCCGAAGTTCTGCCCGTCTTAGCGTCTTGGCAGCAAAAAGGGTAGTCACTGCTCAGTGATGATTGGCTAACTTCACTATTTCCGCCTCCCCCACCCATTACTTTAGATGGAAAGGTCGCGTTGAATTATTGACATTACCAACGCGTCTAAAAGCTCAAAAGACGACAACAACGACGATTCGCAACTTTGCGAAGCCGGAGAGAAAAGGAAAGAGAAAGGAACGGCAAGCAATATGAACACAGTCGAGCGCGGAGCCATGGGGGAAGAAAAGGATATAAGACTAGGAGATGGGGAGCATAGACATGCTACAGATGTGGAAAAAGCTGGCAACGATGGTGGTGACATGATGGGAGGAACACCGTCCACGAAACCCGACCTACCTCCTCTAAAAGGCCTATCATTCCTCGACCGCTTTCTAGTAGTATGGATCATTCTCGCCATGGCCATTGGCATCGCCTTGGGAAACACCGTCGATTCCGTGGGTCCCGCGTTACAAAGAGGAGAATTCGTCGGCGTCAGTATACCAATCGGTACGTCTTAACATCCTACAAGTCCGCATCCATCCTGGGACCTGGTCGCAGGTCAACTGCTAACAACATTGTGTGCACAGCAATCGGCCTCCTAGTCATGATGTACCCTATTCTCTGCAAAGTCCGCTACGAAACTCTCCACCTTCTCCTCAAGAAACGCGAACTCTGGATCCAGATTGCAGTCTCGTTTGTGCTCAACTGGATCATCGCACCTCTCTTCATGGTAGCACTCGCTTGGGCTTTCCTGCCCGACCGGCAAGACCTCCGCGAAGGACTCATCTTCGTGGGCATTGCACGTTGCATTGCCATGGTCCTCATCTGGACTGATCTGGCGGGCGGCGACGGCGATTACTGCGCCGTCTTGGTTGCATTCAACAGCATACTGCAGATTGTCCTGTTTGCACCGTTTGCCGTGTTTTATATCCAGGTTGTCAGTCATGGGGATAAGACGGATATAAGTTATGAAAAGGTCGCGCAGAGCGTGGGTGTGTTCTTGGGCATCCCGTTGGGTGCTGCGGTACTCACGAGATTGGTATTGCGGTCCCTGTTGGGAGAGGAACGGTACCAGCGCCGCTTTATCCGCTATATCGCACCGCTTTCACTCATCGGGCTGTTGTATACAATCATTGTTCTTTTTGCTAGCCAGGGCGCGCATGTAGTTCGGCAGATTACGGATGTGCTAAGGGTTTGCGCGCCGTTGTTGGTTTACTTCATCGTCATCTTTACGAGTACAGTTTGGTTTTGCTGGAAGATGGGATTTAGCTACAAAGTCAGTTGCACGCAGAGCTTCACAGCTGCGAGCAATAACTTCGAGCTGGCTATTGCGGTAGTGGTTGCTGTGTACGGGGCGGGTAGTGGGCAGGCGCTGGCGAGTACAGTGGGTCCATTGATTGAGGTCCCTGTACTGGTGCTTCTTGTATATGTTCTCAAGTGGATACGGAAGAGATGGCAATGGGTCTAGACTCTAGACCTTGGTAGCAGTGTATGATGATCGGAATAAGACATCCACCACCATGTAAGCTAGCCGTTGAATCGGACCTAGGACTCAGTCGTGAGGAAGGTACATTTGGAATGTTCCTTGAACGCTTGTGCTGGTGTGCCTTAGTGACATGTTTGTCGGGACGGTTCAGCAATGGAACGCTCTGTCGAGGTTCCATCGTTTGTAACAATCAATGTCTAGCAACCAGTCATGTACGAGCGGAGAACGTACCGAAGTTCTTTTCTATACACTAAGCATATACACCAGCATCATTAGTCAACCACAACCAGTGTTAGACCAACGTGGGCCAGGGTATAAAATGCAACTCCACAGAGTGAGATGGGTTTGACGTTCGGCTCCGAACACCGGTTCTTGATTTGGATAAGATTGTGTTCTTTTGATCGGGCGGTGAGGAAAACGTCAATCTCAAATCGAGTCGGGTAGATATCAACCGGTGGCTTATACAGCAGGATAACGCGTCGATTGTGCATGATTGTACCCACAATCTGAATCATAGGGGATATAATTTTGCAACGCAATCGTGGCTGACGCGTGGGTTGTAGTCTGTACGTCAGTGTCCAGCAAGGAGATGCCGCTGGTGGCCGAAACGACTTTGACATTGGATCTTAGGAGTAACGGATATACGCACTACGTCGGGGATCGCCCTGGGGTGCGCACTCCCAATGGCCTTTGTGAGTTGTACCATCATCGTACATGCTGGGACGGGCCATGACACGGTGAGGGCCGCCTAAGATGCTGCAAAGGTTTGCGAATCGAGACTTTGCGGCATACGCCATGTGCGAACACAAGATAACGCGGCCGGTCGACAAATACTGTCGTGTATGACAATCGAATGGGCATGCACGGCATGTATGCTGACTCGTCATTCCGCACGCAGAATTGTCGCGCGTGTGTCGAGAGTGACATGTAGGCAGATGCAATTTGCCATGTGCAGGAAGTTCTCTCGAAAAGAGATAGCGGCGGTAGAGTATGGAGAAAGGCATGTCGTGCATGGATAACGGGCGCCAAAATTTCGGTCTTTATTGAGCCGCGTGGTGAGGCCCTATCGTGATGAATTTCGCTAACCGCCGTGTCCCCAGTCAACACACAGCGACCTCGGATAACCTACACCTACTCCAGGCGAGAAAGAAAAGGCAAGCGGCGCCGAGAGTCATTCCGCCTGCTGGAAGAAAACGGGACATGACGTAAAGAAGGACCGTAATTCGGCGCGCACGCTGACTCTGCGTTGGCAAAAGTTTCCGATTAGAGATATCCTGCAGACGGATTATGCTTCTCGGGCTGTGTATGTTTCGATGATGTCGATTGTGCAGGTGCAATATGTCTGGAACACTTTGACGCGCCTGAAACACCTTTCTGAGGTGTCGGGCAGGCCCAGGCCATGATGCTCTGTCGTCTCAGAAGCCTGGAATGTAGCCCCACGCGCGCTTCATTCTGCAGCCGCGGGCGAATGCCGTCGCGCGATGTGCTGTATCCCAGGCTGGACCCATGCGTATAACGGCAGTCCCTACCGGCATCGACCTTGTTGCAGGCTGTCGAAAGAGGGGAATGTCTCGCTAGAAGGCCGTTCGGCGTACGGCGTCGTGTTTCGAGAATGTTGAGTGGGTTGATGGTGGAGGGAACAATGGTGTTCATGCGGCATCGACCAGCCGGCGGCTCGCCAGTCACTTTCCTTCCCAGCCCTATGGAGAGTCCCAGTAGACCGGTTCAGCCATGTTAGCGACGACCGTGTTTCACTCTGCCTTGCTATGCTCATCCCCGCACTCTTGTCGCCCTCGCCATCATCTGAGCCTGTTTCTTCCCTCTCCAACCCTGCAGCCGCCCCTTGCGAGGTTGCATCGTGGATGTTTTATGCTGGTGTTGTGCTGATAACTGAAACTGCCCCTCTGTGCCTGCAGGCCTGTCGCTCGCTACCAGGTCACCGCCGTCTGGATCGTGGAGCTGACATAAGACCCTGGCGGCATCTTCCTGGCAGGCAGCTGGCGACGTTGTCATCTCCACTTGCCATGTTCTCGCTCGCGTCTCAGTCCCTTGGGCATGTTGTAACATTGGAACCATTGTTTGGTTATGATGATGGGAAAAAAAGTCTGCTCGCTATTGACAGCGTGCATTAGGTGCACGATGATCGCCTTCTAGCTACACTCAGTAAACAGTTCGCGGGTCTGGTGTATAGTCTCCCGTGCGGCGCAGTTCTCTAGACGGCAACTAGGAGCGAATTAAGCTGTGTGATCCTAGGCGGTGAACCATGCTTCTGGGAACGCTTTCGACAGCATGCATCACGTATCGACAAAGTTACCTGCCGTGTCGGCGACTGCATGCGAATCCAATCGATCTACCTGCTACTGACTTGGCAAAAGCTAATATCACAAAGAAGTCACAAAAAGACATGTAGGCATTTATTGCTTGTTATCGTCGTCGCGAGGAGAGCCTCTCGCAGACAGATGGGTGGGGTTTGGCCCCTTGCGTAACCCTTCTTGTACCAAACGACGAGTCGGCAGCGGAACGGCGCGCGGCGCTGCAACAAGACTTGTGTCGAAGTGCGTCGAAGTGCAATCGAGATGGTCAAGTTATTAAGTGTGGGTGGGCTGCAAAAACCTGGGAGCAGAATCTGGGAGCAAGTATCGGGACTATGTTTCCGGTCCCAGAGAGCGTTTTGTGCCATGCTCGCAACGTGCTCTTGCAACGCTGCAGACGGGCAAACGCACATGCAGACATGCAGGATGACGGTTCGCTGGGACAAAGCAATTGTTCGGTACTCGTCTCGCGTAAGCACGATGGTGATTAAGCAGCTGCTGGGGAGCGCGGAGATTATCCAGGCTGAAAGCTATCGTTGGGTGGTATCACTTGGGTAGTCATTTCGGTCTTGGAGGCGAAAGCGTCGCTTGGGCCGATTGTACGTGTAGGCTGATGGTGTCCTGAAGCGGCAGACGACGAGCACAGAAACGGCAGGGCGTGTCAGGGTGGGTGTGAATGACGGCGATATGCAGGCGTCTCATTCGCCCAGGTGGAGCATGGTACGGGATTCCGCGCAGGACGCTTACCACTCTATTGGGCGTAGAGGCCAAGACGAAGGGCTGCGATGCGTGCATCAGCTATGGGAGGGCAGAAGATGCATGGGAGGGCAGAGGATGCATTAGGTTCCAGAGAACAGGGCGCATGATAATTTGTCTGAGCGGTGTGTGTGCTCAAGGCTACTCAAGGCTAAGAGAGTTGAGGGTATACGGTGCCTACGAGTGGGCCGGTGACGGACAGGGAGAGGGCATGGATGGGCAGGGAGAGGGACGCTTGGAAGGGACAGGGAGATGGAAAGCAGCCAGTGAGTGCACGGATCCCCTTCCGACAGAGTGTTACCGCCATAATGGTAACCGGAAAGAGTCTTGTCTAGGTTGGGTCAAACTCCGAGCGTGAGTGGCATGGACAGGCCACCTAATTAATAGTAGCTCTGTTAATGGCCTGCGCTGCCGACGGGTCCCAGACGTGCAAAAGATGGGTGGAGCCGCCGGACTGCCTCTTGCATTGATGCCGGCACGCCTGCTTGTGGTCGCAGCCCCAGCCAGCGTCAGCCCTCGTAGTCGCGCTTGACGGAAGCACTGCAGGGGTCTTTGTCGCTTTTAAATACCTCCCGCATCGCTCTCTGATGACTGAGATCGGCCTGCTGGAGTAGCATCATACCTGCCGGAGACGTCGCCTAGCCACGCCTAACCACGCCTACAACCCTACCACGACCAAGACACCCGTCCCATGATCAGCGCAGCATACGACACGACTACCGCATTCGCTCGACGACGACGACAACAAAGTCACCCGCCACTGGACTTGCTCCCGTCGTGAGGCAGCTTTGAGTGATTTGAACAAGACGGCTGCCCTCGCTCCAATGGTCACGATGGCGTCGAATGGGTGAGTGCTGAGTGCACCGCTGCCCCCCCGCTCCGTGCGACATGCAACTCTGCTCCGGCCAGACAAACTGACCAAGCGCGCCAGATTGCCCGTGCCCGCTCAGAACAGCAACTATATGGAAAACGGCCGCTGGTATCATGGCTATCGGAGAGGCCTCTACATGTACCCGTGCGACGAGGCTGAAAAGGACCGCATGGACATTTACCACCAATTCTTCGCCGTAGCACGGAGAGGCCAGCTGCACCAGGCGCCCGTGCCGACGCAGCCAAACGTGCAGCCCCGCATCCTCGATGTAGGCTGCGGGACGGGCATCTGGGCGATTGACATGGCCGAGTGAGTTGCTTGCAATCTGTTATATATAAACAAGCTGATGTGTCCAGCAAATACCTAAACGCCGAGGTGCTGGGATTGGACCTCGTCAATATACAGCCTGAGAAGTATGCCGCCCGCCCGTGTCGCTTGTCGGCCTGACACTGATTGCAGCCCCCGCAGAATCCCCCCGAACCTGCGATTCCGTGTACCACGCGACTACGAGAGCCCATGGACGCTGGGCGAGGACTCCTGGGACCTGATCCACCTGCGCATGGCCTGCGGGAGTGTGACGAGCTGGCCGGAGCTGTATCAGAAGATCTTCTCGTGCGTCTTGCACTATGCCCCTCGCAGCCGCTCAGCCGCTAACTACTTGCTCCAGCCACCTCAAGCCCGGCACCGGCTGGATAGAGCACATTGAAATCGACATGGAGCCGCGCTGCGACGACCACACCCTGCCCCCCGACAGCATGCTCACCAAGTGGTACGGCTGGCTAGCTGACGCCACGCACCGAGTTTCGCGCCCAATCGCCTACGAACACCGCACCCGCCAGCTGCTGCAACAAGCCGGCTTCATCGACATCCAAGAGACGGTCATCCGCGTCCCCTACAACACATGGCCCAATGACCCGCACCAAAAGGACATTGGGAGGTGGTACAACCTGGGCCTGACTGAGGGCCTCGAGGCGCTAACCATTGCACCCCTCACCAGGGTCTACCAGTGGGACCTCAACGCACATGTCAGGCCAGTGCTCGAGAGCGTTCGCAGGGAAATCTGCAACCGCAAAATCCATGCGTACAACAACATGTAGGTTTCCAATATATCCTTGTGCCAACAAGGGCCCAGCACTAACCCTTGACAGCCACATCTGGACTGCCCGCCGTCCCCAGCAGTAGTATCTCGCACCACCCTTGTAGAACACTGTTAAACATCCCCCTCCCGCCAGACACCCACCTAGCCCGGACTGGCCATCTTCCGACGCTTTATCGCGCTTCATCGAGTAACCAACGCGACGGCCTCGTTCGTTACACCTGGACTCGATATATGCTTCCAGCATGTTGTGCATTCCGCGACACCATTTTTAGCCTCACTGGGTCAGCACTGAGCAGAACAAGGGAGTCTGCCTGTCACGCCACATGTTTCGCGTTTCTCCGCGTCTTCGCGTCTCTCCGCGCTTTCGCGTCGTCTTCGCGTCGTTTTGCTATTCACCTAATGGCGCATCTTGCGGTAGGGAAAATCCGGTCTTCTTCGGCGACTACCCCAGTCTGGCGTTACGGCATGTTAAGAATATGATACCTTGATACCTTGATACCTCGGTTTCCTTGCGACAAAACGATTTCTTCACCATCTGTCTTGTCACCAAAGCACGGTGGTCTGAGCGCGTCAGCATGGTTGTGCACGTCGCATTCGGCATCAATGCAGTCACGTTCGGCATCAGTGCATGTCACATTCGGCATCAGTGCAGAGCACACAATGCGGGTGATGGTGGATTGCATGCGGCCTTTTGGCTCTTTTCTCACGAGCGTCTTGTTGTTTTTAGCGGAGCAGCGATCAGGACCCTTGGAGTCCCCTTTTGGAGATAGCACGAGCAGTATATAATAGCTGGAATATACCCCCACTTGCTCGTAAACTTTATCGCGACTCGTCGGTAACAAACTCTCGGAACTATCTACTCTCTTGGAAACGACATGACGGAACATGACGTTGCACAGGTGGCAATGCAATCTATCAACAAAAACTGGCTGTAACGTGCATGGTGATGGTAACATTGGCGGCTGTGCTATATACGCTCATGCCACGCGTCGCCGTTCCGGCACAGTGGGCTCTTGTCCAGGATCACATGACGAAGATCTGTAACGGTGCAGACCCAGACGGCGCTTCTAGCAAGCAGGAGGGTGGGCGCGTAATGTTTCAGTGTTGCATCGTTGCCTTGTTCGCTGGCCCAGGGTGCCGGACCGATCCATCCTGTAGCAATTATAGCAAGCGAGCTGCGGCAATGGCATGGCAGCAGCATGGATAACATTCCGCCAGCGGGACATGCACGATATAGTATTGCATATAGTAGAGACTGCAGCAAGGACGATGCGTATTCCACCTTTGCACATGTTGCAGAAAAATAAAACCTTCTGACTCGTACGACGTACAGAAAAGAGGAGCAAGTTTGTCGAGGTGCAGATATGCGGGGTGGAGGGACTGGGGCGAGAAGGAGAGAGGTGTTTTGTGGTTCCGGCGCTTTGGGCCGGCCGAGGCTTCTCCCGTATCCCGCGTACCTTCCTTCCGCGCGCGCACCCCCAACGAAAGAAGGAACGTCGGACAGACAGGAAGCAGGACGGGAGTCGTCGCTCGTACAGGACAGGCTACATGGTGCATTGTCCACGGCACGTCTCATTCCGCCCTTGTTGCTTCCTTGGTTCCGCACTTTGGTGGTTGCGTTCGCCCACGACTACTATTACCGACGACGCATCGCAATTTTGATGGGCACCAAACAACGCGTCACGCTCGCGCACGCTCGCACGACTTGCTAACGACATATAGGGTACGGATGGGGCGCCATGTCACCACTTTGATAACCACGGTCCTTTCTCGGTGCATCTCTCAGCCTATAATGCGCACACCTTTGCCAGCGATCGCCGCACCTGTTCTGACATGTCCGGCAACGCCTTGACAGCTCGTGGCCGCCGGTCGACATCGGCAGACCATCCCCACGGACTGAAGCTGCTGTTCTGACCGCCAATTCGTCCAATTCCCATGGCCAGATCCAACACCGCTTCCTCCGAGAACCATCCATCTCATCCCCGCAACCGAGACACCGAGCGCCGCACGTGGTGAGAACGCCTTTGCAGTCCGCCTCTTTCTCCCATCCACCTTTCTGCATCGTCCATCTCCTTGTCCCTTTCGCGCGACGCGACCGCCATTATGCACCTGCTACCACAATCCGTACCATAATCCGACCATTATACACCGCCAATGTGACTGGCGAGCCACACCAAACTCTATTCGCCCTCGTAGGTCCCAGCCGAGCCCATGATGCATCACTCCCACCCACCCGCTGCCTTCGTTACCGATAGCGAGGTTCGGCCGCCGCAGCATCTTACATGAGAGCGAGCCCGTCTGCGCCACTATTTCCGCCTGTCACTACGCCGTCTCGTTTTTTACCACTCTCTCGGAAAATCTTCGCCCGCTGCCAACCAACAAGTCGCCGACTGACTCTTGCTCGATACTCCACGCGCTCCGGTGCTAGCAAAAATCATGGATGGTGGAAATGTCAAGGTTTGCCATGTTGCTGATCTCCATGTCATGATCGAGTCAAACTTTTCGCCTGGATTCACGACATGTTTTGGACTCGCGCACTAGCCGCCCATCTGCCGGCCCAAGTCTGTAGGCGGCAGGGTAGTCGGCAACACCGTTTGTCTGGTCCTTCGACGTGTTGGTGGCGTGGATGTGACCAACCGTTCGGATTCCTTTCCCAGCAAACAAACGATGGATTACTCAAATTGGACATCAGCTCTTACTCGGGGAAGCGAGGCGACAAGCAAGGGCGCACCTTTGGCATCGAATCAGTTGCCGGCTGTTGCCTGGCTGGCTGAAGAAGGTACATCTGATTCGGTGGGCTTTGATTCGATGCAATTTGACCTTCGGTTCGCGTACCGGACGCCTCGCAGGAACCGTAAGGTTTCCCGCACTAGTTCCTACTACCACACTACGCTTTTCCCTGAAGTCTAAAAGCACACCGTACTCGTCGTTCTGGAACAATTTCCTCAACGGGAGAGAAACCGCGGCCAGGCCACGCCGTTCCGACTTGGCACCGCTGTCATGACGTCCTCTCGTAAGTCTACCATTTCCACCTCACCCCGAGGCCTTCAACACACAACTCCCTCCAAAATGATGAGCAACGCTGGGGCCATAAGAGTTCCTCTCTACTTCTTCCGTCATCTCGATGGGAAGCGGATCGCAGGAACAGTGCTTTCAAACACCAGCAAAATATTCTACACCAAGAATCTTCTCAACTTTCCTGAACCATCGCTGTTATTACAACGACACTCTCACATATACACTTTACCTCCACTTATGATCGGAAAGGGTCCAATGCTAATGATTGGATCAGGGGACAGAACTCCGGATCTAGTAGCATTAAGTCGCTGCTAGTCAGAAGCCCGGAAAGCTTGGTAAGGAGGTTAGTGCGGTGGAGTGTGAGAGGGGTCTTGCTAAGATCTAGTGGCTTAGTACAATACGGGCAAGACTGGAGGTTGGAGATCGCTATCGTGAAGAGGGTCCTCTGGATCGTCAAAGTGGAGTCCATTCGCGCAGGGCAAGACGAGATGACGCGATCACGGTAGTTATGCACGGAAAACGACGCGACTCGTACGAACGAACAAACGACCGAACAGCTAGGTAAGATACGCGTTACGCGCTACCCGAGGTCGGTCTTTTCGGAGCAATGGGTATACATCGGTAAGTACGGTACGTATACAGATGATCTCCATTCCCTCGTATCTCCGGCCGAAATTCCCAGGCCGTGTTCGCATCGCATCGTGCGATGCCACAATGTCGCAATCTCCCATGACACGCGTAGCCATCTCTCCAAGGTAACTAGCTTGCTCCGCGGAGGAATTTGGAGTAACTTCCGTGGTAAATTGGAGTAAGTTAAATGCCGATGCGTGGCGCTCACCGGTAGGTTTCAAATCGTTGTGTAACATGGCAGTCACGTTTTTTTCTTTTCTCCTTTCGCACGCCAAACGACCTTTGTGAGTCCGCTTCTTCCACTATGTGGAGTAGCGCCGGCATTCCTGGGACGCCCGTCTCCACGCCTATAAAGCCCGTCATCTCAAAGCCTGTTTGAACTAGGAAGCTCGTAAAGCGCAACACCTGCCTACCGTATATATGTAACTTCCCATACCTACATACCCCGCCTGCTCCCGAACGTGATGGCTACGCGAGTAGCAAATCGGTACAAATTAGCCGCGCTTTCCTGCCATGCTGCATGTGCATCTGACATGGACGAAGGAGCAGAAGCGTTTGGCGAGGGCTTTTTCGTTTTCCGCATGAGACCTTCTAGCTGTCGATCTTCGCTCCCGTTAGTGCTTAGGTCTAAACTAGGTGAGAAGTTAGTTCGCTGCTTAGTACTCCGACGTGGGTAAGTTTGGGGGCTAATAGGAAATGAGGTTGATTACCGAAGGCTTTCCTTTGTTTTTTCTGGTGGCGCTTTCTTGTCTGCCTCGTTTAGATTAATGTGAGGTATACACTGTGTGGGTATGCCCAGGCAGACGCGTACTCTTTATTGCCTAGTCACGGATATTGTAGGGCAAAAGGAAATAAGATGAGGCCGTGCATGGAAATGATGCTCCGCGGGCTTTTTGGTCTAATCGGTGTAAGATATATCCATTATGTTTTAACTATCACGTTGATTGGAGGACTGCAGCACTTAAGGTACAGCAAGTCTTGGTGTTCCCGTGCGTACAAAACCTTCATCCCGAGTACAGGGTGAATGCATCAAAGCCTCCTCACCGATGATCGTGCGGTCAAAGGCAAAGGGATCGAAGACACTTAACAAGGTCATCAAACGTCTCATGACCCCAGCTTGTCGGTTGAGTGATGCTTCTGAACCCATCCAACGTCCCGTATGGTCCCCACACTCTTGCCTCGACTGCGTTGTGCAAAGCGGTAACATCCATCATATTCGAGACATCTACCACGTCCCCACAAGCATGCTCCGATCCCTGGTGCTCTCCCTGGATGGTGGCTCTCACAGGAAGGCACTGCTCATCGAGCCAAAATTCGACTGTGCTCCAATAGGACTCTGGGGCTGTTTTGTCCATGAGATCCTCCAAGAATACTAGAGCATAGCTCCGAATCTCACCTAGTGTCGTGACATGGACATTGTCACTACAATCGCGTACGCGAACTATGATTGTAGTACCGGGCGGGAAGATTGCAGTGGTACACAGGAGATCCCATGCGTTGATCTGGATGTGGTTGGCAGTCGGGAACTGCAGAATGATGGTCGGCTCATTCCCATGATCTTGAGCCGCCTCAATCGGAGTACAGTATCTCATAGGATTGTAAATCCAGCAATCTCCGGAAGATTCTGCGATGCGACGCTCAAGTACTCCATACATTGTCTTTGTAGGCTGCGAAGTATCAGAACCTAGGATAAGGGTGAAACGAGCTTTAGAAAGGAAGCATGGACGGATCATGCCGCGAAGCCGTTTATTGACGTTGAGCAAGCCGAACTCATGTCCATGCGTGATTCCAGTATCGAAGTTGTAAGTGGCTTCGTGGTTGGCAAATGCAAGTTCAGCGATATCAATGATGATCTCGGCAGGTAGGTCGAGCAGACTCAATGGACTTGGCAGAGGGGCGAGTTCGTATGTCTTGATGTCTTCCAACAACTGGAACTCGCGGCAGACGTTGGCTCCAGAACCGGTCTTCCGATATCTAATGGTACCTTGGAGGCCGTCGGGGTCCACATAGACCTGTTGAAGCAAGCGACGTGTTCCCTTCAGACCTAAACAATCCTTGTTTCCCAGCTCATGCAAAATGTTAGTGATCCCCTCGCACTTGGCGTCTATTGTTTTCGGCGATTGAGTATCTGGACATGGAACGTACCACCTGGATTCCCATGTGTGCTCGAATCTGATTGATATATTGCTTGCGAAGTCATTCCAGATGATGTCGAGTAATCGCAGAATTGCCATCTTTTCATAGAGTGCTTCGTAGACATCGATTTCAAAGTTAAGATGGTCGTCTTGTAATTCGGGTACACCTATGTCGATGGTAACAGTACGTAATCCTGAAAGACAGGACCCGATGTCTTTGATCCATCCTATGCACGTCTTGACAGGACTGATGGTATGATGTTTGTATCGATCTCTCTGTTGTAGGCTGTACTGGAATCGAAAGACGTTTCGGCCGTAAAGAATACCCAGTGCCTCATGGTAGATCTGACGGCAGGTATGAATGATGGCAGAGCTTCCCGTGAAGTTGCTAACCCTGCTTACAGCGTTGTCACTGTAGTTGATTTTGCTACTGTGGTTGATTTTGCCACTGTAGTTCATTTTGTCACCGTAGTCGATTCTCGCCTCGATAGTGATGGATCGACAATCTACGAGTAAATACTCATAGACCTGGTTGCGAAGTTCCGGCGGGATACCGAGTAATGAAGCTGTACCCGGGTCGTCGGACCGAGAGTACACTCGTGCGATCCGGCCACGCACAGGTTTTCGGATCGGAAAGTGCATGGCTGCGGTGAGATGTAAAAGTTCGGTTTCCGGGTGACTCGCCAAATGACAATGATTACCACTGGAGCTGTTTAAGAAATGTAAAGATACGATAGCTTGAACGATAGAAATAGACTCACCTAGTGGCCGTAAGCTTTACTGCATGCACGTGTGAGCGCAATGTATCGTGGGAATCGTTTACAAGATGACGATAACGGGTCACAGAGAGGTGAGTGGCAGTGTCCAGAAAGTCGTAGTGATATGGAAAAGCTTAAGCTTGGACCCTTATGATTGAGAAAGGAAAGAGCAATGACTGTTGCACTAAAACACGGACCGCACTCACCTTCACTGCATCAATATGAAGTGGCGCTTCTCAGATACATGAAAAACAATGAGCTGACAGTGAGGCTTCGTGTTAGGAGAGACATAAAATCAAACGTCACATGAGAAGCACTTAGGGACACTCACGTACACCCCATCACCACAGCTAGGTAATTCGAGTCAAAAGGCTCAGATCTCGGTAAGGTGATTGCGTTACTCGCAAGCAACTGAAAGTCTTCACTTTCTATGGCTATGTGATTAGATACGGCCACGATCCAAGAACTTCTTCGGCAGATCCACAGTCTTCGCACGCATATACTCCATAGCATCTATACATTCGTCAGCCACAATCGCTTCAATAATCTCATACGCCACTTACTCTTTCCCAAAGTATCATACGAAGAACACGTATTATAACCCCCATCCCTCAAGTGGTCATGCAGCAAAAAGTGCACTGATCGAATCCCTGCAATCTCAAAGCGATCAATCGGCTTGCCGCTATACTCATGCTTCCCAAGAAGCTCTTTGACACGCTCGATCGTCATGAAAGAACGCAGCCAATCCCACTCATCGTCGTGGCGGACGAAAAAGCCGCAGTTGCAGTCTGATGCCTTGTCACCAGACCGGCCAGCGACGATGTAACCCAGCGGTGCGCGAACCGTTTCACCGAACGACGAAAGATCAACTGGTGACGAGGTCTCATACGAGGCCTGCTGGCGCGGATGTTCTTTCGTGATCTTAGGTGGACTGAGATTGGTGACTGTTCTGTCGCCGTACATGGTATGTACGCGCAAGGGCAGTTGGTCTTGAGGGAGAAGTGAGACCCAGTAATCGTAGTATGGTTTCGGCGCAATCTGCCGCAGGTCGTTGGAAAGCGACAGACCAGGAGCTGATTGGAGGAAGACTTCAAGACACCAGCGATTGAATCCGTTGGGGACGTCTGGCCGTACCAACTCGGGATCAGAGGTTTGAGCAAAGATCCGGAAGTCGACCGTTGCTACGTCCTGGTTGTGTGCATCGATTGGTGATGAACCATTTTGATGGAATCTGAGCGTTTTGAAGCGGTTGACGTTGTCTCCCATGGCTGATCATCGTTAGTTTGATGATGTGATAATGATGTGAATGCGCCTACCGTATCGAATCTGATCTTCGGTGATCTTGCACTTCTCCTCTATATCGAGACCACACACAAACATATGCCACTCGCATTGCCAGCCGGCTGGGGCAGTGATACCAACCTTAGTCGTAGGTGGTGGGGGAAAACCTTTCACCCCCGTAACACGTACTAGGTCCTCGCCTACTTGCTCCATCTTGACGTCCGTGATATCAGCTGTGACATCACAGTTGTAGTACAATGGTCCTTGTATCTCATACAGCAGCTGCGAAGTGCATGTGCCGACAGTGACGCAACCTGGACGTGTCAGCCGCATAAAGTCACGAGCTGGAAAATCAACGCCTACCTCCAGTATCCTTCTCTTTCGCAATGTTGAAGCTGCCGTCATACTCTACTTCTGCGATAGGGAAGCCCATGTTGATGTGCTTGCCTGTCTTCATGAGATCTTTGAACATCGAGTAGTATCCTCCTGTGACGTAGGCTGAGCACTCAACTAGATGGCCAGCGATGAGCGCTCCAGCAAGTTCATCAAACTGGTCGTTCTTCCAGTCATGCCACCACCTGATCATGTCAGCTGAGTCACTGGTGACGGTAGTAAGGCAACTCACGCCGCAGCACCGATGACTGGCGCAGCATCCGCAACTCTTCCGGCGAGCACTATATCGGCGCCTTGTCTGAAAGCTTCTGCTATGCAAAGACCACCCAGATACGCCTGAGCGCACACCGGTTCCATCCCCCACTCCTCGAGCTTCTTGCCATGCATCAGACTTTCAAACTTCTCCCCCTTCTTGATCAGACTATTGACCTGTCCCGTCACATCATCGCCTTCGATCCATGCTACTTTGAGATGACTAGCGCCCTGCTTCTCCAGTATATCCACTACAACCTCAGCGAGAAGTTCAGTGTCTGAAGCGCCGGCATTCACGGCAAGCTTCGTCTTGTTCTTGACTAGGTTTGGTACTGCCGGTTCAAAGCATTGAATAAATGTGTCAGCGTACATGGCGCTCTTCTTACGCTCCTCCAGACTCATAGTGCCATTGTTGCTCTTCGTAGACTTTTGCTTTACTTTTCCACTACCGTGTACAGTCATGGTCATTTCGGATAGCCAGTCGCCTGGTTCAGTCAGTTTAAGATCATACATATCCGCTTGTCAGGAAATCCTACCCATTACGACATCAACTTCTGGGTCGCCAGCCATACGTGTGATAGCAAGAGAACGGTCCGTGAAGCCACCAGAGCATCCTGCGATGCGCACAGCGCGTTTGCGATCAGTAGAGGGAGACATTTTCACTCTTTTAGGATTCGGCGCCATGTAAAACTCGTACAACTCAAGGAATTATTAATTTTTCTTATGACGGAAGGTCTCGAAGCTATATACCAGGTCGTTCAGATACGCTCTTCCGAGATAAGGCAAGCCGTCAAAAAGGTACCTAGGTAGCAGGGCCGTTACCCTGGACTTACCCAATGACGGCTCTGAAACCAAGTAGTGCGACCTCCATGTCATGTATCGAGGGCTACTTGCGGATAATCTTCAACGAAGGAAGACGATTTCCTGTACGCTTATGGCGGGGTTGCGGGGAAGGAGGCGGATGTGAGCGCACAAAGCTGTTCAACGCTCAGAACGCAATTTCGCGGCGCCATCGCCAACGATATATGTTCTAGGCGACATCTTTCCGAATGCACTGTCAAATTCGTGAAGCCAATATGAGCGTGGTTAACTCTTGTGGTTTGAAGGCATGAGTAGGACAGTGACTTGCCATGTTTGCAATTCGGTTAATGACTCATGCTATGCTCAGGTCATGACTCGACAATGTCATTAGTGCTAGGATGCCTTTTCTCGACATGACCATTCTGGTCAATGCATCTCTCAGTGCCACTATCATAAGAAGGCATCCAAGATCCCCTGCAAACACTCACGGCGCCAAATTCTCGATCACAAGCCATACCATCTCAGGGTTTACTTCCTCCGGAATAAATCCTCTACCCTTGCCATTACCTCTGGCCTCCTTCCTAGCACTTCTCCTCTCCCTCCTGACCTCCTCTCTTGCCTCACGCCACTCCTTCTTCGCAGTCAAACGCTCTTTTCTCAACACTTTCCTCTGTGCTTTATACTCCTTCTTGGCTTCTATCCATTCTGGATCTTTCTTTAGCTTGGATTTGGATTTGGCTTTGGCTTTGCCCTTTCCCGTGTTGTCCTCTTTGTTCAGAGTGTGCTTAGCTTTCAACACACGTTTCTTCTGACGGTGTTGTTTCTTCAAGGTACGAGAGCGTTCCTTGAGGTGGTGGCGAGCATCGCGGATGGAGAGTTTGCGCGCACGTGCTAGATCCTTGTCCACGCCAGAGAAGTCTTCGTCGTCGTCGGAATCAGAATCTGAGTCTGAGTCGGAAGAGATCGAACTGTCTGATGACATGGATGATGTATCGTCATCATCGTCGCTGTACAGGTCCTTTTCCTTGGCTTTTCCCTTACCCTTGTCGTCTATGGTCGTCGAGACAGAGTATCCTGGAGTATTGACCTTGCTCTTCTCGTCTCCATACAGCACGCCCGACTCTTGACCTGCTGGAGCGTGGTAGGCAGGCGGGAGGTCATCGTTTTGTGCTTGTTGATACTGTTGACCCGATGTTGTGCCTTTAACTTGGGAGCCATTACCGCTCCCACTTCCACTCGCCATTTTGCCCACATCAAGCCCAAAAGCATTGGCGCGTTTTCCAAACTCTACACCCCAATCACCCATGCGTTTGCCGAATTGTTCACCAATCTTGCCCAACTCTTTTCCCACTTCTGCCCACTCGTTTCCACGCCATTCGCTTCCGCGACCACGACCGCGAGAGGGCATACCTCGTCTGCCAAAAGGCCCGTTGCCTGGAGCTCCGAATGGTCCTCGGCCTGGCATACCAAAGGGCGAACAATCGCCCCCACGTTGCCCTCGAGGATGGCGAGTTCCAGATTCAGGAACGGAATGAGGCGGGTCTTCATGTCCCAAATCCCTGTTCTGTCCCGACATGTGACGACCAGTACCAGAAGAACTCTGTGCAGGAACTTTCCAACCTTCGAACCGCTCACTCAACTCATACAACTTTCGTACCCTCTCACTCGGCGCCGGGACATTCTCGACGTCGAGCGCTTCAATCCAGGGATATAATTGCTGTGCCCTCCATTCAGCTGTTACAGTTCTGTCCGCCAATTTGATTAGGACAGTACTTTTGTGCCCCATGGGAATGGGCAATTGTTCGAGAAGCGCAGTCTCGCTGCGGAACGACACAATGAGACCTCTTGGCGCAAAGAACGCTTCGTTCGCGCCTCGAATGTAATCGTCCACCGTAGTTGAAGAAGTGTATCCATGCGCTGGCATGTCCAACAAGTCTCTGGCTGTTGTCTTCGTGATAGTACATAGGACTTGTAGACCGTAAAGAAAATCGGCGAATTCATCAGGTTTGATCGAATGATGATTCAACACTTCGGCGTAGGCGACTAGGAACGTTGAGATTTCGTCTGCACGCCGTGCTGGTCCGGCAAGTTCAGGTATCGCGATGAGACGGTTCAAATGCGGTGCATACTGCGCTGCGGCATCTGGCTCTCGATGCACGAATTTCAGGGCTTGGTCAAGTAAACTGGACGCACTAGACTTGGAATCAAACTCGCTGTGCACTCGTCCAACTGTAATGCTCTCACTGGTGCTGACATGCTGCACAGGTACACTGGTAGCTTTGTCGCTCGTATGATTTGCATAGTCTGGCGCTTGTTCCCGCTCGTTCGCAGGATCTGGTTCACCTCTTACTCGATACTCCCATACTTCGGGCTCATTAGGACCTTCGTTGGAAGTGATGCGGTGGGCTTCGATCTGGCTTGGGTCTACGGGCGCTATGCCGTTGCGTGTATCGTGAACGGCCTGGTCTTGCGCTTCGTCGTATGATGGTGGCAAATCTTCGTAATGTGGACCTCCGGGGCTATGGATGGGGGTTGGCTCAAAGTCGTTATCAGAAGAGTCAGCGACTGACATTGCACTTGGGGTGGAAGCGACGTTAGGCCGTGATTGTGCCGATGGGGGTGGTGGTCTGGAGTTGAAATCGCCATTGGCGGGGTATGATGGTGGGCCAGCCATGGTCGGGAAGGTATAGGGAGTCAGATTTAGTCCAGTATAGGGATGAATGGTTGAAAGTTTGAAACTCTATAGCAGTCTTCTTGATGTGTAGAGAAGAACTAGAGGCTTGCTCATATGTCTTGTCGATACTCTGCTAGCCGCGTAGAGCTGAACGGAAAGCTGTTGCCTTATGCGAGATGTCCAATCGCAACTTTAAGCTCAGAACCACGCGTTATTTCCAGGGCTAACAGGCGTCCAGTCAAGCAGAAGAGCTTGTCAAAGATGACGCGTTAGTAGGGGGAAGGCCGCAGCACATGCGTGAGATGCACTACATCGGTGGGCTGTGAAGTGGGGCCGACGCCACATCAACTCTTAGTTGACCGTGGCGGTGTAACCGATTCCAACAGATCAAGCTTTCGCGAAGCATACCGATTCAGATTGATGGAGAAACATGCGTATCATGCGCTATAGAGAATACTTGAGAGTTGGAATGGTATTGGTGTCACAAGTGCGCAGCGTGAGAGTTTGCTTACTCTTTCGCCCCGTGCGGCCCGCCTAACAATTCGCCCATAAGACCCACCAGCCGCCATGTCGGGCCATTTCACTTTGATCGTGAAGCTTGTCACGGTGTATTTTAACATCAGCCAAAACAATACGAACGTCTTTGAGTTTAGCACTACCACTGTGTCCCTCTGAAAGGACGGGTGACGACAGACGTACAGAGCGCCAACAGCACATCTGCGCGACTGTCAGCATGGACAGGGCCACAACTGTAGCCGTGATAGGTCTAGGTAAGATGCCTTGTGTTTGAGATGGCAAAACCAGCGACTGAACTTTTAGGACCGGCCGGCCTCGTAGCACTGAAGAACCTCAGAGAGGAAGGTTTTCACGCCACAGGCTTCGACCGCAATGAATACGTTGGCGGTCTTTGGCAGTACTCAGCGAAAGAGCAGACCTCGGTCATGGAGACAACTAGGGTTAATATATCCAAGGAGAGAGGCTGCTTCACCGATTTTCCCTTCCCGGAAGATGTCCCATCACACCCTGCAGCTGCACAAGTACAACAATACCTAATAGACTATACAAGACACTTCAAGCTAGGACCGTATATGCGACTCAGCACTTCCATCGAGCAGATCACATTCAACGAGGGGCGGCAGCAATGGGTCTTGAATATTCAAGGTGGGGATGAAGAGTACTACGACAAGGTCGTCGTAGCGATTGGCGGCATGATCGGAAAGGCCAATCTTCCAGTTGTGGAAGGCATTGAGAGGTTTGCTGGGTCTAGTGTACACTCCCAAGGGTTCAAGCGGCCGAAAGATTATGAGAACAAAAGAGTCATGGTCGTCGGCTTCAGCAATAGTGCGGCGGACACAGCTACGCAACTCGTAGGTATGGCAAACAAGGTATATATGGCGCATCGGCATGGAGCTCGCATTGTATGTTCAATAGTACGGCCTAAAATCGCGAGTATTTTGATACTGACTCTTAACCTATAGCTCCCACGGCGCATCAAAGGCGTCCCGATTGACCATACGCATAGCCTACGTCTCTTCACAGTCCAAAGCCTGATCCTGAAATACTTTCCGCATCTCGGCGAACGTCTATTCGACAAATTTATTAAGAAAATGCAAGACAAGAGTTTCAAGATCCGTCCTGAGTGGCGCTTCGAACATGCAGGCAAAGTACCCGTAGTGTCTGATACCCTAATCCCTTGTCTCGAAGACGGTAGCATCTCCTCGGTCGCAGGAATAAGACGCGTTCTAGGCGCCACTGAAGTGGAACTGCAAGACGGAACTAGGCTTGAAGTCGACGCTATAATCTGGTGTACAGGATACGCATCAGATTTCAGTATGATTGAGCCTCGCTTCGATCCCACATGTCGTCCCCAGCAATGGCTTGATGCTCCCGGATCGAATGGAAAGTCGCTTTTCCGTCTATATCATAACGTCTTTTCACTGGAAAAGCCGGATAGTTTGGCGTTCTTGGGCAATGTTTCTATAACACTTGGTGGATTCCCCATTTTTGGTACGTGGATTGAGATGTAACGTGCAGGCGAAGCAGATGCTGACGGTGAGCAGATATGGCATCTATGGCTGTAGCCCAAGTCTGGGCGGGCAAATCCAGTCTACCATCGCTTTCTGCCATGAATTTCGCCGTTGGCAAGCATCATATGTGGTTGGCCGACTCGGCGAAGCGCATTCCCAACGTGTCACCAGGGCAATGTGAGGCAAGTGAGTGGGTAAGGGCTATGGACCATCTTGCCGGTACGGGTGTTAACGAGTACCTGGGATATGGGTGGAAAGGCTGGCTTTTCTGGTTACGCGAGAGAAGATTTTGCAATCTGCTGATGGGCGGTATATGGAGTCCGTCCATACATCGTGTATTCAACACGGGGAAGAGGAAGTGCTGGGACGGAGCGAGGGAGGCCATCGAAAGAGTCAACGAAAGGGTTGCTATGATGAGAGAAGAAGCGAAGAAGAAAGCAGTTTGAGGTTGGATGGAGTCTTGGTTTCGCGAATACACTGGAGCGTGCTCGAATGTTCCTTGGTGGTGAGCTTCCCCACCCATGACGCCAGGCTGTATCACCGAACTTACAGGCGGTAACCTTTGGCACCACGCAGCACAGCGCATATATGCTCTGCGGCAAGTACGTGGATGTTTATCGCGTTTTCATAATCTATCAAGCTAGTATTGCACACTCTAAACTGGGTTGTCTGCGTTGTCAAGGTGACGTGTAAGGGTCAACCTAGGTTACCATCTCATAAGGCTGGAGTTTAACCAATCGCACGGGCCGTTGCACGACAGCTGGGGAAGTCGCAACGGGCGACATCTAATTTCGATTTCTTTCCACGATCGCCACCCCGCAAACACTGAACGCATCGATTCCTCGTTCTACGGCCAGAGGCAGATTGCCCGTTGCCTACACCGAAACACGACACACCAAACAGCAACCGGCATGGCGACCCAGACGCTACATGGCAGTTGCGCCTGCGGCAGGAACCGCTATGTTATCGAGATGCCGAAGCAGCAGATTGGGCAGGCAGAGCTGCGATACGACAACACTTCTGCGTCGCGTAAGTACACGGCGTGTTTGCTGTGCGGCTCATCTATCCCTTTTGATGGGTCACGTCATGGGCTCTCGCTAACAACAATACAACAGGACACCACTCGGCCAACCCTCTCACACTATGGCTTCGCGTACCTCTGCCCTGGTACACCTCTGCGACATTTGCGCAATTCCTCGACGAAACCCCTATGAGCATCAAGCGCAGCTTCACCTCCCCGTATACCCCGAATAGCCGCCGTCAATTCTGCGGATACTGCGGTACTCAGCTCACATCATGGAACGAGCGAACGCGCGACGAGGCCGATCACATCTCCCTGACAGTCGGCAGCTTGCTGGACGAGGACCAGGAGATGCTGGGTGAACTCGGCTTCCTGCCCAGTAGCAGCGAAAGCAGCGACGACGAAGTGTCCGTTGCTGGTCCCTCAAGGACGACTGACCGCTCGCGCTCCGTCGCCCGTTCAGAACCACAGTCTCGCGGTGCGCCTTGGTTCGAGGAGATTGTGCGCAACACTCGTTTGGGCCGCTTCAAGCAGCAGCGCGGTGGACACACTGAGAGCGGCGTGCACGTCGAGTGGGAAGTCACCGAGTGGACTGAAGGCGACGACGGCGACGACGAGGGCAGCGCCACACCCAGCAAGCGGAAGATCGGCGATGTGGACGGTACTGACGATACCGAGATGCGCAGCGCATAAGCCTGTCGTCTCTTCCTTTCATATGCGGAATGACATGGACATGGATGTGGAAATGTCACTAGAATTGGCTTCGCTCACGCGTGGATGGGGACGAAACGTATGTAATCATCGATCCTCTGGCAGAGCGACACGGACTTGGAGTTGCAGGTGCGTTTATTTTGTGTACAGTATTCGAAAGTGCATCTTGCAGCGATGCAGCAATTTACCTTCTTTTTCGTCCAGTACATCTCGCCGGTCTCTTCTGGTCATATCATGCTTTCATTCTGCACCTCTCTTATACGTCCAGAGTCAATGCATCGCAAGTTGTCAATTGGCAGGAACGATCAGGGCCATTAAGACGCGTGGGGGATAGTGCAGACATGCCATCCTAGCGCGTAAGCGGCAAAGCCTCCGGAGGCCGCCTTCCGCTGTGTAGACACCACTTCCTAGGACCCCCAAATGTGTGGAGAACAGCCATCACCTCAACCACAATCACGCAAGCCCTCAAAATCACCCTGACAGCATTTCAAATTTGTCTTCTGATCATACTCCGAATCGCATGCAAAAAAAATTCACTTATCGTGCCTTACGCCACTGTGTTACTCCAAAAGTCTCCGCAACCCCAAATCAGCATTCGCGTATCTCCCGCTTACATCCACCAGTCTTGTCTCTTATTGGCCAGATGCGCATCCTGTTCCTGCACCATATACCCGGGATCACTTATCTTGCACCCTGGGCAGCTCAGCTCCGCCTCAGCGCCTTATCAGTACTGCACACGACATAACACGATTAGTGTTCCCTGACCCGTCTCCACGGTTCTCCTGCGGAGTTGGCTACTGCTTGCACGTTACACCATGGATGTTGGCCCGACTCTCTTTAGACGCGCCTGCTGCCCCGTCTGTCTTGCTGGGGCTTTTCTGGCGTGACCGGGGCGTAGAGCGGACGGCAATGCTAGATGCGTTGCTTTATCTCCGAGCGCTGTCAGTCGCTTAGCATACATACTTACGTGTAAGTGACAGTGTTGTGGTTGACACAGCAGAGATAGAGGCGTCCGAAGCCGCTGTCTTGCATGGCAGATGGGGCGTCATAAGAGTACGATGCAAGTGAAGAAGTGTTTTTCTCGATTGTTGTACTACTTCACTGTCGTTGATTCTGGACACTGTCTCGCGTTGCCCGCGTCGTCCTCTCTTCGTGCCGTTCCTGACTTCTCTTATCTCTGGGCGGACATTTGCTGTACGATTGACAAGCAGGGCCGTTTGATCTGCGATCGATACGCTACTCCACTGATTCCTTCCCCATAAGGCTGGTAATCTACGCCTCCGTCCTCCCGTGTCTGGGCAAATCAACGACTATTGACATCAAGACATTCTTATCGCTTTTTGTATATCCTCGTTGCCCACCACCTCCCTCCTGGAAAACGAATTGCAGAGCAAAAACGACTATAGCGCGGTAGCCGGCGCACTGCCATCATCGATCGCCGACCATGGATATGGAAAAGAAGTCTTCTGAGAAGTCAAGACCGGAAGTCGACCAGGCCACGGGCGACGTGGGCGAAGTCTTGAATGCTTCGGGTCACAAGCAGGAACTGGAGCGCAATTTCAGCCTGTTGAGCATTTGCGCAATTGGTATCACTACAGGAAATGTTTGGGCGGCGTTGGGAGGATCTATTGTTAGTACCCTTTTCTTTCCTGGCATAATGTATAGGCTACGACATGCTAATCATGCTTAGGTCATCGCGCTCTACAATGGCGGCCCGGCAGGTGTCATTTACGAATTCATTGCTGTCGCATGCTGTTACTTCATGATAGCGGCTTGTATTGCCGAGATGGCTTCTGCTATCCCTTCGTCGTCGGGTGTTTACCACTGGGCTAGTGTGACAGCAGGAGCGCGGTTTGGTAAAGTCATCGGCTTTTACGCAGGATGGTAGGTTCGAAGCATCACTCCCACATCTGCCGGGCATCTTGCCACCGACTTGGGAAGTTGTATGAGAAAAGGCAAAACTAACACCGCACAGGTGGAACGCTCTGGGTTGGATCTTCGGAACTGCGTCAATATCCTCCATCCTCGCCAACCAGGTCATCTCCATGTACGGCCTCTTCCACCCTGGCTATGCCTTCGAACGCTGGCACGTTTTCATCGTCTACCTCATTATCACTTGGATCGCCTGCTTCATTGTCATGTTTGCCAATCGCGCCTTACCCAAACTCACAAACATTGGTCTGTTCTTTATCCTAATGGGCGTCTTCATCACCATCATGGTATGCGCCATCATGCCTAGCAGAAGCGGCAAGGGATATGCAAGCAACGAGTTTGTGTGGCGCGACTGGCAGAATCAGGCAGGTTGGAGTAGCGACGGCTTTGTGTTTTGCGCTGGCATGCTGAACGGGGCTTTCGCTGTGGGGACGCCGTAAGTCGAGATTCTCGTCAAGGAAGCACAGTGTTGTAGTTGCTTACAAACGAACAGCGACTGCGTCTCCCATCTCGCGGAGGAACTCCCCCGCCCCCGAACCAACATCCCCAAAGCCATCCTCGCCCAATACACCGTCGGCTTCATAACCGCCTTCCTCTACCTCATAACAATCTTCTACTCTGTAAACGACCTCGACTCCCTCTTCACAAACCCTTGGCCCTTCCCCCTCGCCGAACTCTACCGCCAAGCTACAAACTCCCACGGCGGCTCCCTTGGCCTCTTACTCGTAATCTTCATCCCAACATTCTGTACAAACATCGGTTGCTACATAACCTCCGGCCGCATGCTATGGACCCTAGGCCGAGACGACGCAACTCCATTCCCCCGCTGGGTCGGCAAAATCGACAAGAAGTGGGAAAACCCGTTCAACGCGACCTTGGCGTGTGGTGTCATCAACACGATCCTGGGTTGCATCTACATTGGTTCGTCGACTGCCTTCTCCGCCTTTGTCGGCTCCTTCATCGTGCTGTCGTCAATGTCGTACCTCGCGTTCATTCTGCCCAACATCTTGACTCGCCGCCGCCACGTTATCAAAGGTCCTTTTACCATGCCTAACCCGTTGTTTTACACGGTGGCCAGCGTAGCGTGTGGGTACATGGTTGTATGGATACCGATCTACTGTTTCCCATTTGCGGTGCCGTTTGATACTACGACGATGAATTATACGAGTGCGCTTGTGGGGGGCGTGACGATCTTATTGGGAGGTTGGTATGTTTGGATTAGGAATAGGGGATATGTTGGTCCAAGGCGGCTGGTGGAGACTTTGGGGAATGGGGAGACGACTATTGCGGGGACTGAGGGGAGCATTTCTGGGGAAAAGGTCTGAGGATAGTTTTGATGGTTTTTTAAATGCTTAATTAACAGAGAGTTTGCCTGTAAGAACAGTTCGATGTTGAGATTCGTGTGCTCTTGTGTCTGATAGATGGACATCTGGGAAATACGAACTACGATTACCAAATCACCTGCCAACTTGTTCGACTAAATCCAACAATCTGACTAAACGCCTCATCCCTCTTTTCCACTTCGTGCAGTATCCACTCATGCTCATCTCTATCGACGAGACGCAAGTCCTTATCGCACTCCTTGAGCACTTTGACCATCTTTTCCACATGTCGGTCTTGCTTCTCTAGATAGCCAATCCGATCATACGGAAGAGAGAAGAGGCCTTGGTGCAATGGACCCTTTGCGACAAAACGTACTCCTGTACGGTTCATGATGAGACGTCCTGGCGATCCATCGTAATGGCAGGAATACGAGGCAAAGTCCTGCCCTTCCGATAAGGCAGCAGCGTCAGGACTATTCGTATCCGTCAGGGTGGTCATGTTCGCGCTAGCATTCTGCTTCTCAGTGACGACGCGGAGACCTTCGGCTTGCATGTACTGAATTGCCCACTCAGCGTGCGTTGGAATATTCCAGAACAGACGTTTTGAAGGTGAGACGAGGAGGCGGTAGTTTGGGAAGTTGACGGAGATGGGGAAGAGGCAGAAGAAGGTGAAACCAGCGGAGAATGTGGAGACTTTGATGAGCAGCCAGAGAGGCGTGAAGACTGTGATAAGAATACCCGTAGCGAGGACTACAAGGACGGCTAGTGTGCGCGTTGGCTTTCTCCATTCGTAGAAGTTGCGGACGCTCTCGAAGAAGTTTGCTAGATCGGCTAGCTGAACCATGAGCCAGGGACCGAGATCTTGGAGGAGATCGTGCGCCCAGTTCTCATCGCCTTGTTTTTCGATGAACTCGGTGAGCGAGAGCGCTGTTCTCTCCACGTCTTCGCGGTGTTTGATATCTTCGCGGAGGTCCTCGATAGACTGTCCGTGCAAGCGACGTTCTGCGACCAGATATAATACTACTGACAGAGCACCTGGTAAAAGGAGGCTCAGATACCAAAGGACGATGTAAATTACGAGGTACTTCGTTGTCTCGACAGGGTACTCCCATCTGTACACACGACGGGTGGTCATGATGAACTCCTGGAACGGTGATGTCGCAACAATGAGGCGCTCAATGTTTGGCATGATTGTTTCCTTGGAGGGTGTCGGTGGATCAGAGCCGAATCCAATATACTGTCCACCGTACCGATGAGCGTAATAGTCTAGTAAGTGCGAGCCATAAGCTCTCCAGTCGGTAACGGTACGGCCTGCGGTATCCTCTTTTTCAAAGTCCGACCTAGGCTTCAGTACCGCTGTGTCGCGTGGTAGTATTCTAATCTTGGTAACATGTCGATCGAGCGACCATCGAACATAAGTACTTTGCCGCTGGTTGAGCATCTCAGCAAGATTCTCTTGAGCTTGCGCCTTCTCAGCTCCTGTCTTGGCCTGGTTCACAGCAGTCGCTACGTTGACCAAATCCACCTCCCGGCCATGAGGAATTTCGCTTACAGCTATGTTTGCTGCAACTTCTTGATTTCCCTGACACCATCCTGCAGATTTCACCGTGTCGATCGGGTTGTGTAAAAGGTCCTTCAGTGTGTGCTTCTCCGATGCTGTAGACTTGTGGTCAAGGCGTGAGTTCGATTCCTTTATTTCGGTAGTATCAACAAGTACTATCGAATCTGGATCGGGCTCCTCAGCCTCATCTTCTGGCTTTGCGATATGCAGGGTCTTTCTAATCTTGACACCGGCATTATGTCTCTTCTGCCGAACCTTGTTGACTATCCTGCTAGTAGACGACGTGTTTGACGAAACATGATCCTCCGTACTTCTGTTGAGATCGTGTGAGTGAGGTATGTCGTCACTGCTACTTCCGGAGTGGTTTCCGGGTAGTTCAATTTGCCCTTGGTAAGTGATGTGTGATCGATCGAGCCCGATGTTCAGTTCGTCGACCTGAATGAGCTCTTTCTGGATATCCATATGGGTGGTGGCGCAGGGCGTCGGTTAGTTATGCGCGACGTGCGTAGGCTGCATTACTAGGTGTTATTAATGTAACGATAATGTTCGGGGACTGGATGAGTATTTGAACATTCCCATCCAGCAGATCAAGTGCGAGTGAATATATGAGGGCCGTCATCGCGCCTTCCTTCGAGTGCGCGGCGGCCTTCGTTTGCTGAACCAGCGAGCACCGCGGAGCAGAGTGCCACGACGTCATTGTGTCAGGCGCTACCATCGAAATGAACTCGCGGCTGTATGAGACAGGAAAAGCTGAAGGGAAACTTGGTAGCTGTCTGTTGCCTCCGGGATTGGTGTTGGTGTCCGAATGAAGTCTAGAACTTTGTTAGTACCCCGATTGCCTGATAATCCTGGATGGTGGACCTGTCGGCACGGAAGGCGCACCCAACCATGAGGCGGGGCGAGGCTGCACATGTCAGCAACTTCACATCGAGTGATTGACATATCAGAAGCAAAGCCTATTATACCACAAGGCTTGAATCTCTGTCGAACAAGATCGCTTTTCCAGAGGCGTACACTAACCAATGTCTATCGTTTTTGCTCTATTGCCAGAAATCGTAGGTTTATTTACGCACTCGCCCCCAGAAAGCCCCAGCCTTCAAGTCATGAGCCTACGTTAAGTGCATCAAAATTTCCACTATCAGCAGGAAAGTGCTCCAAGCGACTAGAATCAACCTTGATTCTCAATATTTGCAAGCTCTGTTCTGATACTCATCACAAGAGCAGTCAGTCAGTCAAGAGAAACGGGAAATGACATAATCACTCTACTCCGTGGTCCAGTAGTTGAATCAAAAAAGACATGTCCCTCTGCATTTGTATTACAGGTCCAAAATATATATCTATGCGTGCCACAACCTCGCGACGGCCTCGGTGATACCAACATCGTTTGTCTCGAAAGAGTAGAGGGCAAGACCCAGAGCGACAGTTCCAGCGCGGAGAGCCCACATGGCGGCTGTTCGAGTCTTGGGAACACGCTTGGAGGGGAAGTAGTCGATGATGCAGGACCTGCATGACGTTAGCCACGGTAACCACTACAAACGCTTCCAATCAACATACTCGAAGCCAATGTGCGAGTGGACGACCAGAAGGGCGCAGAGAATAGAGTCGGTGAGCGGGTTCAGCGATCCAGCCGCGAAGGGGGCAATGGTCAAGGGAATCAGACCAGCGGAGACGATCCTCTCGAAGCTCCAGTGGTAGCTGCCGTGGGCGTAGTCGGGGTCTGGCACTGGGACTGGGTCGTTGGTGGTTCCGATGATCTTCTGGGGCAGCGGCGGCAGGATCTGGTTGCGCTGGGTAGCGTGGAAGGCGGCAATGCGCGTGGACTTTTGGATGGCGGAGCGCTGGAATGCCGGGCGAAGTTGCTGGACGAGCGGGCGGTTCATGGTCGATGTCGCAGTGGACAGCATGCGCTGCGACTGCTGGACTGGCGGGCACGCTTGCCTGAGGAGACCGGGACGCATGACGGAGGCCATTGTGTGCTGGAGGTTGGAGGTCGAGGTCGAGGAGGTCGCTGCGATGCAATATCGGAACGACTTGGATGTTGACGACAATGCCTCGGATGTCGATTGCTGACGTCCCTGCTGCGCTCATTGGCTGGCGGTGCAGGCCGGGAAATCCCGTGATCGCAGATTTGACGAAACTCATCCACCTCACCTAGGCCAAGCTGCAGCTGGACGTCGATACATCCACCCCAACCCCATCTAACCAACTCCCATCCCCCCGCCACAGCGAGCAGACGCAATGGCTTCCCGCCGGCTCGCCCTCAACCTGCAGCAGAGCATGCGCTCTCGCTCCGCCATCAACGCCGTCAAGTCCTCGCGAGCCTCGCCTCTGACCCGCGGCCTGGCCACGCCCGTTGCCTACGGCGCGAAGACTGAATCCACTACCCTCGGAAATGGCTTCACGGTAGGCCCGACGCTGTAGCACTCTTCACGACTGCAATTGACCCATGCACCCAGATCGCTACCGAGCACTCCCCATGGGCCCAGACGTCGACCGTCGGTGTTTGGATCGACGCAGGAAGCCGCGCAGAGACGGACAAGACCAACGGCACTGCCCACTTCCTCGAGCACCTTGCCTTCAAGGTACGACATCAATGGCAATGGCCGGGACAAATGGCAATGAAGCAGGACTGATGCTTGGCACAGGGAACCCAGAAGCGCACCCAGCAGCAGTTGGAACTCGAGATAGAAAACATGGGCGGACACTTGAACGCCTACACCTCGGTACGTCATAGCCACAAATCTCAAGTGAACGCACAATTAATCCAACCAGCGCGAGAACACCGTCTACTACGCCAAGGCCTTCAACAACGACGTCCCCGCCGCCGTCGACATCCTCTCCGATATCCTCCAAAACTCCAAGCTCGAGGCCCAGGCCATCGAGCGCGAGCGTGATGTCATCCTCCGCGAGCAGGAGGAGGTCGACAAGCAGCTCGAGGAGGTCGTCTTTGACCACCTGCACGCCACTGCCTTCCAGGGCCAGCCCCTCGGCCGCACCATCCTCGGACCCAAGGAGAACATCCAGAGCATCCAGCGCGCCGATCTCGAGAACTACATCAAGACCAACTACACTGCCGACCGCATGGTCCTCGTTGGCGCTGGTGGTATTCCCCACGAGCAACTCGTCGACCTCGCCGAGAAGTACTTCGCCAACCTCCCCTCGGAGCCCCAGGACTACTCTTCCAAGTCTGCCGCTGCCGAGCAGAAGGCGAAGCCCGACTTCATCGGTTCCGAGGTCCGCCTCCGTGACGACACCATGGGCACTGCCAACATCGCCATTGCCGTTGAGGGTGTTAGCTGGAGCGACCCCGACTACTTCACTGCGCTCGTCACACAGGCTATCGTCGGTAACTGGGACCGCGCCATGGGTACCTCCGACTACCTTGGCAGCAAGCTCAGCAACTTCGTCTCGCAAAACGCTCTGGCCAACAGCTTCATGAGCTTCTCCACCAGCTACTCTGACACTGGGTACGTCACTCCAAAAAGTACATGAAGATATCTGCTAACACCTTCCAGTCTCTGGGGTATCTACCTCACCAGCTCCAACCTCACCCAGCTCGATGACCTCGTCCACTTCACTCTCCGCGAGTGGTCCCGCCTCTCCATGAACGTCACCTCCGCCGAAGTCGAGCGTGCCAAGGCCCAACTCAAGGCCTCTATCCTCCTCGCCCTTGACGGCACCACCGCCGTCGCCGAGGACATTGGTCGCCAAATCGTCACCACTGGTCGCCGGTTAAGCCCCGAGGAGGTTGAGCGCGTTGTCGGCCGCATCACAGAGAAGGACGTTATGCAATTCGCCCGTAACAGGCTGTGGGACAAGGACGTTGCTGTCAGTGCCGTCGGACAGATTGAGGGTCTGTTGGATTACAACAGGATCAGGAACGATATGAGCAGGATGCTGTCATAGACAACTACTTCTTCTTTGAGACAAGCAAGAGGGGTTGAGGAAGGAAAGTGTTTATAGTGCCATGCTGTGAGCGTTTTTAGACGGCAGAAACATTGTAGTTTTGTGTACACTTAGTCGATGAGTATTTTGACAAGGAAGATTTCAAACTAGCTGTGCCTCTTGAGTTGATGGTGCCTTCATCCCTCACACCCAGGAATACTGTCGTGCTCGGCCCTAAAGACATGAACCTGGCCCACGTCGCATCGAATGTACGTCTTCTGACCCATAATACTCTTCCACACGACCACATGATTGACGAAAAGCAATTGGGCAAAAGGTTCCCTCCTTGTGAACTGATCTGGTAGGTAGCACGAATAGATTCTACCCCAAGATAGACTTCCTCAGCCTCGTCATGAACTCGCCTGCTAACCCGCAAGCAGAGAGCCAGTGATGGAGCTCGGTATAGTCTGCAGTCCATGAAACGCTTCTTCGTTCTTTGGCAGAGTAGTCGTCTGTTGTATAGAAGACTTTGCCAACAACGACGACGACCAGTGCTTCGTATACCATGACTCGTATTTCAGCAGGGCAAATCCCATGAACCGGAAGGGAGTGAAGGCGGTCGTAACCCGGCTGATCCGTGGTGATATGAGTGAAGACGATCGTGTGCCCTGCTCATTGATGGTGGTGGTCGTCGTCTCTACCATCGGAGACAATGGTGGTTGTCGACAGTCTGGGCAGGTGGCGACAAGGTGACAGAGTCCATGGTTGCTGCTTGGCCATGCGAAATGTGTGTTGTCAGATCTGTTAGTCACGCGTGTAGAGCCAGTCCAAACTTTACTATCTTTCAAGAGAATAAGTCGAGTTGTCGAGATTGTGATCCGTGCCGAAATTTTGTAGAGCTGATGTATGTGTGTATACGTGTGTGTGAGAGAGGGAGAGACAGTCCGACTTCATCGGCACTGTGAAGAACGGCAGCCTAATGCCGTCAAGCACAAAGAGTGGCAGCAACAATAAGTCGCGGTCACGACTTCTCGCAAGCAGGTGCGTGACGTAAGCATCGCAATGTGAAAGGAGCATTCAGTTCGTAGCAATCATGGAACATCAATACTGAGCATTCGCCAAGCCATACCTCGACTAGAAAGTAAAACAAACTTAACAAGCGGATATCTTTGATTATAATCCTTGAAAAGATTGTAGGAATAGCAAAGCTATGATAAGTAGCCACCAGCCGCACTCTAGTCGCAAAGGAAGCATGTTGACATGTAAGTCGAGACTTGTATGGATAGAGAAGGGATAATAATGGGTGCCACAGGGGCAGGTGCGCATGTGTGACAAGACACATGGTAAGAAGATGTAGACAGGATTGAAAATTTGTAGTCTAAACAAAGCGCATACCCGGCCCTGAAGTCACACCTAGGATATACCCTTCATGCCACACTGAGAAAACGATGAATCTAGCCATCATTGACCGTTTGCTTACCAAGATGCACCATATCACCACTAAACCCCTGCCGTTTTTGCGTCTGTGTTATTGGTTTTTCGAATTTATGCCTTGGCGTCGGCGGGAGCCTCGCTGCTCTCAGCCTTGGGCGCGTCGGTGGCGGGCTCACCGGCGGGTGCGTCACCGGATGGCTCGGCCTCGGACGATGTCCAGAGAGTCTGAGTGGAGTTAGTACGCTGCATGTAGATGTAGAAAGGCGTGTATAAAGACTTACCAGGTTGTCACGGAGGAGCTGCATAATGAGGGTAGAGTCCTTGTAGCTCTCCTCGGACAGGGTGTCGAGCTCTGCGTTTTTGTTAGTCTTGTTCAGACATGGTTCTCTTGCCCTTCACGTACCAGCGATGGCGTCATCGAAAGCCTGCTTGGCGAGTTGGCAAGCCTGATCGGGCGAGTTGAGGATCTCGTAGTAGAAAACGGAGAAGTTCAATGCGAGACCGAGACGGATGGGGTGGGTAGGGGCAAGGTTGGAGGCGGCAACATCGGTAGCGGCCTTGTAGGCCTCGAGCGACTTGTCGGCGGAAGTCTTGCGCTTGTCACCAACGGCGAACTCGGCAAGGTAACGGTGGTAGTCGCCCTTCCTGGAAAAGAGAGAATGGTTAGCAAAGCTAGCTAGGTATTGTAGTGTGTGTATGTGTGGTGTCTTACATCTTGTGGTAGAAGACCTTGGATTCTCCGCTCTCAGCAGAGGGGATCAGGTGGCCGTCAAGGCACTCAAGAATGTCCTCGCAGATCTTGGCCAACTCGGCCTCGATCTTTTGGCGGTACTCCTTGATAAGAGTAACCTGGGTCTCGTTGCCCTTGGACTCCTCCTTCTGCTCGATCGAGGTGACGATTCTCCAGGAGGCGCGGCGAGCACCGATGACGTTCTTATAGGCAACGGAAAGGAGATTTCGCTCCTCGACGGAGAGCTCCTGGTCTGCAGAGGCAACAGCCTTCATGTTCTCGACCATCTCTGTCGTACGGGGTTAGAATACAATGCTGTGCCTCATTGTAGATGCGCTTACCCTCATAACGCTCGGCCTGCTCGGCCAGCTTGGCCAGGTACACGGAGTCTTCGTAACCCATTGTGATGTGTAGTCTGTGGAAATCGCTGTTAGCTGATGTGAACCGAGTTGGAGCGCGCAACAAGTGCGACCAGTGGTTATCGCAGTTGCTAAGCAGCAAGCCCGCCCCTCAATGTGCGCTACTGCCGTAATCGGAGAAAATGCCGTTTCGCTGTCTCTGCCGCTGTCGATTGTTTTGCTGCGTGTGTTGAGAAGTCGGAGAATGCGGCAAGTGGAGCCCAGCAATTGCTTGCGTAGCCTTTACACCTGGCAACAGGGCAGATGCGCGAAGAGGGGCGGCTCGAGCTATCACGGGTCTCCGAAAAGAGCGCCGATCCACGACACCCTCAACAACAGCGGCCAGGGGGGGTTGAGCGAGGGGCGGTCTCGATAGCCGGCTATGCTGATGGGAACGACGGGCGTTGTTTACCGCAGTCCAAGGCGCAAATTGCAGCTGTCCGCGAGTTCTTGGGCAGTGACGGAATGCGGTGGAGCACTTACGAAGAGAAAAGTTGGTACAGGGGAGGGAGTGTGCAGAAGCGTAGGTTGTTAGAGGCGGGGTGTGTGTTGTTGACGAGAAACGGAGTGCAAGTGTTTTGGTCGAAGGCGGCTTGTGGTTGAGTTATCAGAGGAGGGGACTTGAGAGGGAGAGAACCCGACTCGTCTTGGCGGCGATCACGCCTGCCTATCCTTGGTTTCACACGGCCCAGCCCAGAACAGGCGCGACCTTATGTTCTGACAGGCGAGCAGCGCCCGTCACCGCCTCAGCGGCCAAATCCTCACTTGCATAGTGCCTGCCATTATTTCCAGGCTTGTAGAGCCGCCTTGGGGGTGTTGCCTCCATGAGTCCCTGAACGGCATGCCCCGCAGTACACCCCTTCCATGACAGCTACAAGGACCAGCCTTCACCACGAGGATTGGGCATCACGTTTGCTTTTGTAGAGCCGGCATTGGCTCTGATCAGGCAGTGGGTACCATGACTCTTCTGTTCTGAACGTCCCGGGCGTTTTCTGGGCGGGCAGACACAGTGTAGCTTTCCAATCGCGTTAAGATCAAGACCGTGATGTTGCATAACATGTACTAATGTTAGCCCCTAAGTCTCTCATGGCACTTGCTGTTGTGCTTTGAGCAATGAAATATCATGTGCATCCAAACCCCCATGGGCCGCATTGAAGCATACCGTCTGTCAATCAACCCCCTTGCCTGATCTGAACAGACGTGGAACAAGAACAAGTTCGACTTTCGTACGTCTGTCTCGTGTGTACCAAACTATCGAGTGGACCAGGCAACGGTGTTGAGACCCTTCGACGTCACGTGAGAACCGGGCGATGACGCACATGCACGTCCAAGCTCCATGTTCTTCAAGCCATCACTCCACCTCAGCATACCAATTGCATATAACCACACAACACCCTCTCAGTACTCAACCCAAATCTCTCTACCAAACGCAACAATGCTTCGCACATCCATCATCAAGAGCGCGCGCTCAATTGCCGCTCCCCGTTACTTCTCCGCATCTGCCCTCCGAATGGCAGAGGGAGCTACCGGCTCAGGATCCTCAAGGCCTACCGGATCCGCTGGCGGGTAAGTCGAGGCTAAGATTCAGATCGTCAGTTCCAAGCAGCTCAACTGACTCAACTATTAGTGACGCCTTCACCAAGCGCGAGTCTGCTAGCGAGGAGCTCTTCATTCGCCAAGAAGAGAAGGCCAAGTACGTACATCTTTCAGACGGAGTAAAGACCTAGTACATTTTTCTGACAACAAACAGGCTCATGGCAATCAAGGAGAAGCTCAAGGCGCAAAGGCAGCACATGGAGGACTTGGACAAGCACATGTCAGTATACCTAGGACTTGGCCAGATGGAGAATGTCAACACTAACAACAATGCAGCGACGATGTCATTGCTGAGTCTGAGCGCTCAGGCCAGGGCGAGCAAAAGTGAGCGCTTCGCCATGCTCCGGACGAATAACGCGGGCCGACCCATCCGTCGATAGCTTGCTATGATAGACAATAAACATGTCAAACACACATGAACTTCGCAATTGACGTACCTGATTCTTCGTCAGACGCCTGCGTTCTTTCGTACTCGCTTCTTCATATCGTCCTTGTTCGTGTCAAATAGAGCATGGGTCTGCACAGTCGTAGGGCTCCCCAGCAAACGACGTGGATGACCCACCTCAACACTTACAGCTGTTACTCACCGTGAGAAGGACATCACAAAGTAATCATCTCTGTGGCACTGCATCTGTACATCGTCGCATTCCACTCCACAGCGAGCGAGGTAGTACGGAATGGCCACGGGAGAATTCGGTATCTCGCGGAAGCGCGTCATTGTGTGAATAGGTTCTTTCTCGGCCTCTTACAACGTCAGCTCATCGAAGATCCGGAGATCCACTACATGGATACAACCCAGATCAATACAGCCACCGCCCCGCACGAGGCTGGATCACAACTCGATATTTCCCGTTTTGCTTTTCTGCCGCGAAGGATCTGACGACAACACACAGCTTCGTATTCCGACTAGCCCCTCCAGCCTCCAGTATCTAGAATATACGGCGTAGTGCTTACGCAGCCTCACACAAAGACAGCCATCGCGCGGACGGAGAAAAGAATACGTACCTCCGTTGCACCGACATGCAGGATACTTTGCTACCCTGCGAAACCGAGACGACGGTATTGTCGATCGTGAAATTAGTCATTTCGAACGACGCTCGCGGTGTCGAATAGAACTTCACTCCCTTTGCTCAACAACTATCGCGACTCTATGAATGCCTTATTGCCCAGGCTTCCAGGTTTTCGTCATTATTAGCCCATTTCAAACGCCTCTCGTGTCCACGCAGCTAGGCGTTTTACTTTTGCTGGCGAAACAGGTACTGGGGTTGTGATTCTGCATTGCGGCAGGGATCCCGCTAGCACCCATACAAGATAACCGATAGCCTACCACGAACATCCCGGTTGCGATCACAACTACAAGCGACTACCTTGTGAACTCTCGAGTAACTTGCAAGAACTTTCAAGATCATGCAGCCTCTTCATTTGCCGGCCATCGCCATCCCTACGGACAACGGCTGGTTTCAACCTCCTGACAAACTCCTGTTTGCCCCCACTAGGCAATGCATGCTTCTTTTACAAGATACCCCATGCTACGACTAAGTGCATCCCGCCCATTTTTGTATCAAGGGACAACGAAGATACGTCATTGTAAGCGTCGTTCTGGCCTCGATGAGCGAAACCCTGGATATGGAACCCACCCGTTGCTCCCATCAACGAATGAAGCAAATGCACGGGCTGATATCACGCCGAGAAGACTACGGACAGACGACACTGGACCAAATTAGGCATGACGAGAGGCGGGTGATGGGTCTATTCAGGGTCTTCGCTATAGCCTTGGCCAGCGAGCATATATGGTCTCGTTGACCGCTCAGCACAACGACGCATAACTTTGAGCGTTGATCTACACTATACTAAACTGCTACCAAACACCATCACTATCCAGCTAGCCATACAAGCGTGGTCACTATTTCAAACGCTCTATTACAACTCTTTCACCTCTCCAACGCTCTCACCTTCTTGTCAAACCTTCATCGATCAGTCTAGCAGTTACCATCACTCAATTCGCCTACATGGCGCAACAAAACAACCAGCAGCCTCAGTACTATGGCCAGACACTGCAAGATGGTACGATAATGGAATCCCCTGTTATGCCACCAACGCGAGCATCCAGTGACTCAAGGCAAGAGTTGTTACGACTACCAGCACAACCCCACCCAGCACATATCGACTACCATATGGAGTCTGATCAGAGTCTGCCCCAGCAACAGCAGCAGCAACAGAGTGACCTTCCCCTGAGGTCAATGCCGTCCAATGCTCGGAGAATAGGAGGTCAAAGTGACCCCAATGACCAGTGGGCACCTAATCGTCCTCGACGACCATCTCAGAATGTTCCCTACACCCCTACCACTCATCGTGGTCCATACATAGAAGACGACTATGAAGAGGAAGATTACAACCCTCAAATGTACCGTCGTCGGTCGAACCGTCGCACTCAAGGCCCTCCTATGGCCTACCGCAACTACGTCGAGCAAAACTCCAGATATGGACCGATACCAAGGAATAGTGTCGACGCAAACATGCAGCCCCAATACTCGGATACACCGGGTAAGCCAAACTATGAAATGTACTACCCCGAGCAGACGGATTACTCTCCACGCCGCCCTCCTATGCCGGGTACCGGAAGTGGAGGAAACAAGGGACCGCCAGAGTACCCATCAGCGAAGGCTGTGATGAGGCTGCCCTGGGCCGTCTGGATGGGAAGTAATGCAAAGAACCGTAAGTAATCTCCACCTTACTCGTTCCTCTACGTCGCTAACACATTCCGTCGAAGACTTTGTCGCTTTCGTAGGAGAATTTGTAGGAACAACCATGTTCCTCTTCTTCGCCTTCTCCGGCACCCAAGTCGCCAACATCGACTCCTCAGCAAACCCAGATCAGAACACGACAACCAACGAAGCCGCCGGTTTCTCCCCCATCGTCCTCCTCTATATTGCCCTCGTCTTCGCCTTCTCCCTCATGGTAAATGTCTGGGTGTTCTTCCGTATCAGTGGTGGTTTATTCAACCCGGCCGTTACATTCGCCATGCTACTCTGTCGCGCTCTGTCACCCGTCCGCGCCTTCTTGCTACTTGCAGCGCAGATCACGGGAAGTATCTTTTCCAGTTACATCGTCAGTGTCTTGTTCCCTACGGATTTTAATGTTCGGACTACACTTGGTGAGGGGACCAGTCTGGCGCAGGGCGTATTGATTGAGGCACTGCTTACAGCAGAGCTGGTCTTTACCATCTTCATGTTGGCAAAGGAGAAACACAAAGGTATGTCTTTCCTTCATACCTTCTGCTCGTCCAACCCAAATAACTAACTCCCCCACCAGCCACCTTTATAGCCCCTGTCGGCATCGGCCTCGCCCTCTTCATCGCAGAGCTAGTCGGCGTCTACTACACCGGCGGCTCTCTCAATCCTGCCCGCTCCTTCGGCCCCTGCGTCGTAACTGGCGTCTTCGACACGGAACACTGGATCTACTGGGTGGGCCCCGCAGTCGGCGCTATCATTGCCGTTGTCTTCTACCAATTCATCAAGATCCTCGAATACGAGGTCGCGAACCCCGGTCAGGATGACGACGACAAGGACCAGGAGGTCAAAGAGGAGATTGAAAAGGTTAGGGAGGGATCTCAAGAACCAGACCTGGAAGCACAGAGGGGGCCTGTTGGTGGGTTGGTTAGCAATGATGGGACTAGGACGATCCCGACGGTAGCCAGTATTCATCAGATTAGGAAGAAGAAGGCACTTGAGGGTCAGGGGTTCGGGGGGAGGGGTGAGAATACTTACTAGACGGCCGGGTAAGTATTCAAACTGGCTTCACAGGCTGTCGACCGTGAGTGAGCGGAGTTGAGGGACGAGCTTGGTGTGCTGAGGAATTTGATGGAGTATAATGGGGCATGATGGATTGGACGATGGGCTATGCATTACGGGTCACGGGTTATGGGTTATGGCTCATATTAATGAGTTGGTATGGTTGATGGTTGAACGACTCTCCTTGGGTTATAAGGGTCACGAAGTATTGGTCCTGGTCACGAATAGAATGTATACATAGATTGCTCAAAGTACCGTAGATAGATTACGTCGGTATTCCGACGGTGCTCACAGGCTAGGAGGGAGCAATGAATGAAACTTGACACTCACTTTCAGCCTGCTCACAAAAAGACTACTCCTCACCGCATCCTAATGTGTTCTCAAAGCGGAACCGAAAGGGGGTTCTCGGAATACATGCCTTTGTACCAAATACTCGGTTCGGAGCAAGGGTGACCGAGGTTCGTGGTTTCGACCGGCATGAGTCCATCACATCACGTGTGCGATCGACAATGCAGGTGCAAGTTCTAGAGAGCATGTGACATGTACTGAAACTAGACCCAGACGTTCTCCACATCAGACACGTAGTGTACCTGACGAGACAGGGTGGGATGTCCGGGGGAAGGATATTCTCCGCTACGGCCGAACCTGTGACATTAGCGAGTTCCTGTCTCTTGCTATCCACATGTTGAATACGAAGGCCAATCACCATCCACCTCAAGTAGGAAACCATCTGCACTGAATACTCCAATTCCTCTCGTGCTATTTTACCCCTCGGCCGATTTTTTTTTTTCATTACTTGGACCTATCCGCATCCAACGTCAAAGTGCGATGTCAGTGTAAATCCACAAGGCCATCAGAGAAGGAACATGACAATCCTCACTCACATAGATTCATACCAAGAATCATATTGATTTCACACATCATTCCATCACTCGATACAAGCATGCGTGTGAGACTAAGATATCTCAAAAAGAAAAAAGAAAAGAGAAAGAAAAGAACTTATATCTGGCATTAAGTCATCTCGAATGATATATATAAAAGCTGACCACTGATTCTCGCCTCGCTCTCCCTCTCTCCCACACATCTTCGTCTCTCTCCCCCCTCCCTCCAATCGCCATCGAAACAAGATAAAAGAAAAATATAATGGTATAGCAACGGGTTTTTCTAAACGAACCCTCTCACCCCCTTCTCCTCTACTCGTCCCTTCCCCTAGCACACTTTCCACGGCTACATCAGTCTTCCTTCATTCCTCTTCTCGTTTCTTTCCAACTTTCCACGTCCAAACGTCCATGATCATGAACATGAACATGAACATCGAGAAACAACAACAACAAACTATAAGCAAAACACACCCACACTCACGAAAAAAAAAGGGTAAAGGACGTCTACCATTACACATAGTGTAGACAGCCGTAGATAGCGAATGGATGCAAGAGAAGAAGAAGAAGAGAAAGAGAAAAAAAAAAGATGCGTTGTTGTAGTGCAAACATAACAAAGGCAGCAGCAGCAGCAAGAAAGCAAATTCGAACAAGACAAGGAAATAGAGTATTGTGGTAGTAGGTAGCGATATGTGAGGAGAAAAGCTAAATGGCCAGAAGAGGCCAAACAAACATAGATAGCATAAGCAAGGTAAGTTCCGTACGTAAGCGGCAGAACATAGCAAGCAAGACGCCAACAGATAATAACGCCCATATGACGAACAGAGAAAGGGTTTAGAACGAACCGCCCGAAGACTAAATCCCCTTAAGCCCTTAAGCCCTAAGCCCCGTATGCTCCAATAAGAGAGAAGAGATGAGAAAGCGATCGATGTAGGGTGGTGGTCTTTGGTAAGAGACAACACGGGTATATGAAAACAGGATTTTGTTTTTGTTCCACCACAACAAAAGGCCAACCACCAACAGGGCGCCGACCGATCGACTAAGCGAAAGGGCAATCGAACACTTGGATTTTCCAAGTGCGCTATGCATCGACCGCGTTCGGGAAATCAAAGTCGCTGACCAGATTGCCAAAAGCGTCATTGTCATTTCCCGTATGCAAAAATGAGTCAAAGTCAAAGTTTTCGAGCGCACCAGCGTCATCGCCAAAGTTAAAGGCGAGATCGATACCGTTGGGCTATATGTTTCATTAGCAAAAAGCATCCCTTTACTCATTGCGGACCTGTCACTTACGTCACCGTCAATGTTGCCAAATGGGGGACCACCGTTATCCATGGGTTGGTCGGAGGGAGGCTGAGGTTGCACGGGTTGCTGGGGCCCGCCGTTTTGTCCTTGGTTGAAGGATTGCTTGTGTACGGGCGTGATGGGCGCGACGGGAGTCGATGAGGTCGGTGTCGGTGGTTCTTCGCCGTTCGATGTAGCCGGAGTAGCACCTGCGTTACCCTTTTTATTTGCGGGCTTCTAAAATCAATATCAACGTTGCTCGAGGGGGTAGAGTGCGCGGGGGGAAGCGCGAGACTTTACCTTATTGTCTTTGGTTACCTTCTTCTTGGGATTGGCCTTGTTTCCTTGGTTCGGCGTCGGTGGTGCCTGATTAGACACTGATGGAGATGGTTCGGGTCGTGGCTGTTCGTTCGTGGGCGCTGGAGGAGGCGGCATTTGTTGCCGCTGCTGAGGGTTTTGGCCCATGGGTCCGCCCATCTGCTGGCCGCCAGGGCCCATCATGCCTGGTTGGGGCCCGCCACGCCAACCACCATTCTGGGCCATCTGGCCATTGCGCATGGCTTGCATTTGCTCCTGCGTCATGGGTTGTCCGTTGAACTGGGGACCGCCATTCGGGTGTGAGCTTGGAGGCCGCATCATGGGGTTGCCGTTGGGGCCCGGGCCCATGTTCTGGGGGTAGAATTGCGGAGGCATTCCTGGGGGTGCTAGAGTGGGGTCGAAGTTCATGTTGGGTGCGGGTGATCCACGTTGCTGACCCATAATTCCCTCTGGCATAGGTGAGCCGGGTAAATTCTGCTGGCCGAGCTTTGGTGTACCTCGCTTCATTTGGTCGGCAGGGTTAGGCGATGGGCCACCAGCTCTGCTACCTTGCGGCGACATGGCAGCGCCAAAGCCTGGAGCGCCAATGACGCCTTGCTGAGGATGTCCAGATTGGTTGTCTTGCTCTTGCCGAGCCATGAGTAACCGCTTCTTGTTCTGCTGCTCAAGCAACATGAGTTGCATCTGGTAGTCCTGCAGCGCATGGTTGCCCTGCTGGGGTGCGCCTGGAGGATTGGTGGGCATGCTGCCGGGCCGCGGGCCGTTGCCAGCGAAGGTGAGGTCTTGACCGTCGAGGCCGGACTGGGCCATTGGAGAGCCTTGGACGCCAGAGTTGATACCCTGGGGGGAGGAAGTGTTACTCATTGCCACTCTGTGTTGATGGGCCAGACTTTGGGCATATACCTCGATGTTCTTCTGCTGCGCACCTGGGCCTTGCGGCATGAATTCATTGAACTGGTTGTTGGGCATGTTACCAGCATTCATACCACCTGTGGGCCGGTCTTGATTAGCTTGTGCCCTCGTCGTGGGTGTGACAGATGACGTACCTTCGACGCGGGGGCGCTTGTTTGGAGAAGGGGCATTTTCGTTGGACCCGGGCGAGTTGGGGCGGTTGCCGTTCATGTCCATGTTGGAGCCGTCTCGTTGCATCTGAATCATGTTGGGGTTCTTCATGGACTGCATGCCCGCCATGGGGTTGCCGGTTCTGCTGCGGTTAGCTAAGGGGGTATAGACGGCGCGATGCTTCAGATACTACGTACGGGCGGTTGTTCATGTGTGCTGTCCGCTGGAGTTCAGTGGGCTTGCCGTTGGTCATGCCACCGTTCCGGGCCATCATGTACTGCGCGTTGGCCATGGGGTTGTTGGCCATCATCAAGCGCTGGTTTCGCTGCTCGTTCTGCATTTGGCCAAGATTCTGTCTAGTCGTCAGTCTTGTTCGATTGACGGGGAACTGTTTGTACGTACCCGGTTGTGGCCGAGATATTGGACGGCATTCTTGGGGCCGCCGTTGGGACCTCTGGCGGCGGCGAAAATGTCCCAGAACTGGACCCACCAGTCGAGCAGGAAGGAGTTGTCGGCGACCTGGCCTGCAGGCAGTGCGGGCAGGGGCATGTCGTCGGGCATGTCGATGTCGCTGGCTACATTGGACTTGTTGGGGCTCGGCTTCTCGGTGGACATCTTCAGGTCGCCATCGAGCATGGCGCGCGCGAGGGCGTGGTGCCTGTTCCGCAGGAAGTAGTCGTAGATGTACGTGTTGAGCTTTTCAACCGGGTCGTTGTTGCCCATGCGTTTGGGTTGCGCCATGTTGCCCATGACGGGGGTGCCGTTGACGGAGCCATTCGCATTCATCTGCGCCTGCATCTGGGCCATTTGCTGGTTCTGCATCGCGGCGTCGTGTGCTGCTGGGTTGGGCAGGCGCGATGGGTGGGTGGGGAGTTAGCGATAGGTGCGCGGTGGTAGCAATAGACGCGCTGTGTCGTGCACCTCAGTGCTGGATGGGCCGACTACAACAGCATGGGACGTCGTCGCCACGGGCTGGGAGTCGGAGCGGAGCGTCGTGCCAAGGACGCGATGTGCTGGACGACGAGGGCCGGTGATGTCGCGCGAGATGGGCAGCCGGGTGGGATGAAGGTTGCCGAGAAAGGGTAGCGACGCTGGTGTCGCGATGAAAAGGCGGCGGCTGATGCACGGTATGGGTCGGGGGTTAGCGTGAAGGAAGGACTTCACAAGAGGGACCTCAGCGGCGCGCTGCACGGAGGCTGCCAAGAGATCTCGTCACGACAACGACAACAACAACAACGATGGAGATGTGCCGGCGCAAGAGGGCGCGTCTGGATCAGCCGCACAGATGGATTGTCGCAAGGTTGTGCGAAGTTGAAAGTGATTCAGATCGAGGGGAAGCGTGCGGCCGCTCGTGAGCTGCGCCAAGTCGCCCACGTGATTTCGGTATTATTAGACTCGTATGCTCCAGCCTCCTATCGCGCTCCATCACGCCCTCATCGCAACTGTGGTTGGATTTTGTTTTTCATTCCGCATCAAGCAAGTCAAGACGTCAGACATGGTAGATGGGTTGTATCGTGATCGCATGACAGCACTCCAGCACCTGTGCCTGCGTATTTAGGAGGTAGGTGGGGCACATGTAACGCGAACTCGACACACATGTCCACGACGCAGAGCCGTAGCAATCCTATACCTGTACCCGTAGACGTACTCACATGAATTGGTTGTTGGGTGTGATTTTCCGTCGACATTACGTTAAAATTAAGGGGCGAGGAAAGACTAATGCACCTTGTAGCTTCAGACTCCGTCTACAATCATCAGTGGTAGTGCAATTGCGCCATTGTGCAATTGCCTTCTCATTGGCTTCAATGGCCATCTCAATAGTGCACTCTACCTAGTCTTGTGCAGTGAGTTCGCCGGGCGTCTGTCCCGATTCTACCAACACAATCACAGAGTGCAATTCCAGGCAGATGATGCATTCCGCGCACCCCTACATGTTCAGCACGAAACAACGGATTTGCATTCTCGTTGCGCAACCTTGTTCTACTCATCGTCCGGTGGCATCTCGTCGTCAATAAAGCGGATCAACGTTATCCGCATCTCAGTTGTGTCATTGCCTCGGAGAACGTCACTGACAAAGTGCGCCTCGACCTGCATGTGTACCTGGCCGATATCAGCATACTATATGTATAAACCATCCAGACACGCTCTTTACATACCATCTCTAGTGCACCCCGCAGTACGCCGACCAGGATGTTGGAGAACCAGAGCTCATCTTGCGCGCGGCCATCGTCGGGCAGTTCCACAAAGTCGGCAAGTGGGTTCTCTTCAAAGATGAGGGAGAACTGCTTGTTGTCGCTCGACCAATTGGTGATTGTCGGTGTAATGTTGAGGAAGATCTTGAAGCCAACCTATAGCCGGTACGTCAGCTTGCGGTGAAAGTATATGCGGCTCGTCGGGCCTACCTTTGAGATCATCTCAGAGACCTCTCTGAAGTTGGTGCAGGCAGGTGCGCTTGACTTGGCCAGGAAGTCTTCAATCAGCCGTATGCCGATGTTGTAGCCCATGCGCTCGAGTTGCTTGTTGACGTCGGGGTAGTTGTATTCGTAGTCCTTGCATAGTTGGGCGACAATGGTGCCGTATGTGAGGGTGACGAGCTCGGCGCTGACCTTGTCTACTCGTGTCCTTGGGTTGTCAGATGCAGTCGCCCAGGCCAGTCGTATGCGAGACTTACTTCCACACTCTGACATCTATTAGCACATGTTGAAGCAACTACTAGACGCCTGGAGCTCACTCCTCGCCCATGCGGGCCGCTTTGGTCGATGAAGCCATGTGGATGTGCTAGAGAGTCACGGGTATTTTGTGTAGGAGTGTGATGTCACGGGTATTTGGTGTAGGAGTGTGATATCAAGTCGTGTTGTCGGCGTCGGGGAGCATGCGGACTGCGGAGGAGCGTTCCTGGTACGGGCGGGCGTTAGCGCGCATCTGCCTTGCCTGAAAGTTTACCAGCTGCAACTCGCCTGCAACCACAGCGCAACAATCCACACCGCCCGCCAAGATAGCGAACCAAGCACCCCTCCATCGCCATGTCGAGAGAAAAGCGACCCGCCAATGAAGCCTTTGGTACCAGCCAACTGGTCAAGCGCACAAAGTCGGACGCGAACCTTGCGAGCTCGGCGGTAGCCAAAGTGAATGGCTCTGGCGCAAATGGCGCGCTTATACAAGCGGTATGTGACAACCAAGGACTTATGATAGAGTACCAAGCTGAAGATGTCGACGTGCTGACAGGTGCTGTAGGGGTCGCGTACCAGCGCGCTGCAGTCGCCGGTTATGGAATTGACGGGCCATTCTGGCGAAGTCTTCGCAGCGCGATTCGATCCGACGGGACAGTACATAGCGTCCGGTTCCATGGACCGATCCATACTACTCTGGCGCAGCTCTGCATCATGCGAAAACTACGGTATTCTGACAGGACACAAGCAAGCGGTGCTTGATCTGCATTGGTCGCGCGACTCCAAGGTCCTCTTTTCCGCCTCGGCCGATATGCACCTAGCCAGTTGGGACGTCGAGACGGGAGAGAGGATACGAAGACACCCCGGGCACGAAGAGGTCATCAACTGCATGGACGTGAGCAAGCGTGGTGAGGAGATGCTCGTGAGCGGCTCAGACGACGGCTACATCGGCGTGAGTGCATCAACATATACTCGTCGAGCATTTCTGACTCTTCCAGATCTGGGACACGAGAACCAAAGACGCCGTGACATTCATCCCCACCGACTTCCCCATAACCGCCATATGCTTGGCAGAAGCTGGCAACGAGCTCTTCACCGGAGGCATCGACAACGACATCAAGGTCTGGGATCTACGGAAACAGGCCGTCACCTACACGCTGCTGGGTCACACGGATACCGTCACCTCGCTCCAATTGTCTCCTGACAATCAAACTCTCCTATCAAACGCACACGACTCGACTGTCAGGACATGGGATGTGAGACCATTTGCGCCTGCAGACAGGCGCATTCAGACATACGACGGAGCCCCAACCGGCCAAGAGCGCAACCTCCTGAAGGCGAGCTGGGACTCCAAGGGAGAGAAGATTGCTGCTGGGAGCGGGGACCAGAGCGTAGCCGTCTGGGAGACGCGGACAGGAAAGCTGTTGAACAAGCTTCCTGGCCATCGAGGTGCTGTCAACGATGTGCGGTTCCACCCGCTCGGTGAACCAATCTGTAAGTGCATCAGACTTTCTTTCGCATTCGCTTTCGCCCAAGTATCTGTTCTAGACCCCACGCTACGCTTCATCATCCCAGCCCTATGGCGATCAAAGCGGGAAGGCTCTGCGGAGAGGCTTTTCCAAGCTTTCTCACATCCTCTTCGCTCAGCGCTTGAGGCGGCGAGGAGGACATTTCACTGCATAAACTCCTCTTGAACAAGCGTTTCGACACCCTTCACCCCTCAATACGAAGCACGAAGCTGACTTGGCAATCCTAGTGCTCTCCGCATCCTCGGATCGCAAGCTCATGGTAGGTGAGCTAGGCAAGTGAATGTGGAGGTGAAGCAACTTGGCTACGCGAATTTGCTTCGAGATTAAAATCCCCGGGATGAAAGCTGTGGAGAAAGGCCCGAGTTGGACTTCCGGCCCCACGGTACGTCACAAGGGCGTTGTTTATGTATAGGACTGGATACGCCGGTGCGACGTTTGACAGGGTTGGGAGGTCGCATGTAACAACAGTCTTCAATAACCGCAAGGAAGCGAGAGGAACAACAGAAAGACGTGTCGACGAGACGGAATTTTTGAACAGTGTCATGGCATCACTGTCAATAGCAGAGTTAGACACAAATCAACAAAGATGGAGATTTGAATGTTATGCATCTTTATGCTGCTATATGATGTCGCGTTGCACATAAATAGTAACCGCTTAGTTGGTGAGCTATACGTTCCTGATTGGGGTAGACGTTTCAAGTTGTTTTTATCTCAGCCAACCAGCGCGCATCCGGCCTCGCCATTTTGCTACCCGCACCCTTCTTCCGGTCAACAACTACAGGCCACAATTAGCCAGACATCCAGATCTGATGCACGCGAACGCGGTCCGTGACACAGCCTAGGATCGCTGGACGTCGTGTTTCACCCTCACAGCGATCAAAGTCTGATACGCCACTCGTCGCGGAAACGCATGGCGTTCAATGCTTTCTCGCGTTATGATGACCAGCCTGGTTCTTGGATGCCGCGCCCCCCATGTCCACTCCCTGGTGCGACCTTGTGACGGTTCCCTTTTCCCTTTCAACCTCTTGTTGTTGTTTGTCGTTCACCTTCTTTCCTTTAAGTCATTGGTAATAGAGGTAGCGGTTGCTGTGCTCCGGCTTGTTTCGCTTCTTTTCGTTCTTTTGCGCTCGTTTGGCCTAGGTGCGCTCTGGATAGCCGTCCTGGTCCCTTTTTTATTCCAACCAAGTCTTTTTTTCCAATACTGTCGCTCTGAGTTTTGGGTTTCTGGTTTCGATTCTTTCTCGAAAACAAGAGGTATAGCCAACAGTTCTTCACTGGACATACTGCAAACACTAGAAGGGTCTTGGGCAAGGGCGAGGATCCATTCATTGTTCGATTACTCCACATTCTCTATCCTGTCACAGTCCCGCCACAAGGTGTTCCTGCATGAACAGGAGCATAGCCCTCTCATTCGCCATTGGGGTTGTCAAGGGACATCAACGCGAAAGGACGCATTTAGCACCGAGGACGCGCCCACTATAAGGAATACACATACGCCCAAGATAGCACCTGGGGGTCTTGTAAGTGTGTATTTCTGGACTTGACCAAGCAAATCGCGCTATATACGGATCTCACCATGTTTCGGTCACCACTTTTCGCTTGGTCACCACGACCAGATCAGGATCAGGACCTCGAGGCCTCTTTAAGGACGCCTGCAACACAGAATCCGTCGCGGTTCAGCGCATTCCGAAATAACGTGAGGGGAATTGTCAACGGATCGTCGATATACTCGCAGTCGCCGGCCCTCAACAACAATACCAACATCAACACACCTAAAACACCATTTCTAGGCTTCTGGAACCGCCAGCAACAGCCCAACCTCGATGCCGACACCACACATCGTGAATCTCACGATTCCAGATCTCCTCTCCATGCACATCATACCGCAGGGTCCTACATCGGCGCCATCGCACCACCGCAAGACCACCAGGAACCAACCACTGTCTACTCTGCCCGTCACCCAGCGGACGTCCCGTTGCCTGGAAGCAGTCATCAGCAAGATGGTTTTGCAGACCCCGAGATTCAGCAACTCGCCGATGAAATAAACGGCCGCCGACACAAACGCCGGAAGCACCACAAGCGGAGAAAGCACTACCACCACCATCGCCACCGCACTGAACGATCTGGATCAAATGGATCAAACGGATGGGTACGCAGAAGAGAAGAGCGAGGCACACACACCACCGCTGTGTATATCCGCGGATCAGCTGCACGAGGAAAGATGATAGCGTGTGTGATTTCGGGGACGGTTTTAATTACTATCCTCGCAATCTGTAAGTTTGATCCGTTCCTCTAATCCCTCACGTATTCATCACTAACAACGTGATTCAGACCTAGCAATCGCCCTTACAAACCGCTCCCTCGGCCAAGAAATTCACATCCTCTTCATCATGGTTCTGCTCACCATCACAATCTTCTTCTGCCACTCCCTCATCCGCCTCTGCATGCTCATGCTGAATCCACCTTCGCCTCACGACAGCCACCGCGGAGTCATGCCCGATATGATGGGAAGTGGGGGCGAGGGCTTCCAACCTATCGTTCCAATTCGCGTGCATCTCAGGCGGGATGAGGAGGCTGCTGACGGTGGTGTGGATAGCGAGGCAGCTCTGGCAAACGACGTAGTGATGGATGATGAGAAGGATATGCCGCCACCTCCGCCACCGGCGTACGGGCTCTGGCGCAGCAGCGTACGCGTCGACCCCAACTTGTTGCATTGGCAGCGTGCCGATGATGTTGCGCGCGGAAGCGCCATGTCTACTGCTATGCGCTCGCGCTCTGGATCCATGTCTGGTCCTGCCGTCCTTGCGGCTGCGTCTCTACGTGGAAGCGCTGCGTCCACCAATGCACCACCCACATCACAACAGCCAGAAGGTCCCCGCCCACCTTCCTACGTCTCGGAAGATGGCGTAAGCTACATTACTGAAGCGCAGCCGAGGAGTACGGTGAATATCGGTAGTGGGTTGAGTGAGATTCATCCTGCGTGGCGGCCTGGGTATGCCATGAGTGAGATCAGAGGGGGTGAGCTGCCCGCTTCTGCCATGAACGGAAGCCGTGTATAAGCAAAAGTATATTTTGGCTGTTGACTGTTTTGGTCATTTGGATATCTGTAGCGTTCTAGCATTGCGTGTCGCTTTCGTATACGAATTCATGGTATACAATCTCACATATTCGTTCGCTAGCCTGGGAACACCACGTCATGCTCTCCCTCTCTCTCTTCCTAGACTCCCAGGGTCTTTCATCCCATGCTTTTGCTATTGTCCTCGTCACTTGAAGCTAAAACGGAGTGATCATCCGGGGTCACTGAAACAACAACGATACCCGTGGCGTCGTTCCCCGTTCGAGATAAAGCAATCTGTTTCGGCACTTCTTACACGGCTTGTTTTCTTCTTTTCGTCATTGTTGGAAGAGACGATGTCATACGATGTCATACTTCGGCTGTTGAGATCCAGGTCTTCGCGGAGTGTGGCAGTGTTCGCTAAGAGTTTATCGTTATCCGTTTGTTTTCGTGGGAGGAGGACAACTGGAAAGTGGTGACGGTGCGGTTAAAAGATTGAAAGCATTATGATTCTGCAAGTTACTAAGCTTTTTTTGGCCGCGTTGTGTTGCCCTGCCTGATCATCGACGTTCCTCCATCGCAATGTATCAGAAGTGAAGTTGTTGCATGCACGTCTAGATACAAATGACGGCTCCCGTCTTATCCAATTTTTCCCTATCGTCATTCCTCCGCCCGCTATTCTTGGTACACAAAACGCAAGGGGGCGCCACTTCTGTGAGTAACTTCTCTCTTCTGTTCTATGGTAATCCTGCGGCTTTGTGAAAGCTGCATACCACTCCATTGTGCTCGGTTGGTTGGTTGACTCCGCTACCAAGTGCTCTGCGGTAGTGGCTGCTCTGGTCACTATTCTTTGCTCAGTATACATCCAGTCCTTGCACACTTGTGATTTTTACCGTTCTTCAAACTCTGTTCCTATCCCTATCCTGATAATGAAGGCCACGTATTTGTATCCAACATTTGTACAGCATTCCTACAGAGGTTCCGTGATTATAAGTCGTATAGGTCGCCATTGCCATCCTGTACCCTCGGTTGCGTATCTCGGTAGGTGTGAGTCGACCATGCGCATACTCTACACGGCGTTCCGAAGAGTGTGAGCTTGCCGGGTATGACGCAAAGATGAGGACGCCATTTCCATTAAGCCAGATATCGGGAAGCTGACTTCCGCCGGCCTTAGCCATCTCTGAGGGCCATTGCTGCCTGACATCGCTCAAGAGTAGGAACAGGCTTTGTATCAACTCTACCACCGAAATCGTGACTTCCTCGTGGTGTATAGAGTTTCCCCAAGGACATTTGAGGACGAAGTGAGCTTTTGCCTTGGAATAGGAGGAGATATGGCTCAGTATAGGTACAACTTCCTTGATGTTTATACGGATCTCCTTCAGGGAGGTGGCTGTTGCGATATCGAAGTCGAGGACGATGACTATAGATGGATGGCTGCTGAAAATTTCTTGGAAAGACCCCCAGAATATCGAGTATCCACTGTTCCTTCCGGTTGGACTAACCAGCTCCGAGGCGACAACGGCAAAGTTCTTGGAATCCGAGGTCGTAGTGCTGATACTCTTCCTGACAACAATGCTTGTATCATAGGGTATTGAATTGAATGTAACAGCATCCCTGAGCTTCCGACTCAGATGAAAACCTATCGGGTTGAGGCCTCGTATTGAGCGCGAGTCAAGATCGAGTACAATCTGGTCAGCTGAAAATGTGACCAGCCTGAGGATCTTGCTCTGCAAGAGCGTTGGCAACCTTCCGAGATAGTCGCGAGAACTTCCGAACTCTACCCATTTCACAGCTTCTTGTTCCAGAGCACTGAAATGTCGGATCAAATTTGGTCCAGTAACCCCGCCATACAGCAAAGACGAGTAGAGGACGATATTGTCGACAAGCAGTCCCTTGAAAGCGTAGCGCTTCAAGTCCAAGACGTCTTGAGTACTGATTGCGATCAAAATCCTTTGTAAATGTCCCGCGCGGTCCATGTCGTCCTCTTCTTCAAAATGATTGTACTCACTGCAATCATCCTTCTCGCGCTCTGTTGGTTCTCTCTGGGTGAATGCGACTACATCTGCAAGATAGGGATGCTCCCATAATAGCCTTACAAGCTTCAGAATAGAGACATCTCCTAGTGCTCTGTAGCACCGTTCGGGACATAAAGCACCGGCATCTATGCGGACCTCCTTCAGAAATTTGAGTTGAGAGCCCAGATTCTGCAGCCACTGGGCCACATAATTTGTTACGAAGTACGAGTCGTCGTCATATTCTGCATCTTCTTCATCGTAGCCGCGAGAATCGTGGCAATAAAGCGGGCGCGAGAACATAAAAGTATTGTTGCCGTATAGGTATCCGGCTGCTTCAGCGTATACCTGTCGACATAGGAGGAGAGCGGGAGTGACTGTCTGGAAATCATGGACGAAGATTTGACCCTGACAAATCTCGTTCTCGTACGCTTCATCAAAAGCCTCTACTGTAACGGGCCAGCTGGAATCAGGGATTCTCTGTGGTGGAATAGCGTGATATGCTTTGGCATTGTGGAGCAAGACAGGCTCTTCGCGCGTGAACAAGAGCTCATAAATCTGGTTGCGAATCTCGGCCGGAAGGTTAAGGAAGGAAGGCTCTTTTGGGTCTGCCGGACTGGAGATTTGCTTCGGGATCTGCATCGTGGTGGCAGGACTAGAATTGCTGTGGTCAGCGAGTGTCGATGAAGAGTGCGTGATCGCAGCGAGCGACAAGGACTCACTGGTTTGGCGATTACTCGAGCAGCCCACGACGCGATCAGAGTCTATTACGTAGATGAGCGTGAGGTGTTTGTTGATAGCGAAGGGTGAAAGTAGAGGAAAGAAAAGTGATTGTTGTTGGTGTGCGCGCCAAGGCTGGGATATCATTTGTAAGGAAGGTAAGAACGAGAAAGATGAGAGCGAGGAAGGTGAGAGCGAGGAAGGTGAGAGCGAGGAAGGTGAAATTTTCATCTCTGCCCGATGCGCATGACTTCAGTTAGGACAGCGCACTCTCTTCGTTTTGTCGGAGAACGTATGCATGACAGAAAAACAGGAAAATCATATGCAGTGATTAACAGAGATCAGTCATATCTGCAATAGCGAACATCACGAACTGCATTTGTAGTAACTTTAGTGTCTCAATCTATAAACAATGTCTATACTTGGCTGCCACATCTACTAATGATCACAGCTTATCATGTGAACCTGCTACAGCATCCTCTCCCTCCCTCCCTCCTTCCTTCCTTCCTTCCTTCCTTCCTTCCTTCCTTCCATACGTACATACGTACATACGTACATAATACGAGTCTTCCAACTTCCAGAATACCCAGTTCACTCTCTTACAGTCTACCCACACTCAATGAACTCGCCAACTGACCTTGAGAAACGAGTTTTTGAATGCTGGGTGTCATTTCCTGCCTTCGCATCTCGTTGACCGAAGTCGAGGTCCAAACAATGACATGATGTAAATTTCCAGTTGACCCTAGGGACGACGTCTCGCACTATCAGGCCAGTAACAGTCTCGTAACACTGTCCACAACTTGAACACAGGGTCCAGGTCCAGTCCTCTATTCCGAGCGACCATAAGCTCGCTGGAACAAAAATTTTCGGCAAAGCAATAGCCCCTAAACTTGATCTCGCATGCTCTGAGCCCTATATGCCGGTTCTCAGTGCTGATAATCCTCACTGCCGACGAAGCTGGGTAAGGTGAGTTAAGAAGCTTTCCGTGACCTTCAATCCAGATGTCTGGAAGAACACCAGAACCATCAGAGTCGACAATAGGATCGTCGTCGAAGGCGATATTGGAGAGCAAGAATACCTGTCGGAACAGGTCTGAAGCTGATATTACGGCGCTCGCCTTTTGTATACAATGGTTCTTCTGGGGACACTAGAGTGAGATAGAAATAGTGTAACGATGGATATATTCTCGAATCAAACCTATAGTGATCATTCAACATTCATCATAGCTAATCATAAAATCCCAGAATCTTGTTCGCCCGATCCAGAATGACTCTCTCACCAGGGCCCAAGCCCGCAGCATCGCTATCCCACTCTTGCAACCCCATGGCCTGACAGCCCTCATCACCAACCAAAGCATGCATATCCTCAGCCTTGATACGTCCAACATGCTCGCTCTCACCGATACCGCCGCCAAAGTCCGGGCTTGGGGTTCCATTGACGAAGTTCTGGCGCTGCCGGACAAGGTAGTTGGCGTTATCCTCCGTCATCGGGCAAGCTGGAATGTACAAAACGCTCGAGTCGGACTTGCCTGCATGCGTCTTGTCTACACTGTGGATGGTGTCGCAATGCCAGGAGACGTAGTCGCCAGGTCTGACTGTCGGCATATGGATCATCGACTTCTGCAGGTTGAGATGCGGATGCAGGAGGTGGGATAGCTCCTGACCACGACCTGGCGTCGCGCCATGTACCCATGCGTTCTGTGTTGTATCCATCTCCCAGTTATCCGATGCGAGGAAGTCCGCTGAGTTGGTGAGGGCCTCAGAAGTCGTTTGCGCACCGGGGTCTACGCCTCGTTTGGGAGAGAAGAAGGGTCGGAGGAGGTAGTATGCGGTGGCTTTGGCCAACAACGGGTTGACCAGCAGTGTACCTTCAAAGGGTCCAGTTGTGGAGAGCGACAGCCAGCCTTGGAACATGCGGAATGCGCTGCATGCTCCTACGCCTTGGTGAAGGTCTGAGTTGACAGAAAGACGACAGCTGGCTTCCCAGGGGTCAAAGTCTTCCCAGCGTCCTTTCCAGACCGAGTCGTAGACTTTCCCGAGCCCGTAGCCTTCCTCGGACCAGCGTTCTACACTGCCGCCGTCGACGTGTGGTCCCAGTGCAAATTTGGCGTCACCGGGTAGGCGCATGCGCAAGCGATCTGCGTAGCTTATCGGGTGTTTTGTGGAGAGTGGGATGTGTGGGTTGAGGCTGTGCCAGTATGACATGAGGAAGGCTTGCGTCTTGAGGAGGTTTGGATTACCGCGGGCGAGGAGTTGGGTACGCGACCAATATAATTCAAAGACTTGAGGGTTATCGGCGGGGAAAGCTACAACATGGTCAGTCGCATTCATCCCACCGAGATGCACACACGCATATACTCACCCTTTGTCTGAGGATTCTGGCGAATATACTCTCTCAAGTCTTCCTTCCACTGCAGCGCTTCCTGCTCGGGTATTACATTCCTTACAACTGCAACACCTCTCTTGCGCAGCTCGCTGTTAAAGGACTCGGGTGCATTATCGATGTCCTTGAAGTCAATCTCTGGGATGACTTTGCTGCCTTGCTCGACAATGAGCGGAATCTCGTCGCGAAGTGTCCGAAGGAGGCGTTCCCAAGATTCTCGTACTTCGCTCTCATGTCCCCGGATCAGACGGCTTTTGAGGTCGGCATATTCGGACGTCAGAGGCTTGAACTCCTGTCCCGAGAGCGACGCGAAAGCGTCGGATATATCGCCCGCGCGCTTCTGAGCCTGTGTCGCAGCGGTGCGCAGTTGCGTTGTGGCGCGTCTCGTCGGAGATCGAATGGTTCGGAGCGCGGAGAGCATCGTCGCGGGCGTTCGTTTGGAGATTGTTCGACTGTCTTAAGGCTGTATCATAGTCCTATTCATCCCCAGCAGCCGCCCATTATATACTGATGCTTGCGCCGAGGTTGCACCAGACTTCACTGTGGTTCCGACAGAGTCTTGAAGCTGAAGCTCGAGAGAGAAGATACTGTACCTTCGGAAGCTCTTCTCAATGAGGGATAGCGCTTTCTATGAGCTCTTGCAACCCACCTGTGTCGTAATTACCACTACGTGTAGAGCATCGTTTCCGACATCTCCATCTTGGATCATCATCAGCTCCTAGGCTCACGAATGAGAAGACGAGGAACACACTCTTCGGCGCAACATGTTAGCTGGCAGTGGTCGGAAGGAAAACGGCCGCTTCAACTTGCCCAGTACCCCGCCATCCCACTCCTCCAGGCATCACCTCAGCCCAAGATGACTTCCGCGCCACGCCTAGCAGGTTAATAGGCAGGCTGAATCGGCGGCCCGAGGTCCCACTGACCGCCCTGGACATTGTAGACCCTCGCGGGCAGAATCGACGTAAAAGTATAGCTTCGTCATGTGGGATGAAGCTATAACCCTCAAGTGATCGTGACGATGAGCGGGGTCAATGGGCGAAGGAGCCATTGACGACACGGAGAAATCGACTATAGCCCGCTTGAGCTTGACGGAGCCTTACCAAGTTCCTCATATGTCTTACGGCGCGTCTGTCAAGGTCTTGTCGACGCGTGAGGACGGTTACGGCGGGACGTTCTCCGCAGCCATTACTGTGTCCACGTATATGAAGTATAGGTGTCCCGTTGCTGCGGGCAGCCTTCTGTTCTTTTTCTGAACTGTCAGCTCAAGCACACATACTGCTTGACTACAAAAACCAACATGTCGCAGTCGTACTTGCCGAAAGATTTCCTGTGGGGATTTGCAACAGCAAGGTTCGTCTGACCCAGTACCGTTCTCCACTCTGGAGAGTACCCAAGTACCCCGCCACGATGTATCGTTTTGGGGGCCGCTTTGTTGTCACATACTGAGTTTCCGAACCTGCAGTTACCAAATCGAAGGCGCACCGCATGAAGATGGCCGTGCTGATTCTATTTGGGACACCTTCTGCCGCATCCCGGGCAAGATTGCAGGCGGAGAATCCGGAGATGTTGCGTGCGATTCCTACCACCGCACTGACGAGGACATTGCTCTCTTGAAGGATATCGGCGCAAAATCTTACCGCTTTTCTCTCTCGTGGTCCCGCATCATACCACTCGGCGGACGCAACGACCCTGTAAACGAAAAAGGTCTGCAGTACTACATCAAGTTGGTCGACGACCTCCGTGCCGCAGGCATCGAACCGATGATAACGCTGTTTCATTGGGATCTCCCCGACAACCTGCACAAGCGATATGGGGGCATGCTGAACAAGGACGAGTTCGTGAAGGATTACGAGAACTACGCCAGGGTGTGTTTCAAGGCATTCGGTTCGAAGGTAAAATATTGGATCACCTTCAACGAGCCATGGTGCAGTTCCATTCTCGGATATGGCACCGGCCTTTTTGCTCCCGGCCGTTGTAGTGATCGGAGCAAGAGCGCAGAGGGTGACTCTTCGAGGGAGCCGTGGATCGTCGGCCACTCGCTCCTCATTGCTCATGGTGCGGCAGTCAAGGCCTACCGTGATGACTTCAAGTCCAAGGATGGAGGCCAGATTGGGATTACGCTCAATGGTAAGTGACCAGCACGTGGCTCGCGTATACCGTATGACAGTGGACCGACCCCACGCAATATCGAGCCCGTGCGAGGATAGCTACAATCGGTCTGACGTCTGAGCATGAAAAACGTGTACTGATATGTCGTGTAGGCGACTGGACGGAGCCGTGGGATCCAGAAGATCCGAAGGACCGCGAAGCCTGCGACCGAAAGATCGAGTTTGCAATCTGCTGGTTTGGCGACCCAGTGTACTTTGGCAAATACCCCGACTCGATGCGCAAGCAACTTGGTGATCGCTTGCCTGAATTCACACCGGAAGAAGCGGCTCTTGTCAAGGGAAGCAATGACTTTTATGGCATGAACCACTACTGCGCCAATTACATTAGACACAAGGAGACTGAACCAGAACCTGAAGATCATGTTGGCAACCTGGACATTCTTTACCAGAACAAGAAGGGCGAATGGATCGGCCCAGAGACACAATCAGTCTGGCTCAGGCCGATGCCTTTGGGCTTCAGAAAACTAATCAAGTGGCTTAGTGATAGGTATGGCGGCCCGACCTTCTATGTGACTGAAAATGGCACCAGTCTCAAGGGAGAGAACGATCTTCCTCTTGAGAAGCTGCTGGACGACGAGTTCCGTTGCGAATACTTCAGGGGATATATTGGAGCCTTGGCCGACGCTCACACATTGGACGGAGTCGATGTCAGGGGTTATTCCGCATGGAGTCTCATGGAGTACGTTCATCCCATATTCTTCCAAGTTTCAACGTTTCCTACACCCTTCCTCCCCACTTGTCATATGGAAATTCCTTTTTCCAACGAGTGGTGGAGACTTTATTGTCCGCATTGTGGTGTTGCGTGTTCGTACTCGGGTAGATCATCTATCTCTCCTAGCTTCAAACACTGATTCCTTGGTCTTCCCGCGGAACGCTGTGGTAAAAGGCGTCATGACACACGCTGACATAGTGTACCTGCAGCAACTTTGAGTGGGCCGAGGGCTACACGACACGTTTCGGCGTTACCTACGTCGACTACAAGGGTGGACAGAAGCGATACCCTAAGAAGAGCGCGCGCGAAATCTCGAAAATCTTTGACAAGTACATTAGAACGGAGTAGGTTCCGGTGAACCACGGTGTGGCGTGCGAGGGTGTAGGTCGGGTATGCACGCCATCGAATCAACGTCGATGTGAGCTAGAATTTACAGACAGGGCCCTTCTAGGATTCTTCTAGCGTCATATATGTGGCATGCAGACGTCGGATGTGGGACAATGTGGCATGTAGACGGATGCGGGACAATGTGGCATGCATCGCTCTGATGGGCTGTCCTTGCAAATTAACCATCTGCGGCAAGCTGTGCGACTCTCTCTTTTCTCTAGATGGATCTCGGAGACTTAAAGATGCTATCTTAGATCCGGAGCATTGCGCCATCTTAGGCTCTGGGTAGTAACAACCACTGGGATGATGGTTGTGTATCTCCCGTGTTAGCCTCGCGATATTGATTCCGACGTTTTGAATGAACTCCCAATCTACATACTAAGATCTCTGGTACCGTGGTGCCCGAAAGTAGCGTGCACAAAGTTTGGTTGAGTAGCCACAATGGTGTCATGGTTGGGCATGGATGAAGCATGCAGAGCTGGAGGTATCGCGATGACCGAATAGGCGCGCTTCCCTCCTCGCCTGTTATCTACACCAATTCGACCACCAACGTCAGAAGTAAGCCACTTTCAGCCTCAGCAATGCACCCCACAATTGCGTCCTTCATGCAGCCTGCAGGTCAAACAGTCCAAGAGCAATGGATAAAGCCACTTGTGGCCCAGCGACGTCACAATCGCATTCGCGTTTGCTAAGAAACGAGTGCGAAAGAAAACTGTAATTGCAAGGACCCACCAATCCCTTCGATAGCGAAGGGTTACGCCATCGCCATCTTCTACTTCTAGCCTCAAAGCTAGAAGCTTCGGAGACTCTTGATGGCGCAACAGGCTCGCTTGGCGCGAATCGTGAAGCGTGATCGGTGAGGGAGGGCGCGAAATTGTAGCGTTAGCGAGGCTAGGAGAGATCAAAATGGTGTGGTTAGAGCAAGTGGGGCATCCTTGTTGGGGTAGACCCGTAAACTCTAATTTTCACCAAGCATGTTTCAGGATAGGGGTTGTGTTGTCACCAAAAGTTCGTGGCCGCTAGCGGACTGCATGGTCTTGTGGGGTTTGGGTTGATAGAGTTCGAGTTTAGCAGCGGTCAATCAGGATGTAGGTCGGTGGGTGAATGTCGGCTGATTGTCAGAAACAGACGGAAGGAGATATCCTAAGTTTGGTAGCGAAGTATGGAGTCATGACGAACCGTCCGTCTGTGACAGTTTGGCGGCTGGCCTTGCTTTGGAACCGGCACCTGAGTGATGGATAATGCTGATGTTTCGGACACCATTTGATCCGGCCGACGCAGGTCGGCTTGCGCAATCGTGAACGGGCCCGCGTCGAGGACAAGGTGTCCTGGATTTAGGCCTGGGTGAAGGGCCCTTGGGAATGGTTGAACTAAGCTTGCTTGCAGCCGCAAGGCACCTTACGAGTAAGACAGGTCTAGCGAACGAACCAGTGCCTCGCTTTGGATCCCACGAAATCCAGTGTTTGGTTCCTGGTGGTGACATGGCAGCTGAGATCTGACAGACGAGGTAGTTACACTGCAGAAACCGATCTGCCGCTCCGGGCCATACTGCACGGATGCATGCCACTGCGTTGCGCCGGGTCCGAGGGAGACGACTACGGGGCTAAACGGAATCGGAGTAAGGAGCATTATGGATTTCACCGCTACATGCTGGACGCTGAAGGGTCGAGATCGAAGATACTTGGACGCGAGCTGCATACCTGATACTGCATGCCAATGAATGCGGCGAAGATCAACGTTCGGGCAGCTACGTGTGGGGAAACCTCATATTAGGCTCACCCATACACATTGTAGTAGTAACGGCTGGTTTCAGATTTTCGCATCTGTCATGACGATGGTGGTTCGGCAGGATGTCTGCGGCACTGTGCTGTTCCTGTTGGGAGGGTTTTTGACAGCTTGCATCGGAAGAGCTTCCCCAATCGCGTCCATTGCAAAGGGATCGAGTGGTACCATTTCAGCCACTACCTAACTGTGTAGAGAAGTGACGGCGGCGACGCTAGAAGTTTGCATGGACGGTGAGAGTATTGACGCTAGATAGCCTTGGGTTGTGTGCAAGGGAGAAGCGAGAGGCGGGCGACAGCATTGACGTAGAGAGAAATGAGGCTAACCTCGTGACTTCCCGTACGCGTACCATGGCCCTCGACTCTTCACCGAAACCTGAGGCCGCAGATGGAGTTTGCTGGAAATGAATGCACGCTTTCGGACGCCATCTAGTTGTCGCTGTCTCAGGTATACGCACATCATCCTGCTGGACGTCAAATAACGTCGCTGCTAACCTCAAGCAGACGGACGTTGCAAGTGGTGCGGCGTAATCTGATCCTTCGTGCCTCCCCACCCGCGCCCCTCCAAACCACCACGACTCTGGCCGCGAACATGCATCTACCAATATTTTTTTTCTACCGAGAATCTCCATCGAGAGGAAAGGCACTGGGCAGGATCGCGCGCTCCGGTCCATTCTCTCATCGCGGCTCGCGGCTGGCGGCACCTTAGCCTAGTGCTGCCGACGTGCATCATTCTCATCTTCGAAACACTTGCCGAAATTCGCTATCGTCCAATATCGGCGCCAAGCGTATCCTTCGTGGCTGGCAGGCTCTCCAAGGTACGAGCACTAGCAGTTCCGCTCCGGGCCTAGCGGCTGTAGCCTCGCCGTGTACGCCTGCGTCTATGGAGCGGTGAGGTTGCTCGGAGGATTCTTGCTTTATCGATTATTGGGGGATGTGATGCATAGCGCAGCAGATCACTCTGCCCCCAGGGCACTTTTACTGCTCATCAGCATCTAAACTTCGTCACGAGGTGTGAATGCATCAACACGGTCGTCTCGATTCTGTTGCTCGCGCAGCTGAGACTGGCCGTAATCGGACAATCGGGTCGTGAGATGCAAGGTGCACGAGCATCAGCCACAACCTTTTACAGCTTCTCTCCCATGCGGCGGGCAGCAGGAGCGCATCACGGACTCTCTCTGGCCAATGCTCCTCAGCTCATTTCTGCAAGTCCGACTGTCGGCAATGCAATCCAAGCGAATGACGGAGCCTTCACCATATCTTTCCACGTGCCGGCCATGCGCTTAGTCTGCAGGGCGCCGAATATAGACGTACCATGTATGCATAGCCAGCACACGGCATGAAACACATCGATAGCCATGAGGCCACGATAGAGTTTGTCTCCGCCGAACATGTACAGCACGTAGATACAGGTCGGCAACATTGCTCAAACTCGATATGTCACCTGTGTGTAAACATGGTCCGTGGAGTTACCTCGGAACTATCCTTTCACCAGCGCTCGTTCACTGCGGAGGATGGGAAGTCCCTGGGTCCCGACATGATCGACGTGGTTGTCGAGGCTGCACCCCTGGGACTCAATACACGTCAAGATCCACAGCGGACCCTCGAGCGTCTCGCAATTGTCCACTGGCTCGACGCTCGACGCTCGATGCCCTGGTAGAGTAAACACACGGTCGACCGGCCCTCCGACTGAAGCGGCCAAGGACAGGCCCATCATAGCCCTTGGCATTCTCGGGCTAATTTTCATCATGCAGGGCTTCCACGTGCTGACCCTTTTAGCGCTGCCGGGGCCTGCTCGTCTGCTCGCTCCTTTGCCTGGCCGGTGTCACCCCTGGATCCTGGCATCGCTTCACGTACTCTGGCTGCATGAGCCCACGCCATACGCTCCTCAAACGTCACATTTTGTCCGTGTCTGCTTACCTGTCATCCAAACTTCGCTACGGTCCGCAAACACGACCAGCTACCTGACTGGCAAGCGGTCATGGCGACATCAGGACCATGTCTGCCCATTATTATGCGCTTCCGGAGACCCTTCGCGGTGGAGCCACGGGCGCTTTTCTGCGCGCTCTCTCGACGTAAGGTGGGCCGAAGGGTGTTGCGCAGGAAGTCGGCCATGCCACCTAGAGTGGGGTGCAATATCCCAAGCTAGAGCCTGTAGTGCCCTTCCAGAAGAGCCACGACGCGCATCCAGATGCAGGGCGTGGTTCTGCTAGCCCTCCTGCCACCACCGTTGAGAGTTTATATGGCGTGAAGGGTCTTTACAAGCCTAAGCTGATACGAGTGTGTGGGCTACGCTGCACTGCATCCAAGCCTCGTGCTAATGTAGAAGCTAAAGTGAAACGATTTCCCCAGAACCCACGTTGTGTGGCTACCCACCAGGGGTCAGGATTAGGATGCCAACACTAGCCTAGGGCCGAGCATGGGGCCCGAAAGACGCTATCCATCAGACCTGATAGCAGGTTATAGGCTCATGCCAGCCATGTCTTGCTACCATTAATCCTGTCTCTCTACCAGTTTTGCTTCACCCTCTTAGTCTTGCTGTCCCTGACTTCGTTTATAATATTTGTCTTTCACTGACATCATTCCTTCCTCAGCGTCTGGAACACGGCACACAGCCATCCTCAACCCCTCGTCATTTTCCCCTCTTGGGAGCCCGGGAGCACCCTTCGCCCGCAGAGACAGTACTTGATATTGTCAAACGCTTGGACCGCATTCGTTTGGGCCACGCTGACATAGCAACGTCGACATCGCATATACTCTCACCGCCTCTCGCGGATCCTCGATGACTTCAATTCTCCACTACCGAGACCCTATCGCCTACAGGAGTGACTTCATGAGTACCTCCAGCTACCACTCGCCTCACATGGATCAGCAGAAGAGGTCGCCGCCTTATGAGGGCCATTCTTCTGGCTCAGAAGCAAGACAGCTCACTCCTGGTGCGAAGAAGCGACCATCGAGAGCTGGTACCCGCAGCGTCACTACTCTCACCGCCGCTCAACTGGAGCGAAAGAGAGCCAATGACCGAGAAGCACAGCGAGCGATTCGTCAAAGAACGAAGGACCATATCGACACACTTGAGCGCCAAGTTCGCGATCTCACTGCGCAATTGGAAAACAATTCGTCGACCAAGATGATGGACCTCATCAGAAGAAACGAGGAGCTCGAGCAAGAGAACTCTGTCCTCCGCGCTCGTCTATCACATGCCGTGTCGGCACTGGGAGTCCCAGAATCAGGAGCAGGTATGTAATATTGATTTCATTCCTGCAAAAGCACTGTCCAATTGTTCGACTCACAAGCTCGTTGGGCGTTGTTGTTGCTTTTTGGTGTCTCGGGCCGCGACCGTTTTGGTGCAGCCGACCCTCTTTTCGCAACAAGTCACATCTTTCTTTTGCCTCATTTCCCGCTTTCCGAGTCTGCGGCTC